TTAGACATGACTCTTAATTTGCGTACAAGCAAGAAAATCTCAGATTTTGATTAAACCAACGCGAGCTTGAGGAAAAATGAAAAAAAACCAAAATTGAAACAAATAAGTATCCCCTCACGCATTCAAAATCTTTCTCACTTAATGGTGCGTATGAAATACTGTGAAACATCTTAAATCAATTAATATAAAAATATTAAATTCCCATTACATGTAAACATTTGTCTTGATCATAAATAACTTAATACTTATTTGCTAATGACCAAATGAATCTAAATCGAAAATACAGAATTGAAATAAAATGAATCTCTCTGATCTTGGTATATACGTTTATAAATATATTGAAGAGATTAATTACATGAGAAAGAAGTCCCTGAAGAGAATACGAAAAAAAGACGCTGAGAAGCTAATTAAAAAACCTCAATGTGCAACCTGAATGAAAGAAGAAGAAGAAGAAGAAGAAAAAGAAATTTAATTTTAAGTTGCAATGAAACGAAGTGCACGCTACGAGAGAGGCCGGGGAATACTAATTGTTTTCATCGAGGAGTGATTTATGGAGAATCAGAATCTAATCAATAGAAGAAGAATTGAATAAAGCGTTAAAATAACTCGAAGAACGGTGTCAGTTGCAAATTATATGTAGACATCAATTCGTAATTGCGCAAGGACGAGTGTCCTTTCATTTGAGAAGCGTTAGTCGTTAAATCATCGTCGCGTTAGGCGCACTCTCCTGTAGTACTTGTCGTTTTATGGAGGTATATAGGGACACTGATTCGCGTGGGATTGGAATGTTTGGGCGCGATCGCATTTTCTAAAAAAAAAAAAATAAATCTGTTCATTGCTTGTCCGCTTTGCTTTGATTTACAATTTGCAACGCAAGCTCAAAATCATATCCCCTATATTTATTTAATTAAAAAAAAAGAATTCAAAATTACATTAATAAAGATCAAATATTGCTAAAAAACCGAAATTTCAAATATTAAAAATTTTAAATTCCTTATTTTAACTGATAACATTTAATTCCCTCAAAATTGTTCCTTATAAGGAACAGTTTTGAGGGAATTAAATGTTATCAGTTAAAATATTGCTCTCTAAAGAAAAAAGAAAAGATGAAAGAAAAAATAGTGAGCATGGTGCAAATAGGATCGAAGTACAAGGGCCGGTTAACTAGGCGCAAATGCTCTGGGAGCAGATGCAAAAATATTCTTGCGAATGTCTATACAACGTAGATCGTAGCAAGTTTGCGTAGGCGAATGATGTCCATCCATTCAGGACCAGTCCTGAACTCGTCCCTCTTCGTATAGCTCGGAGTGCTATCCAGAAAAGTGAGGTGGTATCAACGATACGACAACGTAGGTCGCCGGTTGGTTGATTCTCAACTCACGGTTACCACCACCATTGGTGGTGGGGGGGGGGGATTCTTCTGGAATCGCGTGCAACTTTCCATATTGAGGAGTTTTAAAGCTGCACCTTAGTAGTGGGATAACCAGAGGCGCCTACACGCGCTCCACCGCATCAACTGGTTATAAGCATCAGGAATGGTCAATAAAAAAAAAATTGTGGGGTTCATGGAACAATCTCTGCGAGATTAGTCTTAAGACTTCTTTGCGATATATAGACTCTAAATGTATCTTGTATCGTGGATTTTGAATAACCACACTATAAAATCAAAATTTATTTTTGAGGAATATTTCCATAAAAACTTAAACTTTAACGAATTATTAAGTTATAATAATTTATGGTAATTATCATCATAGCAACCGTGTCAATACAAACAGTTACTATATGGTAATCATTTTCATTACAACGGTTGCGATGGTTAGTACTTCCATAGCAACGGTTGCAATGAACGGTTAAAGAAAATTATAAAAACGGTTGCCATGGGAACAATTTCTATCGTAACCGTTACCATTGTAACGGTTGCTAAGGAGACAGTTGCTTGGTAACCGAAACCACTGCAACCTTTTCCATAGAAACAGTTGCTATGGTAATCATTACCATTGTAACGGTTGACATAGAAACAGTTGCTATGGTGATAATTACCTTTGTAATGGTTGCTAGGTAACCGCATTACCATTGTGTAACGTCCTGAGACGATTACGTCACAATTAAAATATTTAAAATTTATTTATATTTTACATAGAAATATTTTTCACAAAATATCATGTATTGAAAAATTAAAAAATTACCTTTTTTGTTTCAGAATCCAGAGGACAAAAGAAAGTTTTCCCACATTTTCCTTGTTGCTTAATATAGGGTATTAATATTTAATGATGAATAAAATAAATCTGAAGCAACTTTTGGATAAATAGGAACTAAACGCCGAACAAGTGAATAACTTTTACTTCCTGTCGTCTGCTATCTGAAATCGACACTTTTGTGCATTAGGAATAAAAAATGTCTTAAGTAACACCGAAACAAAGTCAGTACAAAAACAAATGACTGCCTTTGTTCTTTAAAAAGGGGTATTAAAATTTAATGATAAATAAAATAAATCTGAAGCAACTTTTGAATAAATAGGAACGAAACGCTGAAAAAGTGAATTACTTTTGTGCATTAGGAATAAAAAATATCGTAAGTAACACAAAAACAAAGTCAGACGAAAAACAAATGACTGCCTTTGTTCCCTTGTTGCTTAATAATGGGTATTAATATTTAATGATGAATAAAATAAATCTGAAGCAACTTTTGGATAAATAGGAACGAATCGCCAAACAAGCGAATGATTATTACTCCTTGTCGTCTGCTATCTAAAATCGATCTAACTCAAACAAGATAGCAGTAAACCCAAAAATCAATACCTTCAAATATAAACTATGAAAAATTAACATAAACGAATTAATCAATTTTGATGTTCTCAATATTATTAACAAATAATTAACAATAAACAATTATAGAATATTAAAACCGTAATTATTAAATAACAATTTTGACTATTTGTTTTATTAATTAGTAGAATGTTTTAAATAAATTATCCATAGTTTATTATTAAATTCCAACAAAAACATCTTTGATGCAAAAAGTTCCGACGTGAGTAAAAGTTTTTGCAAATGTCCAAACAATTATTAGTGAAATAAAAGTTTACCAAGTAAAATTTATAACTAAAGTTTTAATATTGAATTGTGACAAATATAAAATTTAATTTAATGACTTAATGAAATCCAATTATTCGTCTTAATAAAAAATTTCTATTTGAAGCAATTTTAAGATCTTTTCAATACTTTCATTATTTACAAACAAGTTAGAAACATTATTGACACCAAAATCTTGATAAAATGTTAATTAACAAATCATTATAATAAAAAATAATAAAATAATAGTCAGAATTTTCTTAGAATTAGTTATAATAAGTAGATAATTATTGAAATCATTAATAATTTTATTGTTATTAACTTTAATAATAGTAATTTTTAAACAATTTATAAACAATATGTTAATTGATAAAATTACTTTAATTTATTATTATAATGATTAAATAAGATAAGGATTTTTAAATTATTGATTAATTATTGAAATTAATAATTTTATTGTTTTTAATAATTGTTCTTTTTCCCTTTCTACAACATTTACACCCCCGAATTTTCCTCCTTTAAGAAAGGGCCTAGCGGAGTAAGCATGCAAAATGTGCCCCCGCTCAAAAAAATTTGAAATTCTTGTTACATGTTAGCAACATTAAGATAAAATTTTTCACCAAATATTTTTTCAAAAAATGTATTTTTGTAAGAGTTATGGAGGGGGAAAGAAAAATCAAAAATTTGTTTTTTCTCGAAAACCACTGGATCGATTTTAATGAAATTTATACGTGTTTTATAAATTAATAAGAGGAATTTAAACAAAAATTTCAAAAAATTTTGTCCGAAAAAAACCCAAAAAAAAATTTTTTTAATATTCAAAAAAAATTTTTTTGGTCTTATTTTGGAGATACTACTTTGGAATTTTTACAGAAAATTCTCCTAAATGTGTACTTTTAAGAAATATTTTTGTCGATTTTTTTAATTGGGTACCACATAGTTAAACAAATTAAAATCCTAGGTGGTGCATCATTCCGGCTGAAGCACAATGTATCCAGTAACTGATTATTTTTAAATTTCCTTGAAATTTAGTAATTATGCGTTCCTGGGGTCACTCAGTACGAATGTAATATTAAATTTTCAAAATTAAAAATGACTGGATACATTGTGCTTTAGCCGGAATGATGCGCCACCTAGGATTTTAATTTTTTTAACTATGTGGTACCCAATTAAAAAAATCGACAAAAATATTTCTTAAAAGTACACATTTAGTAGAATTTTCTGTAAAAATTCCAAAGTAGTATCTCCAAAATAAGACCCAAAAAATTTTTTTTGAAAATTAAAAAAATTTTTTTTTGGGTTTTTTTCGGGCCAAATTTTTTGAAATTTTTTTTTTAAATTCCTCTTATTAATTTATAAAACACGTATAAATTTCATTAAAATCGATCCAGTGGTTTTCGAGAAAAAACAAATTTTTGATTTTTCTTTCCCCCTCCATAACTCTTACAAAAATACATTTTTTGAAAAAATATTTGGTGAAAAATTTTATCTTAATGTTGCCAACATGTAACAAGAATTTCAAATTTTTTTGAGCAGGGGCACATTTTGCATGCTTACTCCGCTAGGCCCTTTGGCAGTGGGAATTGTTACATAAATATACGTGTGTTCCTTAAGGTATTACCAGTTAGAAAAATAATTTCTTACGAATAAAAAGTTCTCTTCAGTACTCTACAAAATCTCTTCAAATAAATACTCTCAAAATCTCAAGCATTTATTCCAGTTCTTAATTCTCAAAAGTTAAAAATATCCCAAGTTTAATTTCCATTACTAAAAAGTTTAAATAAATTTGATAACAAAAATGTTAATAATTTACAACGGTTTTAAATTCAGATTCCTAAATTTTACCAACTTCATCCGAGTTTACGTAAATTATTGACGACCCCTAATATCGAAATATCAGGAAATAAAATCAGCTAAAATAAATAGACAAAATACTTTGTACAAATGTATCTTACACACATATATATAAATTTATATATATAAATTATTTTTTACATATCACACTTGTCAAGTAAAGTGTTGAGATTAGTTGGCACCCAATTAGTACCGCCATGGCAAACAAAAAGAGCCTTTCCATCAATGTACGCCTGTAAATTTCCCACTTTGTACACTTGTTTTGCTTCTCGATATTTATTTGGTATTGGCATAAAGAGAATTCCTCGTTCCTCACATTTCTTTTGCACGAAATCTTTGAATCCATGTGGAATTTGATTCACGATTCTCATTGCTTCCGCAATACTCTGAAAGATGAAAATTCGATGATAAAATTGTTTGCATAACATGATTTATTAATTACCAGTACAGGGTTACCACAAAAATTTAATTTTGTTTTTCCCTGACTTTTCCCTGATTTCAAGACAAATCAAAATTTTGTTTTTTCCCTGACCCTGACGAATATTCTGATTCACTCTAAAAATTATTAGATACTCAAAAAAATATTCTATTACATTTATTGACAAATTTCTTTAATTGTAAAATTCTTCGAAAACATCAATAACTTCTTTTTTAAATAAATATTTAATCATTATTATTTCTCTATAGGAATTAAGATTTTTGAATTCACATCTGAAAATCAGTAACTTATAATTAATTTAAGATGACAGAGTGATAAAATCATATTATTTTATATCATATGTTTTTAATATTCAATTATAATTTAAAATTCTACCTAAAATTCAGTTTTTAATCAATTTTTATTAGAAAATTTTTCGAGTTTTCAATTATTTAAGTGCAAAACTAAATAATTTGTCAAATTTGAAAAAAAATTTAAAAATAAATGCAATTTTCTATCATTTTATTTAAAATTGTATTAAAAATAATTGTAATTCTGCGATAATTTTTGTTATTTATGAAAATAATTGAATTTTTGCAACTAATTTTATTAAAAAATGTTTTAAAGAATTGAATTCCTGTGAAGAATTTTATTTTTGAAAATAATTAAATTCCGGAGAAAAATATTATTCTTTATGAAAATAATTAATTTTTTTGTGAAGAATTTTTATTTAAATTTTTTTAAATAATTGAATTTTATTTTTTACGAAAATAATTGAATTGTTTCGAAGATTTTTATAAACATTTTTGACAATAATTATTGTATTCCTAGGAAAAATATTGTATTTAACAAAAATAATTGTATTCTATGATGAATTTTATTATAATTTTTGAAATTTATAAAGCATTTTATGAAAATTTTTTTAAATAATTGAATTCTCGAGAAAAATTTTATTATTTATGAAAATAATTGTAAACTTGCGAAAAATTTTATTCAAATATTTTTAAATAATTGATTTCCCATAAATAAATGTATTATTTGTGAAAATAATTGAATTCTTAAGAAGAATTGTATTGAAAATAATTGAATTGTATTATAAAAATTTTATAAAAATTACATTTTATTAACTAAATCTTGTAAAGAATTTTGTCAACATTTATTAAATAATAGAATTTTTGAAAAAATTGAATTGAATTCCTGTGGAATTTTTATTAAAATTTTGTTTAAATAATTGAATTCTTTTGAAAAACTTTATTAAAATAGTAAATGATGAAAATTATTATAAATTAAGGAAAATTTTTTAAAATTTTAGTTGAAATTTTGACAAGAATTTTATTAAATTGTTTGTAAATAATTGAATTTTTGAGAAGAATATTTTATTATTTATTTAAAGATAATTGAAATTTTTACGAAAATTTTTTTTTAATTTTTGAAATAATTCTATTTGAGTAATTGAACTCCTGTGAAATTTTTATTATTTATAAATAGAATTGAATTTTTGCGTAGAATTTTAGAAAAGTTTACTAATTGAAATTCTGCGATGAGTTTTAGGTATTATTTATAAAAATAACTGAATGTTTGCGAATAAATTTATAAAAAAAATTGTTAAATAATTAAATTCTCATGAAATTCTTATTATTTATGAAAATAATTAAATGTTTGCCTAGAATTTTATCAAAATTTTTTTTTAAATAATTGAATTCTTTGGAAAGTTTTATTAAAATAGTAGGATATTGAAAATCATTGAATTGAGGAAAATTTTTGAAAATATAATAGAATTTTTAATGTTTTTAACTAAAATTCATATACAACTCCATTATTTCTAATAATTAAGTAAATATATTGAAAAAACCAACTAATTTAAGAATTGGAATTATTAAAATTTTCAAAACTCTATGTTCTTTAAAATTTCTAATTAAATTCATTTAAAATTGAAGTTTTATAAAATTTTAAATTGAAATCTTTTGAAGTTCATCTATTTATGAAAATTTTAAACGCAACTCGTTTAAAATGGAATTAATTTTTAAATATTTAAATAAAATTATTCATTAAACAATTTATAAATAATAATATGATAGGTCTTCAAGAATTAAGTTATTTAAAAAGATATTATTTATTATCAGAAAAAGAAAAAATTATAAGGGTTTGTATTAGAATTCGTGGTAATTTCATAGTTTATGAGGAAAACAAAAAAGACTCAAAAATTCAGAATTTTTTTATAAATTCTAAAAATTTAATTTTTTCCAGTACTTTTAATAAAAATCCCTGACCCTGCAATAATAATAATAACAATAATACAAACCTCAACTCTCGGCTGAATATTAGAAGGTATTTGGTGAACAGGTTGACTTCTCTCGAGAATTGTCAAATATGAAACTTGTTCAACGGCTCCCGGTTGAAGTCCTTGTGGCACGGAAACAGCTCTATTCATCATTTCCAATGCCTTTTTGAAATATTCACTAATTACCGGTTCGGCGAGTAATTTCTCGCTGAGCATTCCCTTCCAGCCCAAGTACCAGTGCGTGATCTCGTCATAATTTGGTGAACTATTCAGCCAAAGTGCCAATATTTGCAACCATTTTGGAAAGAAGAATTTATCAAGTAGACCAACCATTGTGTGCTTTGGCAAAAGTTCCTTCCACTCATAAACCCAATGCCATTGATCGAGAATTTGTTGATGTGGATTTATCACAAGTTCACTGAGGGCAATCTGCAATTTCGGCACAATATTTTTCACTAAAAATGCCTCTAAATCACCGGGTGTAAAAACTTCAGCCCATGGCTCAAGCATTAAACGTGCCGACCTATCCGAAGCGTGCCATCCACCCAGAGCCGAACCAAGTTTACGTCGAATTATCGGATAAATTAAATTGTCAAGTCGATGACCTAAAATTAAAAATTGATCATTTTTTACCTGTTTTCTGTATCTATGATCTTGAAAAAAGATTTGAAAACAAAAACTTACGTAAGAGCTGAAGCCAAGGATGGATCCAAGTGTGAATTGGTACCGTGTCGGTCAATGGATTCCATTCTTCAACTTCAAGCGTGAGTTTCGGAAGAACCAGAAGATCGAGGATATTCTCGAAAATCCAAACTGGTAACAGGGGCATCCAATTTTCAATCAGATCGATTAGGGGATCCGGGTGTCTGCAGGTCCACTCCCTGGCAAAAAGAAATTATAATATGAATTTTATAATAATTTATAATGAATTTTATAATCTTCCAAAAATCGAAAAACTTTCTTTATAAATATAATAATGTAAGGAGAAATTATTTCAAATATAATTTTTGAAAATGTTTAATTGAATTTTGGGGAATAATTTTATTATATTTATAAAGATAATTGAAATTTTGACGAGAATTTTATGAAACTTTTTGAAAATAATTGAATTTCTGCGAAGAATTTGAATACTTTTGAAAATAATTGAATTCTTGTGATAAATATTGTTATTTATCAAAATAATTGAATTTTGAAAAGAATTTTTTTTTATATTCCTAAAACTAATTGAATTTCTGGTATGAATTTTGTTACTAAATCAAATAATGATTTAGTAACAAATCATTCAACAGAGTTGAACGCTATAATGCATATTAATATTTAATTATTCTCTAAAATTTTAACTGAAATTCATTTTTAAATAAATACTTGAATTCTTTACGCGAATTTTAATAAAATTTCTAAGAATAATTGCATTTTTCAAGGAATTCAATTAAAATTGTTTTATTAAAACAATTGTTTTAAAAATAATTAAGATTCTGCGATAAGTTTTATTATTTATTAAAATACATGATTGAAGTCCTATAAAGAAGAATTATATAAAAAATTTTCAAATAACAGATTTTTTAAAAAATTTTATGCAAATTCTATTTTAAAGAATTGAATTCCTGTGAAATTTTTATTATAAATAAAATTAATGTTTGCGGAGAATTTTAGAAAAATTTATTTTAAAAAAATTGATTCTTTTGGTAAATTTTGTAAAAATATATAGTAGATATTAAAAAATCATTTAATTATAATAACAGTTTTTAAAATAATTGAAATTTTAACACGAATTTTTTATTCAAATTTTTGAAAATATGTAATTGAATTTTGGGGAATAATTTTATTATTTATAAAGATAATTGAAATTTTGCCAAGAATTTTATGAAACTTTTTAAAAATAATTGAATTCCTGGGAAGAATTTTGTTATTAAATCAATTAATTTCAAATAGAATTGAAATTAAAAATTTTCAAAAAAATTAGTTCTACAAAACTGTTAATTAAAAGTATGAAAAATTCAGATTTTCAAAGATTTTAATTTGAAACCTTTTCAAAATTCAATTATTTCCAAAAATTCACACTATAATGCTTTTAATATTCAATTATTCTCTAAAATTTTATCTTAAATTCATTTTTAAATAAATCTTTATTATAAAATTCTACAAGATTTCAATTATTTAAATACAAAAATAAATAATTGAATGTTTATTAAAATTGAATTTTCCTAAAGAATTTTATCAACAAATTTCTAAATTAAAGAATACGTACAAAACGGCTCCTCTGATTGAAGGCATCCAAGCGTTCCATACAAGTTGATCATAAGGTTGCAATGAACTCGATTGAAGAGTTGTTTTTCCAATTTCCAAAATCTCCTTCCACTGTTTAAACAAATCAATCGATTGTCTCGGTTGCATGAGCGGATTCCACGATGTCAATGATTCCTTAATTTTTGGACACACCAAACTAATGGCCAATTCGCCCAATTCATAGAGTTTATATTCCTCATGATATTTGTCCTGAAGATTTTTAAAAGCCTCAGCTGTTTGCGTCAATGTCAATTCACTGCTCTCGTCCATTAAACGATTGACAATACACAAAACATCTTCTAAAGTGTCAATTAACTTTTTCTGATGATCAACAATTTTAAAATTACGTGTCCTCTCAGCCTCAAGGGCAATTAAACGATCGCCAAGCGTTACATTCCGTCGATTATTTTGTATTATATCCTGCTCGCACATATCAACGAGAAGATTTAAATTATGCTGAAGTTCGGGTACGGAAAAATTACACTTTAATTTTTTATCATTTATTAAAATTGTCTCATCGGGACGTTGTTGACCGCTTCCAATTGCATGATAACCGCTTAAGACACGTTGTTCGGGACCAGTCATGTCGATAACTTTAACGCGGCTCATTTCGCTAGTTGCCGGTATTTTTCGATTCATTCGATGTTTTCCATCCTCGAGTACTTGATCGACACTGCGATAGGTGTATTTTGTTTTTTTCTTATTGACAGTTGCATCGCCCTTACGCCAATGTGAAACTTTAACTTTTTGCTCCTTTACATCGTCATTGGTTTTCTCTTTCTTTTTTTCTGGGACTTTGGCAAATTTTTCTGGACCATAAGCACCAATTGCGCCGCGTCCTTTACGTAAATGCGCCTCAACAGGGGCGCTGATACCTTGCAATTTTTTACCCAAACCTTTACCGGGTTCAAAACCCATCTGAAAAATTTTATTTTTGATTAAAGAAATTCTTAGTTGTATAAATTTTTATTTTCGATTAAAGAAATTCTTAGCTGTATAAATAAAAATAATAAATTTCATTTCATTAATAAAATTCATTTCCTTTAATTAAAAATAATAAATTTCATTTCATTAATAAAATTCATTTCCTTTAATTAAAAATAATAAATTTTAATTATTTTAGTAAAGTAAAAAACAAAATTAAAAAAGAAAATACATACTTGAAGTAGAATTTTTGCTCCAATCCCTCGTGTGTGTACTTCCCAGGTTCCCATGCCTGTTTCTATAAGTGCAGGATTAAGTGGTGCTTTCTTTTTTCTTAAACCAGCAATTTCACCCTCTAAGTTTAACGAAAATTGTTTACGTGTCCTCATATTGCTGGGACCTTCATTTTCCGAATCACTGAAAAAGAAAATTCGTTAAAGAACATTAACCATTTTTTTTTTCCTAAAACGTTTTTAAAATAAAGTCTAAATTTGAAGATTGCAATACGCGCGTTAGATTTGCTAGTAATTTAATAATTTTTTAAAAATAAATATTTAAATATTAGTACCTTTTATACTTTTACAGCAATTAAAATTTTCTAACATTTTAATTAAATAAACTTTTTGAGATTTAATTATTTCTAAAAACTCCTAATATAACCATTCTAATAAATAATATTCAATATTATAATGAATTCTAATATTCAGTGAAATTTTAACTTAAATTCGTTTTTAAATCAATTCTTATCAAAAAGTTGTACGAGAATTCAATTATTTGAATATAAAAATAAATTTAATTGATAAAATTGATTATTTTAGTGTCTTTTTTGTTTACCTCATAAACTATGAAATTACCATGAATTCTAATACGAAACCTTCAATTTTTCCTGTTTCTGATAATAATTTCCTTTTAAATAACTTAATTCTTAAAGATTTATAATATTATTATTTAGAAATTATTTAATAAATAATTTTATTCAAATATTTTAAAATTAATTCAATTTTAAACGAGTTGCGCTTACAATTTTCATAAATAGATGAACTTAAAAAATTTTCAATTTAAAATTTTATAAAACTTCAATTTTGAACGAATTTAATTAAAAATTTAAAAGAACATAGATTTTTGAAAAATTTTAATAATTCAAATTCTTAAATTAGTTGGATTTTTCAATATATTTACATAATTATTAAAAATAGTGGAGTTATATAAGAATTTCAGTTAAAAAAATTAAAAATATTATTATTTTCAAAAATTTTCCTCAATTCAATGATTTTCAATATCCTACTATTTTAATAAGACTTTCTAAAGAATTCAATTATTTAAAAAAAAAATTTTGATAAAATTCTAGGCAAACAATTAATTATTTTCATAAATAATAAGAATTTCAGGAGAATTCATTTATTTACCAATTTTTTTTATAAATTTCTTCGCAAACATTCAGTTATTTTTATAAATAATACCTAAAACTCATCGCAGAATTTCAATTATTTTTAATACAATTTTAATTGAATCCCTTCAACAATGCAATTATTCTTAGATATTTTATTAAAATTCGAGGAAAGAATTCAAGTATTTAAAAATTTGTTGATAAAACTCTTTAGGAAAATTAAATTTTGAGAAACATTCAATTATTCAATAGATTAGTTAATTTTGTATTTAAATAATTGAATTCTCGTAGAATTTTTTATTGATTTAAAAATTAATTTTATAGTAAAAATTTTAGAAAATAATTAAATATTAAAAGCATTATAGCTTGAATTTTGTTAAGGTTTCAAATCAAAATCTTTTAATTCTACCGAGAAATTCAATTACAAATTTTTAGCAGAAATTCAATTATTTTCAAAAATTTGATTAAAATTCTTGTTAAAATATCCATTTTCTTCAAAAAATTTTTCCTAATTCAATGAATTTCAATATTTAATAAATATTTTTACAAAATTTACACAAAAAGAACTTTTCTAAAATTCTACGCAAAAAATCAATTTTATTTATAAATAATATAATAGAATTTGCATAAACTTTTTCGAAAAAAATCAGTTATTTAAAAAAAAATGTTTAGATAGCCGGTATAAATTGTTAAATAAATAAAAATAAATAAATAAACTCTTCTTCTTAGGAATTCAATTATTTTAATAAATAATAAAACTCATCGCAGAATTTAAATTATTTTTAATACTAATTTAATTAAATTTCTCGAAGAATGTAATTATTCTAAAAAATTTAATTAAAATTTGTCGAAAGAATTTAATTATTTAAAAATTTATTGATAAAATTCTTTAGGAAAATTTAATTTTAATAAACATTCAATTATTCAATAAATTAGTTAATTTTGTATTTAAATAATTGAATTCTCGTAGAATTTTCTAATAAAAATTGATTTAAAAATGAATTTCAGTTAAAATTTTAGAGAATAATTGAATATGAAATGCATGATAGCGCAAACTTTTAATTTCAATTCTGTTGAAATTAATAGATTTAATAACAAAATTCTTCACAGAAAGTCATTTATTTTTAGGAATTCAAAAAAAATTCTTTTCAAAATTCAATTATTTTGATAAATATTATTCATCACAAGAATTCAATTATTTTCAACAGTATTAAAATTCTTCGCAGAAATTCAATTATTTTCAAAAAGTTTCATAAAATTCTTGTCAAAAATTCAATTATCTTTATAAATAATAAAATTATTTCCTAAAATTCAATTACATATTTACAAACATTTTCCTAGGTAAAAAATTATATTAGACGGTGAAGAAATGTAATATAAGAAATTAAAAGAAAATACCTGGAACTATTTGGAACATAATCGGCATCACCTCTTCGAGGTCTACCCGTATCATCATCATCATCATCATCGTCATCATCATCATCAGCATTTTTATCTGCCTTTTTCTCTTCCTTTGGTTTTCCCGATTGTTGAATACCTCCAGAAACAAAACTAACTGGTGCCGTATAATTTTTTGGAACTTTTTTCGTATTTCTAAATGAAGGTCTACTCGTTTCTTCTTCCTCATCACTATCGGCCCACATTCCTTATAATTTAGAAATATAATTTTTTTTTTAATTTTCTATTTATTTATTTATTTCAAGTTTCTACAACTAATAAGCCGACCAAGGAACATTTACAAAATATAAATTTCATATTATGTCGTAAAAATATATTTTAAAACTCTAGAATTAAAAATTAGTAAAAAAGAATTTAATTATTTTTAAATAATTATTAAATTTAAAGTCTCAACATTTTAATTTCTAACCTTAAAAAAAAATTCGTTTCTAAAAATTAATAAAATGAAATATATGACAGAACTTGGATTTCAAAAATTATTGTTTACTTTCTAAATAGAAGAGAAATAAAAAAATATAGATATATTTACCAAGCATTTGTTGTTGTTTAGTAAGTTTTCGACGAAAACGATTTGTATTAAATTCATTGTCAAGATCGTAATCTGTGATCTCAAAACTTTCCATTTCATCTTCGGACATTTTCTTTTTTTATTATTATTTCACTTTTACAACAACACTAATTTTAAATCTAGATTATGGCTTTTATTTATTTATTTCTCGACAAAAACTTTTGTGGGAATATTTTTACGCTTTTTACAAACGTCAAATTTTAGGTTATGTTTGCTATTTACGTTTCTGGTCGTTTTTTACTGCTTAGGGATTTTTCAACTAGAAAATACTTTTCGTTTGATTGGTATCACTGAGGTATTGACATATTTGAAATTGTTTCATTTAAAATACGCAAGAAAACTGATTAAATCGAGAGTTAATTATTCAATTATGGTAAAAAACATTTTTTCTAAAATATTAATTTTAGATATATTAGTAAACAAGTATTGTTGCTAAAATTATTATTTAAACTTTAGTTACCGGCAGATAGGTCGACATCTGTTGATAATGTAGAATTTGCGGAGTAATAAACAGTGTTGCCAATCCATATTCAATCCAATAACAAAAATTACGAAATCTGTCAAAAAACGCAAAAAACTTAAAAGACTGAAGCTCGAAACTCGAAAGAAAATACTCCTGAATTAATAAATTTTAATTCACGACAAATTCTAAAGTATTTTCCAAAAATTAATAAAAAGAATTTTTCATTATTTTCTCCAGATTATTTTTGTATTTATTTTTACTTCACAATGTCAGATCGTCTGACACAATTACAAGATATGATAAATCAGGTATTGTTCCACCCGAAGAACAACAATTGTCAATTTTTAATGTTTTACATTGTTATCATATTTTTTAAAATCTTTTTTTTTGCAAAATACTTACTATTTTATTCTATTCAACAGAGAGAAACAAAATAATGCTACGAATAACAACAAAATTAACATGCGAACCTAACCTCAAAATTTGACATTTATATATTTGTTTTTTCAAAGTGCATTGTATTCTAATTATTTAATTTTTTTTCCAGCAAGCTGAGCATTTTTGTAATAGTATTGGAATTTTACAACAATATTCCAGTCCAAGTAAATTTCCCGGTTTTGATCGTGTTGGGACTCCGCAACCAAATCAACCGCAAGAAGGTTTGTCAAGAAATTTAAATATTTTTTGTATACTTACAATTTTTTTAACACTTTAATTAAAGTCTTCGACTTCTTCATTTTTAAATTAATTATTTTTAATTACAAATGACAGAGTAATAAAATTAATATTTTATATTAATAAGAATATTGTTACTCTAACTTCTTTAAAATTATTTTCATCATTTCAATTCAATTATTATTTTCTAGAATTTTTAACTAAAATTCTTCTTTAAATCAATTATTTTAATAATTCTTGAAAAATTTCTTTGAGAATTTTCATTTACTTATTTCTTTTTGTATGTACATTTGAATTTTACGCAATTTCATTGGTTATTCAAAAATTTTTCTTTATTAGAGAATAAAAACTCGAAATAATTTCGAAAAAATTCTATTAAACTTTTTCAAAAAAAATTAATTCTACAGAATAGTAAAATTCAATTATTACTAAAAATTCATGCTATAAATTTTTTAATATTTAATTATTTAAAATTATAACTAAAATTCATTTTTAAATCAATTTTTATTAGAAAATTCTACGAGAATTCACTTATTATAAACTCATAAATAATTTCGTTAACAATTTTTTAAGTAATTGAATTCTTTCGAAGAGTTTTAATAAAATTGAGCAGAATAATTGCATTTTTCGAGGAATTCAATTATTTATTTATTTATTTGAAATTGTAATTAAATATATTAAAATTGTAATAAAAATAATTGAAATTCTACGATAAATTTTATTATTTATAAAAGTTCATAATTGAATCCCTATGAAGAAGAATTATGTACAAATTTTCTGCAAATTCTATTTTAAAGAATTGAATTCCTGATAGATTTTTATTATTTATAAAAATAAATGAATGTTTGCGGAGAATTTTAAAAAAATTTATTTCTAATAATTTATTCTTTTAGTAATTTTTTTAAAAATATATAGTAGATATTGAAAATCATTTAATTAACGAAAATTTATGAAAATAATTAAATTTTGAATAGAATTTTTTTTTTAATTCCTAAAAATAATTGACTTTCTGTAAAGAATTTTATTTATTATTTAAGAATGTAATTGAAGTTTTGATAAGAATTTTTTATAATTTGGAATGTAATTGATTTCTTGTGATGAATATTGTTATTTAGGACAATAATTGAATTTTAAAAAGAATTTTTTTTAATTTCCAAATATAATTGAATTTCTGGGATGATTTTTGTTATTTATGAATGTATTTGAAATTTAGTCCAGAATTTTATTAAAATTTTAAAAAATAATTGAATTTTGGAGAAGAATTTTATTATTTATAAAGATAATTGAAATTTTGATAAGAATTGTATTTAAATTTTTTTAAATAATTGAATTTATGCGAAGAATTTTATTACTTTTGAAAATAATTAAAATTTTGATCAGAATTTTACTAAATTTTTTGAAAATAATTGAATTCTTGTGATGAATATTGTTATTTATATAGATAATTGAAATTTTGACGAGAATTTTATTTAAAAATTTTGAAAATAATTGAATTTATGAGAGGAATTTAAAAATTTTTTAAATAATTGAATTTCTGGGATGAATTTTGTTATTTATGAATGAAATTGAATTCATTTGAAGAATTGCGTTATTTCTAAAAATTCAAAGCTATAATGATTTTAATATTTAATTATTATCTAAAATTTTAACTAAAATTAATTTTAAATCAATTTTTACCAGAAGATTTTAAGAGAATTTAATTTTTTAAATACAAAATTAAATAATTTATTGAATAACTAAATTTTTCTCAAAATTCAATTCTAATAAAAAATTTCACCAACAAATTTTTAAGTAATTAAATTCTTTCGGCGAATTTTGATAAATTTTTAAGAATAATCGAATTTTTTGATTAATTCAATGAGAATTATATTAAAAATAATTGAAATTCTTTTCTTCATTTTTACAGCTTTAAAGTTACTTTTTGCTGTCTTTTCTTTACTATGTATAACTACTAAGTACGAAGCCTTAAGTTTTATTGAATTTTATATTATTTAGTTCAATTATTATATTTTTATAATTATTTCACTTTAATGGCATAAAATTTATTTTCATTCCCAGATTACGCGGCATTATTTGCGACATTAATTGCAAAATGCGCAAAAGACATTGACACATTAATTGACAGTCTACCAAGTGAGGAATCATCTCAGGAATTACAAGTGGCGAGTCTCAGTCGTCTAGAGAAGGAAAATCAAGAGGCAGGCGAGAAACTCGAGGAAGTTGTTCGCGAGGGCGAAATTCTTTTGTCCCGTATTCAAGCCGCTCTCCAGGACATTGCACAAAGTCAACTCGACATGCAAAATCCATTGACAACCGCTGTGATAAATACAAATCTCAATATTGAAACAACACCATCAATAAAGCAAGAAAATCTCGGCACAAACAGTGCGCCATCGAGTAACAGTCATCAAATACCAGATCCATCGCCAAGTTCCATAAGTCAATAAAAGAAAACAAAAAATTTTTTTCCAAACAAAAAAATTTACCATAAAAAATTATTTACTCATCGAAAAAAAAATCACTCATTATAATTAAGTGTAAATATTTCATTTTTATCAAAATAAATTAAAAATCTCAAACTTAATTTTTCATTTCAATTGCCGTAAAAATAAATTAAAAATCAGGATTATTTTCTTCCTGACAATTTTAAGAAAAGGTATATTTAAAAAAAAGTATTAGCTAAATTAAAAATAAATTTTCAAATTCATAAATAATGTCAGTTAATTAATAAATAATAAAGAAAAAAAGAGATATATTTTTTTCTTCTTTTTTTTAATTAAAAAACGATTCTGTCAAGTTTTTTTTTTGTATACAAAAAGCAATGTACTATATTAATTACAAATGTTTCTTCTTTTTTTTATTCTTCTCCATCTCTTAAATAGTAAATCTAGATTTGAAACTGATTTAAAACATAAATAAGACATTAACGTCCCATAAACTTTCATAGTATAATAATGAAAAAAAAAACCAAGAAAAAATATTTTTTTTATTTCAACCGTAGAGTTGCATTTTTATAAAATGTTTTTTTATATATAAGGGGTGGTAATTGAGGGGGGGAGGGGGCATATTTACAAAAACATGAGCAACGGGAGGGGGGTACGATGAATTAATGTAATAAAAGAAAAAAAAATGAAATGAACAATGAAGCTGACGAACACTTTTTTTGTTTTTTTTTTTTTTAATTGAGAGTTCCCCGACATTGAGGAGCTCCACATAGGCAGGGAATTTTATCGTCTTCCAATGGAAATTTGTAGTCGTACGTAATTTCCTCGTTGACTCCAATTGGTTGTTTACTGTAAATTACTATTTTCTTTTGACTTTCTATAGTGATCACTTTAGCGTAACAATTTGGCTGCAAAAAAAAGGGGAGAGAAAAAAATTAATTATTATTATTATTATTATTACTCCTATTCACAGGCCTCGAACTAGGTCCTCGAACTAGATTAAATCACGTAAAGGTCCGTAAATTTGCTTCAAGTCCGTAAAAGTTAGTTTTTTTGAAAACAAGGTCCGTAATTTGATTGAAAAAAACAAAAAGTTCGTAAATTGAACGATATAATTTGGAGAATTTTAAAGAAATTAATTTCAAATGATTGCAGAAATTCAATTATTTTCAAAAGTAATAAAATTTTTAGCAAAAATTCAAGTATTTTCAAAATTTTAAAAAAATTCTTGTCAAAATTTCAATTATCTTTATAAATAATAAAATTCTTCTCCAAAATTCAATTATTTTCAAAAATTTTAATAAAATTTTGGACTAAATTTCAATTACATTCATAAATAACAAAAATCATCCCAAAAATTAAATTATTTCTAGAAATTAATCACAATGCTTTTTAAAATTCAATTATTTTTATAAATAACAATATTTATTACAAGAATTCAATTACGTTCAAAAATTTAAAAAAATTCTGATCAAAATTTCAATTATCTTTATAAATAATAAAATTCTCCAAAATTCAATTATTTTTAGGAATTAAAAAAAATTCTTTTTAAAATTTAATTATTTTTGTAAATAACAATATTCATCACAAGAATTCAATTATTTTCAAAAATTTTAATAAAATTTTGATCATAATTTTAATTATCTTTATAAACATTAAAATTTATCTTCTAAATTGAATTATTTTCAAAAGTATTAAAATTCTTGGTAAAAATTTAATTGTGTTCAAAAAATGAAAAAAAATTTTGATCAAAATTTCAATTATCTTTATAAATAATAAAATTCTTCTCCAAAATTCAATTGTTTTCATTCATAAATAACAAAAATCATCCTAAAATTTCAATTATTTTTAGAAATTAATCAAAATTCTTTTTAAAATTCAATTATTTTTATAAATAACAATATTCATTACAAGAATTCAATTATGATCAAAAATTTTAAAAAAATCTTATCAAAATTTCAATTATCTTTGTAAATAATAAAACTCCTCCAAAATTCAATTATTTAAAAAATTTTTAATAAAATTCAATGATTTTCAATATTTACTTTGAATATATTTGTAATAAAATTCTTCGCAGAAATTCAATTATTTAAAAAAAATTTTCATAAATTTTTTCGAAAAAATCAACTATTTAAAATACAATTTTCATAAATTTTTTCGAAAAATTATCTACTATTTTAATAAAATTCCACAATATGCAAAAAAATGCAATTATTTTCATAAATAATAAAAATTTCACAAGAATTCAATTTTTTAAAATAGAATTTGTATCAATTTTTGTTGGAAAAAATCTATTAGATATTTAAAACTGTTGTAGAAAAATCTTCGCAAGAATTAAATTATTTTCACAAATAATAAAATTATTCACTGGAATTCAATTATTTAAAAAATCTTAATAAAATTCTTCACAAGAATTGAATTACTTTTTTTTATATAAAATTCTTCTCATGGAATAAAATTATTCTTATAAATAATAAAACTCATAGCAGAGATTAAATTGTTTACAAAAATATAATAAAATTCTTAGAAACGATTTAATTATTTTCAATATCTAATATTTTAATAAATTTTCCCAATAGAATTAAATTATTTTCATAAATAATAAAATTTTTACAGAAATTCAATAAATAAAATTATCAAATATTATTTAAACAAATTTTTATAAAATTCTTCACGGGAATGCAATTATTTAAAAAAAAATGTAATGCAATTTTTTTCTAAAATTAAATAATTTTTATAATTTTTAATAAAAATATAAGAATTGAATTGTAATAATTATTCTTAAAAATTTTATTAAATTTCTTCGAAAGAATTCAAGTATTTTAAGAAATATTGATAAAATTCTTTATAAGAATTAAATTTTAAGAAATATTTAATTATTCAATTAATTATTTATGTTTCTACTTAAATAATTGAATTCTCAAAGAACTTTTTAATAAGAGTTGATTTAAAATTGAATTACAGTTAAAATTTTAGATAATTTTAGTAGAATTTTCTAATTTACATTAATTTAAAAATGAATTTCTGTTAAAAATAAATAAATTGGAAAATTCTGAAAAAAAAACTTTTTCGAAAATTATTAAAAATAATGGATTTACAGAAAAATTGTAGTTAAAAACACGAAAAAATAAATTTAATTTTTAATTTTCATAAATAATAAAACTCATCGCAGAATTTCAATTATTTTTAATACAAATTTAATTGAATTCCTCGAAAAATGCAATTATTCTGCTCAATTTTATTCAAATTCGTCAAAGGAATTCAAATTATTTAAAAATTTGTTTACATAATTCTTTATGAGATTTGAATTTTAAGAAACATTTAATTAGTCAATAAATTATTTATTTTTGTATTTACATAATTGAATTCTAGTAGAATTATCTAATAAAAATTGATTTAAAAATGAAATTAGTTAAAATTTTAGATAATAATTGAATTTTGAAATCAATTTTTTTGAAAAAGTTTAATTCAATTATTATTAAATTATTTGAAGTTTTTATTTTCTAATATATATATTTAATTGAAGAATTTACGAATAATTGAAATTTCGTAAAATTGAATATTGTAAACAATTGGATTTGAAAATTGTCAAAGAACTTTTTCAAAAATCAATTGATTTAAAGAAGAATTTTAGTTAAAAATTCTTAAAAATAATAATTGAATTGAAATGATGAAAATAATTTAATAATTTAAAAATTATAAAATATGAAGAATCGATATATTTTAAAGTTACGAAAAAATTTAATTTATAGTTTTAAGTAAAATGTTCTCTTATTTGTTTCGGCTGGTTATATTTTTGTCAGTGGTTTGTAAATGGTCCGTAATTTTTCATTTTTAATCCGTAAAGTCCGTATTATTAAATATTTTTACTAGTTCGAGCCCTGTATTCATCCAAATAAGAATTATAAACAAAACAACGATACTTACATTACAACTATGGTTAATGAACCGAGCGAGATTGCCGCATTTGGTCGCGTCAATAATTGTATCCAGATCGATTCTGAAAAGGTACGAACTTCCAATTCCAGTTGCCTCGTATTGTGATTCACGTAAATCGGCGACAACTGGCCTCACCATTTGTCCAACGTATTCAATTACCATTTCGTCGGCGGCAATTGGCTCCATTGCAAACAAGCCCCAATCGTGAATTCCCGATTTTGCAAATTTCAATTGCTTCTTTCGGAACTAATGGTGAAAACAAAATTTATACAATTAAAAACACCTTTTTTCAACAAATTTCAATAAAATAAACAAATTATTTCTAAACAAGCTAGTACTGAATAATACTTTTTTCATATAATTTAAATTAAAAGAAAAGGAAAAATTTATACGTGTGAAAAATTTACCTTCAACTGATTAAACTTAAGAAGATCACTGTCTGTATCGATACCGAATGCAGTGAGAAGACGACGTTGATTACTTCTCGCTTCTCGAGACAGTGCTTGCATTTTACCGGTGAGAGTTTTCAAATTTACTTTTGGACCATTCGCAACTCCATCTCCTCCTGCGTATGGACCTCCACTTTCCTCTACATCATTACTTCTTTGAATACTCAGCGCGTAATGATGCTGGAATTATTAAAACATTCATTAATTTCTTATTGAAAAATACATACTTAAAAAAATTTTTGTTTTTAACTTTCATAACTTCCAATTATTTAGATTTTATATTTACTAAAAAATAAAATTTAATTTTAAATTTCTTCTTAAGTAATTTTTAAGGTTTTATAAAAATTTCTTTATGCTTCAATGTTTAACATTTTTTACAAGTCGGAAAAACAGCTAAATTTCATTTTTTTACAATCGAAAGTTGAATTTATATTTTTAACCGAACGTAAGTTCCCCATATTATTTCAAAAAACTATTTCTTAATTATTAAAAAAATTAAAGAATATTTCAAAAACAAACAACTTAAAATTTAATAAAATTTTTTTTTCAAAATAAGAAATATTTTTAAATTCTACAATTTTTTAATATCGGTTAACATAGACCCGAGAAAAATATATTTTCATTTGGCGCAGTTAAAAATTTAAATTGTTTATAAGAGCTTTTAAACAGCTTTATTTTTTAATAACGTGAAATTTAAATCTATTTTATATTTAATTCAGGCTCACCAAACTTACATAAAAAATAAAAGTAAATTTATTTCCTTGCAGTATTAATTGTTACAAATAATATCCAAAAAGAGGTTAGCAAATTTTTTTAAATAAAAAAAAATTATAAACAATTTCAGTTTTATGGACGTTATTTTAAAAAAATTACCAGATTTTAATGCTTATATTAAAGAAATATCTTAAGACCGGAACTTTGTTATTAAATATAAAGACTAAGAAATTTCTTCCAAATCGAAAAATAATTTTTTTTATATTACTAATCCTCAAACCCTCAAGAATTTAAAAAAATTTTAGTATTTTTTAATTTTAAGCAAATGGCAAGAGCTTTCGTTGCGCGTCACCGGAGGTTATTTAAATCTAACGGTTTTTTGTAAAACTTTAAAACTTATTGAATTAACCGATAAAAAATGATATTTTAACTTTTAATGAAAACACATAATTGTACCAAATTTTAACTTTCTGGGTCAAAATGATCATCTTTTGGAAAGAAGAAGCGTAAAATTCACGGGATGATTCGGTGTTCTTTTGCGATTACTTTATAAATGAAATGCTAAATATTTTTTTAGAGCTGACATGGTGGCCACAAGTTTCAGTTTATCAATTTCCCTGACAATTTACTGACATTAAAATTACTTTCCGACAAAATTCTTTTTACAGGAAAATATTAATGTTTACGGAGAATGGGTAAAATTTATGAATTTTAATAATTTCTAAACAATTAAAATTTGGTAAAAACTTTTAAAAATAATTAAATTTTTGAAGAATTTTAGTTATAAACAGGATCATGATTTCTCAAAAATTTTAATAACTCCAAAAAGTAAATTCTCATAAATTATTATTTACATTGTTCGAAGATAATTGAATCTTAAAAAAATATTATAAAACAATTCTAATAATTAGTTTTTAAAAATATTTTAATGTAATTTTTCGAAAATAATTGAATTTCTTAAAAAAAAAATGTTGTATAATTTAAAAAAACTAATTAATTTTTTTTCAATTTTAATTAAAAATTTTAAACTTGATTGTATTCTCCAAAATGGTAAAAAGAATTCTAAAATGTTATTATTTTTATATGTATTTGAATTTTTGGAAATATGTAATTGAAAATACTGAAAATATTAAATTTTAAAAAATTAGAAGCTAATTTTCATTAATTTTCATTTTTAAATTTACTTTTAAAGATTTTTCATTAAAATTTTTAATATTTCAATTATTTTTAAAATTTGCAATTAAAATTCTTCAAAAATTGTAAATAAATACTTGAAATAAATTAATTATTTTCAATTAAAATTTAACAAAATTTCAACTACTCAAAAAGATTTTTATTATAGAAATATTTGAAAAATTAAATTATGTTAAAAAATGATTCCCGAACAATTTTTGAAAGATTTGCTTAAAATTATTTTTCGAATTATAAAAATCAAAATAAATTGCACTTTTTTAAGTATTAAAAATTGTTATATTTTGTTGCAATGTTTGGAAAAAAAGTAAAAAAAAGTAGCAATTTTTGAAAATAAGTAGAAAAAATTCTTAATTTTCTTAATATCTCTGACATTTCCCTGACTTTACTGACATGTGGCCACCCTGGCTGTGCAAATTTAAAAAATTCGATTGACTTGGTTAGGTTAGAATTTTGAGTTCATGTAAAATTCGAGTTTCTATAAACGTCTAATTTTTTTCTTTATGAATTGTCTTTTCAGTATCAAAAAACCTTTAGTGAAGAAACACGATAAAATGTACCAATCGTTAAAAAAATCGATTTTGAGTTTATGATGCTATTCGACAGATTTTCATTTGTTTTTTCTAGTGAAAAAATCAGAAATTGAAAAGCATGTCCGCGTAAATAAACGGGTTTTCTGTTCAAGGCGTCGCTTTAAACGTTCACCCTGTAAAATTCTCTTTTTCGACAATAGGTACCTTTTTTCGTGTCGCGACACATTTTTATGCTGAAATACAGAAATAAAAGTTTAGTTAATAAATATTCGTAAATAAAAGAATATAAAAAAATTTTAGCAATTAAAATTAATAAAATAAATTAACTAAAAAGATAAAATGAAATAAGAAATGCTTACTTTATGCTTAGCCTTCTCGCGAATATCGACTTTGTAATAACCTTCCGTTCTCGCGCAACCAGTGGCATGTAACCTGAGGTCATCTCTTTTTCTTCTCTTCGCGGGACTAGGAACATCAGTAGGCGGATGATCCACCCAATGTGTGTCATTAAGCCAATAACCTTGAGCGTCATCAGCCAACAAGGCCTCGTAACTTCTCCTCAAATACTCAACGTCCTCGGCGTCAATTCCTCGCGTTAAGAATTGATAGAAAATACTCATTTCCGACATTAGATCCCTCTCCTTATAGGTAATTTCCGGTTGTGCAATTTTTGGAATCTCATAAATATTCTTTCGATTTTCCATTTCAATATTCTCCTTTTCACGCTCATAATTTTGAATATGAAGTTTAGAAATTTTATTATTTTTCCGCTTCTCCGCCTTCTCTTTTCTCTTATCCAATTTCAACGGTTTTGCTTTAGGTGGTATTGGTATTGCTATTGGGATCAATTCACTTTCAATCGTTGGTTTATCATCAACCGTGACAGCCGGTTTTTCCGGTAATAACGAATAAGAATGTTCAGCAAATACTAATGGCCTATCATCACCTTCGGGATAATTATCTCCATTTAATCTCAAATTTGCCTCGGCTTGGAATCTCAATTGACGAATTTCCAAACTCTCCTCCTCAGAATCGGTTGTTGGTATTTCACTGAATGTTATTTCAATTTTCTCCGATTCTTGTAATATTGGCACATCATTAATATATTTACTTGACAATGTCTCCAAACTTCGGATAATATTCGGTTGTATTTGTCCAGGACTTTTGTGCCTAATAATATTATCTTGACCGGCGAGTGTCATTAATGCCTCGGCAGCTGAACTTTCCATTCTTTCAATATCCCTTGGCTCTTGATTCCATAAATTCTCAGTCTTCTTAACCTCCGACATGAATTTCATTTCAGGTGTTTTTGGCCTATCGATTAATTTCATTTCAATGTCATTGACAATCTTTGTATCGTTTTCCTCTTTGGTTTCATGTAGATAGACTGGCGATGATATTGGACTAGCATCGTTACAAATTTCCGGTAATTCATTGTCATTTACATGAATTATTAGATCTGGTAATGGTGTTAATCGTCCCGGTGGTGTTGGACAATCGAGAGAACGTTGTATCGCAAGTTCCATGATAATATCAGTATTCTCACTTGTTGAGGCGAGAGGACGTGGATCGTAGGTAAATTCCTCATCGTCTGAACTTTCACTCGACGATTCACTACTGCTTGTATCATCACTTGAACTTGCAGCCGATGAGGAGGAGGATGTTGACGCACTGGGAAGACTCGCGAGTGGTCTTTTTGTTTTCGATACTGCCAGTAGATCCAAATCACTATCACTTTCAATTAATTCAGTTCCTAAACGATCCGACAGTCGACTATCCTCATCCAGAGGCATTGGACTCGGTGGTTTAATCTTTCGCTAAAAAAATAAAAGAAAGAAATTACACCTTCAATTCAATTTTTGAAATATAAAATTAACCCTTACCCTAAACGATGGCATTTTAGGCATACTGGCACGAATTCCCAATCCAAAACCATCATAATTGAAACCAAGCGGTGTTGCTTGTTCAATTAATGACGAAAGTCCCTCTTGCTTATTATTTTCATCCTTAACCACATTATTCGTAACATTCTCTTCAAAGGTACTCTGACTCTTTTCATGTGTCTGCGTTTTCTTCTCATCCCACCAATCTTCAAACAATTTAAACGCCGTATTCTCCACCATTTTTTTATTAAAGTCCTTTTTCAAAATTTGCTTCAATTCGTTAACAACTTTATTTAAAACCCCATTAATTGTGGGACCCTGAAGATTAAAAGAAAATCATCAAAAATTTCCATTGAATTTAAAAAATATAAGCATTGAAAAAAAAATTATTCTTACCTGAGGATTATCTTTATATGTATTAAAGTTTGTCATCGCTTGAAGTCGAGACTGAAGGGAGGGATAATAATTTGCGCCTTGGGCATTATTATGAATTCCTCCTTGGAAGGAATTATTGGGTGGTTGATAACTATTAGGCAGGTACGGTGCTCCATATGGAGAAGGATAATGCGCAGGGCGTGGCCATCCATACATATCGCTTACAAGATGAGGATAGTGAGGATGTGTCAACGCGCCGGGATATCCTGGTCCTGGATAAAGTTGATTTACCGGCGGATTGTGAGCTATCACTTGAAAACTGATCTAAATTCGAAAATGAAGAATTAGGTTAAATTCTATTATTTTGAACCTCAAGTAAAAATACATCTATTCTAATATTGATCATTCATTTTACAAATTCTATTCTCTTTCAGCAAACCTCAGATAGTATGACTTTTTTCGATTTTTCTTCTACATTATTGTAATAAAATACCACATTTTTTTTTGTATAAAATGTAATTTATTTCGATTTTCATAATGTCAAAAATAACTATGTAATCTGTTTTTTAAAAACAACAATTTGACAACACTTCAGAATTGTTACAAAAAATTAATTTTGTTATTCTCCGACTTTTCCTTGATTTGCAGACAAAAATTTTACTTTTTCCCTGGCCCTAAAGAATATTCATATTCGCTCTAAATTTTCAAATCCATTTGTTTACAATTGAATTTTACCAAAAATTTCGATTATTCGTAAATTCTTTAATTAAATATTATTAAAACATAAAAATTTGAAATAATTTTTAAAAAAATCTGAATTAAACTTTTTCCGAAAAAAATTAATTCCACAAAATTGTTAGTTAAAAATATGATACATTGAGAGTTTTTAAGATTTTAATTGGAAACCTTTTTAAAATTCAATTAATTCCAAACAGTCAGGTTATAATGCTTTTAATATTCAATTATTGTGTAAAATTTTAACTGAAATTCATTTTTAAATCAATTTTTAATAAAAAATTCTATGGGAATTCAATTATTTAAATACAAAAATAAGTAATTTATTGAATAATTGAATGTTTCTAAAATAATTGCATTTTTTGACGAATTCAAATAAAATTGTAATAAAAATAATTAAAATTCTCAGATGAGTTTTATTATTTATAAAAATAATTGAATCCCTAAAAATAAGAATTATATAAAAAAAATTTTAAATAACTGATATCTTTGAAAAATTTTATACAAATTTTATTTTAAATAATTTAATTTCTGTGATATTTTTATTATTTATGAAAAATAATTTCATGTATGCGTTGAAATTTAGAAAAATTTATTTAAAATTATTGAATTAATTATTTATAAAGATAATTGAAATTTTGAGGAGAATTTTATTAAAATATTTGAAAATAATTGAATTTCTGCAAAGAATAATTTTATTACTTTTGAAAATAATTGAATTCTTGTGATGAATAATATGTTATTTATCAAAATAATTGAATTTTAAGAAGAATTTTTTTTTAATTCCTAAAATTAATTTTATTTCTGGGATGAATTTTGTTGTTAATGAATATAATTAAAATTTTGACCTGAATTTTATTAAGATTTATGAAAATAATTCAATTTTGGAGAATAATTTTATTATTTATAAAGATAATTATAATTTTTACGAGAATTTTATTAAAAAATTTTTGAATAATTGAATTAAGCGAAGAATTTTAATACTTTTGAAATAATTGATTTCTTGTGATGAATATTGTTATTTATGAAAATAATTTAATTTTAAAAAGAATTTTTTTTAAATTCCTAAAAATAAATGAATTCCTAAGATGAATTTTATAGTTTATGAATGTAATTAAATTCATTAGAAGAATTATTGAATAGAAACTTTTGAAATGAATAAATATAATTTTAATAAATCAACTAATTTCAACAGAATTGAAATGAAAAATTTTCAAAAATTTAGTTCTATAGAAATGTTTAATAAAAATATGAAAAATTAATATTTTCAAAGATTTGAAATTGAAACCTTTTCAAAATTCAATTATTTCTAAAAATTCACACTATAGTACTTATAATATTTAATTATTCTCTAAAATTTCAACTGAAATTCATTTTTAAATCAATTTTTATTAGAAAATTCTACTAGAATTCAATTATTTAAATACAAAAATAAATAATTTATTGAATAATTGAATGTTTCATAAAATTCAATTCCCATAAAGAATCGTTATCAACAAATTTTCAAATAATTGAATTCTATCATCGAATTTTAATAAAATTTTTAAGAATAATTACATTTTTTGAGAAATTCGATTAAAATTGTATTAAAAATTATTGAAATTCTACAATGAGTTTTATTATTTGTGAAAATAATTGAATCCTTAAGAAGAATTTTATTACTTTTGAATAAAATTGAATTTTTGCGAAAAATATTATTACTCTTGAAAATAATTGAATTTTTGCAGTAATTTCTAACTTTTACAAAATTGAATTTTTTTTCCTGTTTTTAATTAAACATCTTCTATAAATCCATTATTTTTAATAATTTTTTAAAAAGTTCTTTAATAATTTTCAAATTTATTTGCTTACAATAAAATTTTACAAAATTTATATTATTCGTAAATTCTTCAATTTAGTATATATTAGGAAATAAAAATTTTAAATAATTTCAACAAAAAAATACGCAAATTAAAGTTTCTAAAAAAAAATTAATTCCACAGAATTGTTAGTTAAAAATAAGAAAAATTCAAATTTTCAAAGATTTTAATCTGAAACCTTTTCAAAATTCAATTATTTCTAAAAATTTACGCTCTAATGCTTTTAAAATTCAATTATAATTTAAAATTTGAACTGAAATTTATTTTTAAATCAATGTTCATGAGAAAATTCTACTAGAATTCAATTATTTAAATACAAAAATAACAATTTATTGAATAAATTGCATGTTTCTTAAAATTGAATTCTAATAAAGAATTTTATCTATAAATTTTTAAATATCTAGATTCTTTTGACGAATTTTAATAAAAATTTTAAGAATTTTTTCGAGGAATTCGATTAAAATTTTATTGAAAATAATTGAAATTCTGCAATGAGTTTTATTATTTATGAAAATAATTGAATTCCCAAAAAGAATTTTATTATTTATGAAAAGAATTGAATGATTGCAAAGAAATGTATAGAAAAAAATTTGTAAATACTGAAATTCCTGTGAAATTTCTATTATTTTTTGAAAATAATTAAAAGTTTGTGTAGAATTTTATTAAATTTTATTTTAAATAATTGAATTCCCTTGAAAAATTTTATAAAAATAATAGATATATTGAAAATCATTGAATTGAGGAAAATTTTTTTAAAATAGTTGTATTTCGGTGAAGAATTTAATTATTTCTAAAGATAATTGAAATTTTGATGAGAATTTTTAAAAATTTTTGAACATAGTTGAATTTCTGCGAAGAATTTTATTACTTTTGAAAATAATTGAACTTCTGCAATCATTTATAATTTCTCTAAAATTATTTAAATTCTATCGTACAATTTACGAACTTTTAATCTTATTTCAATCAAATTACGGACTTTACGGACCTTTTTTTAAAAAACGGACTTTTACGGACTTCAAGCAAAGTTACGGACCTAGTTCGAGCCCTGCTTATAGCAAAACTGAAGAAATATTTTGTTTCAATAAAAAAAGTTGCATTTGATCAAAATAAGTAAAAAAAAAGTCGCATTTTTTTTTTAAAGTAGTCAAAAAAGTCATACTATCCAAGACCTGCCTTCGTTTGAAAAATAAAATCTGAAAGCAAATCTTCAATCACAAAGTAGAAGAAAAAAAAAAAACTTTACCTCTTCAATTTTCTCATCACCAGAACTCAATGGACTCAATGACATTCGATCATCATCGAGCGATATGGCAGGTTGAGATTCCTTTCGCCTATCATCATTATCATCAACAGCCGGACTATAAATATCCAATAATGCCTCATCCTCACTTGAACTAATAACACTCCCAAGATCCTCATCAACCGGAAATGGATGTATATTATTCTCACGAATTTTTCTCCTCTCCTTAATTTTATCCACAGCCTTTTCATGATGCGCCTTATAAATTTCAGCGGTGAGAAATGGACTCGGCGGTGTTGACAGTATTTCCTCATCAGGCAACGATTTCTTATCATCCTCACTGTCGCTACCAAATTGTAAGAATGGCGGTGCCATACCACCGGCTTTATCCTTCAATAACATTGCAATTCTCGTATCTAAATCCAATGTTTTTCGACATTCAATCGGTGAATCGCGTGGCGTTGTTTTCGGTGTTATTTGCTGTAATTCCTTATCCTTCTTTTTTGGCGTGAACTGTTGAATTTTCGACGATGACGATGAAGACGTTGTTGTTGTTGTTGTTGTCGTTGGGGGTTTTGTGACGTGTAAAATATTCGGACTATCTAGACTCGATGAATGTTGTTGTTGTTGTTGTTGTGGTGTCCAAACTGGAGCAGCGTAACTTGGAGTCGCTGAACTCTGTGGATTCCACCACATTGCTGTTGAATTTGTTTGTAGAGGGAGATTTGGCGAGACACCTTGAGCGACGTTTGGTAAATAACTATTTGGCGGTGGATGATGAAAACCACCGTAAAAATAATCGTAATTCGTTGCTGGAGTTGAATTTTGTGAATATGAACCGGAATAATTCATTTCACTTGGCGCTGTTGCATAACCAAGATCACTGCCTGTTGTACTTCCGGTTGGTGTTGGATAATCACGATATTTACCACTACCATAACGTGGTGTCTCAATATAGTCGCGAGTTTTTTCATTTTGTGTTGTATTCGCCGTTGGTGGCGGTGGTTTTTTAACACGTTCCTCAGGTGGCGGTGGTTGTGGTGGTGGAATTTTTTCAATAGGCGACGGTTTCTCTGGTTCTGGTTCGGGTTTAATTTCCTTCGGTTCAATGCGCTTTTCAATTGTCATTTCGTCGTAGAGCTTTTTACATTCGTCGCCAAATGCATCGAGAAATACACGTAATACTTTACCCATTACTGATGTATTATTTAATTTTTCAACACAAGCCTTTGATGCTTTTGTACTCTCGAATACAACGCGGGCAATTCCAAGATGTTTATTTGTCATTGGATGATAGTAAATTGTGAGCTCTTCAACGGTGCCAAATTTATGAACCATATCGGATAGAAATGCACGATCGATATTGTCATTTAAATGGCAGAATGTCACTTCCAATGGGGGTGGTTCGCCGCAATAATTTTGATCGATCTTGAAACGCGGCACTGGAAGATCGAGTTGCTCGAGACGTGTCCATATTCTTGTTAATTGAGAACGTGGATCGCGGGGTTGAACAATTGGTTGTGTTGGATCGCCGGGTACAACGCCATCGTAACGATATAATTTTGTTGCGCCTTTCACGAGAAAGGGATCAACCAAAAGTTTATAGTTTCGTGGTTTTGGGGACGTTTGTTGCTGTTGTTGTTGCTGCTGCTGTTGTTGTTGTTGCTGCTGTTGTTGTTGTTGATGATGCTGTTGCTGATGATGTTGTTGCTGATGATGTTGTTGATGTTGATTACTCGTTGCTTCTTTCGAGGCATGTGATACTTGACTGTGACTATGCTTCGAGGAATGACCCGATGAATTTTGTGACGATGATGATGAATTGCTATGGGAATGATGATGGTGATGGTGATGATGATGATGGTGTGAATGTGAGTGACCATGTCCATGTCCGTGACTATGTCCATGCCCATGACCATGTCCATGTCTCTCCATACCGTTCATTGCCTCCGTGCATCATCCATTCACGTAATAATTCAGACTTTCTTTTAAGTGAAGAAAAAGTTTTTATAGGAACAATTGGGTTAATATCCTATCTAAGAATATCAATTGAACACCATTTAAAATCACCAATGAATCCTTTTTACAGTCTTTTTAGAATCTTGACAGTGAATTTTTGATTCAAAAATGCTGAAACAAAAAAGAATTCCTTTTAGTTTTAAGTCAATTGACAAAAATTTAATTCTCTATTTCCCTGATTTACACTAAAAATATTTACTCTTTTTCTTATCTAACTTCAATTCTAATTTATAAAAACGATGAAACAATCGATCAATTCTAATTTATTCTAATTTTTTCTAAAATTCAATCATTTTCCAAATTTTTGTTCGAATTCTTCAAACATACAATTATATGTGAAAAAAGATTTGTAAAGTAAAAAAAAGAATTTTTAAAGTAAAAAAAAGATTTTTAAAGTAAAAAAATAAAATTCTTCAAAATAAAAAATTTATTTCAAATAAAATTTGACAAAATTTCTAATTAATTGGAAATTTAATTTAATTAGATATTTCTAAAAATTTATATTATTAAACCTTCTAATAATAAATTATTGTCTCTTTTAACTGAAATTCATTCAATTAGATATTATTTGCTGGAATTTTTAACTAAAATTCTTCATCAAATGAATTATTTTTAATTAATCTTCGAAAAAGTTCTTTGTGAATTTTCAAAATCCATTTGTTTACAATTCAATTTTACGAAATTTCAATTATTTGGAAATTCTTCAATTAAATATAAATTGGAAAATAAAACTAAAAAAATTTTTTTTTTAAATTCAAATAAAACTTTTTCAAAAAATTAGTTTTACAGAACTGTTAATTAAAAATATAAAAAATTCCGATTTGCATAGATTTTAATTTGAAATCTTTTTAAAATTCAATTATTTCTAAAAATTCACAGAATATGGCTTTTAATATTCAATTATTATCTAAAATTTTAACGGAAATTCATTTTTAAATCAATTTTTATCAGAAAATTCTACGGAAATTTAATTATTTAAATACAATAAATAAATAATTTTTTGAATGTTTTTAGAATAATTGCATTTTTCGAAGAATTCAATTAAAATAGTGTTGAAAGCATTTGAATTTCTGCGATGAGTTTCATTATTTATAAAAAAAATAATTGAATCCCTAAGAAGAAGAATTACTTAAATATAAAAACTTTTTAAATAACTGATTTTTTCCGAAAAATTTTATACAAATTCTATTTTAAATAATTGAATTCCTGTGAAATTTTTATTATTTATAAAGATAATACATAAAATTTTGCCAAGAAGTTTATTACAATTTTTGAAAGTAATTTAATTTCTACGAAGAATTTTGATAGTTTTGAAAATAATTGAATTCTTGTGATGAATATTGTTATTTATAAAAATAATTGAATTTAAAAAAGAATTTTTTTTAATTTCTAAAAATAATTTAATTTCTGTGAAGAATTTTGTTATTTATCAGCATAATGGAATTAATTCAAAGAATTACTTTAAATCAGTGGATATTGAAAATAATTTAATTCTTTCGAAAAATTGTCTTCCAATTTTTTGAAAATATTTGAATTGTTTCTATAATTTTTATTTTTATTTATTATTGTTATTAATACCATTACCAATATCTTTATAAATTATTTATTATTTCCATTGCATATTTCCTAAAAAAATAATAAATAAATAATTAAAACTTTAAATAATTAACTTTTTTTATTGTTCTTAATTTTTTTTCATCATTAACTGTTTTGAATACATTTTTTTTTTAATTAGAATTACTTATAAATTGTAGAAATAGAAAAATTTATATTTCAATGTTTTTTTGTAATTCAATCATTAAAAGAATTAATGAAAAAATAATTAATTATTTTTTTAATTTTTTTTAAAAATTAATTAAAAATTGTAACGCATTTTTTTCTGCATTAAATAAATAAATTAGAAAATTTACATTTTAATTTATTAAAAAAATGTTCTTAAAATTTTAATTTTTTAAAAAATTTACTTTAAATTTCATTTAATTAACAAAGTTATAATTAATTTACTAAAAAATAAGATTATTTTTAAATTGTTTCTTTACACAAAATTTCAATTATTCAAAACTTTTCGTTATTTTTGCAATTGAATTATTAAAAAATAAAAAATTTTATCGTATTTTCAATAATATAACTAATAAAAATGTATATTTTTTAAACAATAATAATTTAATTACGACGAAAATATTTGTTTTTATTTTATTGTTATTTTGTGAGTTTTACTTTTTCGATAATGATTTTAATATAAATAAATTATGTAATTATTGTTTAAATTGGAATTTTTTTTTATTTTAACGATTTAACTGAAATGGATGTTTACATTCATAAAAATTTTGAGGTTATTTTTACTCATTAATGTACATATGATATATGATATATACATATATATAGATATATGTACAAAAAAGCATTAATTTTTTATTATCTCCCTTTTCAATTTTCGTCCAAAACACAAAGAAATTAGTAAAAAAAACTTTAATTACTATACAGCAGGAAAAAAACAAAACAAACAAAATACTCAACAATTTAAACTATTGTACAGATCTAACAAACGTCAAATTAAAATTATTGTTTTCTTGAAATACAAATTTTTACTAATAATAGTTATTCGGTCAAGTAACATTAAAGTTTTCATTAATCTAAAAGAAACAATATTGACGAAAATAAAAATTACAATTAGCTTATTATTAATAAACACTATAAATGTAAATTGTTAACTTTTGTCAAATAATAAAGAAAGTAAAAATTCACTTTGCTCGGTAAGTTTAATGTAAATTAATTCGAAATTTATTGCACATATTTTGTAAATTAATGTTAATTTTTGACAACTATATAAAAGATAATAAAGTATCAAGTAACGAACATAACCTAAAAAAAATGAAAGAATAATTTTTTTTCTCACTATTATTCCACTTTTGTTAAGTTTTCAAAGACTTTTATTCGCAAATTCAATTAAAATTATGTTTCTTTTTAATAAATTAAGAGAATTTTTACAATTATTGATGACATAAATTGAAAATAAGTGTAAAATATCGAACTTGATTTTTATAGTTACGAATGTTTTGTCTGCTCCTTATAGATTTTCTCTCAATTTTCATTTACTTGCTGTCACAAATTTTCATCTAGATTTGATATTCACTTTTGCCTTTTTTCTAATGTTCACTAATTATTCAAGAAAAATCGGGAAAAAAAAATTTTTTTTATCGCAGCTGCCCTTCAACACACACGCCAGCGCATAAAACCACCACATGAATCGTGTCTCTTCTTCTCCTATGTGTATATCAAAAAACGCACTATGAATTGAGAAAATGGATTTAATTTTCCATATTTGTCCAAATCCAATCGAAATAACTTGAATATTTTGATTAAAGGTGAATTGAGAAATTTTTCACAATCACCTTTATCGTTGAAGAGAAAATAACAAGTTTCATTTTAACCCATAAGTTTTTAATTTTCGCGTGTAAAAAAAAAGTGAACACACTATTTTCATGATGACGCCATCCTTGTTACGAATAATATGAACTGTGAATTTCTATTTACCGTTCTTTTTTTTCATAAAATTCAAATGAAACGTTCATAATGAAAATATTACGGTAGAGTGAATTTATTAGGATCAAATTTCATTGATTTGGAAAGTATTTTTTGTTTTTAAACAATTTATGAAAGGAGACAATGAGAGAGGAAGAGAGAGACAGAGAGAGAGACGGAAAATTATAGAAATTGGAATTTTTTTCAACTCAGTCAAGTATTTCCCCCTCTCAAGAAAAATATCCAAATTCCCATGACATCTTGTGCAAATTTAGTATAAATTTTATACATTTCATTCATTATAATAATTACAAGAGACTAATTAAAAGAATATTTATTACAAAAAAAAATCATTTTATTATTACATTTTGATTAGCTGATTAAGGCCTAAGCACAATAGGTTCGCGAAAGTCGTTTGCGAACGCAAAGCATGAGTTAGAAAATGACAGAGATATATTTGTGTCCTTGTCTGTCTCATGCGTCTCGTTCGCGAACGACTTTCGCGAACCTATTGTGCGTTGGACTTTAGTGAGTGATTAGGGAATTTTATTGCATCACGACCAATCAGAATTGAGGATTCACAAGACAATTTGTCGTCTGCTTGGCGGGAGATTTTGAATTCTCGTTTTACTCCTGAATAGGAGAAAAATCTTTCTATTTTCTATTTTTCAGTATCTTTTACTATCATATGAAATTTAGAATTATTTTATCATCGTTACAAATTTTTTTTATAGTTCAACCAAAAGTAGTGTTTTTGTATATGGTTTAATTCAAAAATAAAAATTTTTCAATAAAAAAGAATTATTTGACTCGAGTAGTTGCGCATACGGTGTAAAAATTCGTCTGCTAATTTGTAAGTGTGTTGGGTTGGATAGAAAAAAATATCTAAATTTTAGGAGGAAAAACGATAAAATATATCAGTGAATATTTATTAATAAGAAAAGGGGGAAATAATTCTACAATTATTTGTAAAAAATGTCGTTTATTCAAAGTTTCTTCGAGAGAATTATACCAGTAGTTAAGGCTGACGATGGAGATGATGAACTCGTTGATCCTCAGAAGGTTCTTCGTGTAAGTATATTTCGAGTTGAAAAATATTACATAACTTTAAGAGAAAAACAAAAATTACTGTAAATATTAATTTTAGATTGACGCTAATTTTATTTTCTTTCCCTTAGACATTTTTTCCATTTTTTAACTTTAACCTTAGAATAGTGTAAAAAAGATTGATTGCAAATTCGGATAATTTTTTTTTCCTTTGAAAATAAATTATTTAAAAATTTATCCCTTACTTATTACAAAAATATTATTATCATACAGTTTTGTATTTTTATTATATCTGAAAGAGACTTAAATAATTTTTCTTCTTTTGTGTAAAATACGCCGATTCTTCGTTCATATTTTGAGGTTATGTCTCCGTATAATTAAAAAATTTTTTTTTAAATAAATAAAAAATAAGTAGTAAATATAAAATTCAAAACTGCATTAAATAATTTTATTTATTTTCAAATTGTTTTTTATTATAGTAATTTTTGTTTTGCTTTCTTTTTCTTAAGTAAATTAAATATACTGTAACGAATAATAAAATTGTATAATTAATGAATTTTCTTAAAATGGAATTAAATTCTTTTATTTGAATTGAATTTATATTGAAACTATTTTTCATTTATTCTTTCAAAGAATTTATTAAATTTAATAATATAAAATTGAACAATCATATTAAAATTATAATTTTTTGTTTGCAGGAAACTTGTGGTCAACAAAAAAAATGCATTGAACTGCAAAATCGATTGAATACATGTAACGATCGAGTGAATTCACGTAAAAACACTGAGGAAACTTGTTTGGAGGAAATAGTTGATTTAGTCCAATGTGTTGATCATTGCGTTGCAAAAACACTATTTAGTAAATTAAAATAATTCTCTAAAAATTTCTCCATTAATTCACACTCGCATGTAAACCATATTAGTTTAAAGCTACGAAAAAAAAGTCAATGTTTTAAATATATTACAGTTAAATAAAAATAAAAGTAAATACAAGTTTCTTTAATTTACCAAGATTTTAAAATAAATTTTTATTTAAAGAAATAAATTTAAAATTCACAATTTTCTTGATAATTTGTTTTTAATTTCAATATCCTTATTATGAAACGAGTTGATATGCAAATTAGGTAAAGGAAGACATTCTTATGTTATTTAATTTTGAAAGAAGATGAATAATACATAATGGTTAAATTTGAAGACAGATAATCTTATAATTCTTATTAATTCATTGACAACTTTGAAAATAATTAATTGATTAAAAAAATTTTATTGTAAAGGTTCGACTGTAAGAAAAATTATTTTCAACTTTTGCTGTATTTATAAGTGTCAAAATTGATTGTTCAAACTCATATAATTTAATCATTTTAATTAATTTAATTATCTAAAATTATTTTTTAATAAATAAGGACCTTAAGAAAGAATTTAATCTATAAAAACTAAAATTTCTTAATAGTACAATTGATTATAGTTATTAATACCTAGTAATAAAATTAAATTCCAATCCAATTTTATTTTTATAAAAAATATTTGAATTATAAATTTTTAAAATTGTTAATTTTATATAAAACAGTAAAAAAAAGTTAGCCGCACGCGAATTGTTGCTAGTAAATAAATAAAATGGAATTTGAAAAAATAAAAATATGAAAAAACTATACCAAGAGAAAAGAGATAATCCATTATTAATAATAATTGAATAAATAAATAACATTTTTCTAAGCTCCAAAAAATGAAAAATTTTAATTGCAAATTTTCCCTTTATCTGCAGCATACTTCACACATGTAAACAGGGTGGGGAAGATCCTCTATGTGACACGGCAAATGCCCAACCCTGTCTTAGAGCCGTCGTTCCTCATTTGTATTTTAAGTTTTATTTTGAGGTTAAAATTATTTAAAATTGGTAATTAGGACAATTAGAATTAGAGAAGAATTAATATAATCATATATTAAAAAATTTGATATTTCATTATGGATTCTCGAATGTACGATCCTACTCCACAATCTATCATTTTAGTAGATAGAGATAATAATGTAAGTATGCCTTAATTTTCTAAGAATTCTAATGGATGTTTTTATCCTATATATTGTTTTTAAATATATAATATGCCGCTTAATAACTTTTTTATATTCTACGCACAAATTACGTGCATTAGAAAAATTTTTATATTTCTTAATTTTTTGTAAAGATACAAAACCAAAAAGATATATTTTTTTTTCAGAATTATATTAAATAATTTTTTAATGTTTAATTACTATCTAAGTTAAATAGATTTCATTTTCTTTTTCAATTTCAAAATTCTTAAAATTTGAAACATTTGGATATTTTCTTAAAATGTTAATTATAATAATAATTTTATTATTATATTAATTTGATTCTATTTATTATAGTATTTATATTTATTTCAGAGAATTGAACTTACTGCTGAAAATTTAAAAGTACTTCGAGAATGTTCAAGTGAGGGATTTCGTAACAGAGCTATACCTTTTGCTATAGGTTCGGGTTTTATTTCTTATATGGCAATGAAACAAGCAAAAGTATTGCAGCAGAGTTTTGGTAGAGTACCAGTTGTTTTATTTTCTTCAGTAGCGGGATTACTGTTAGGCTTAAGAAGTTACAGTCCAATATGCCGCGACCGATTGATGAATGCACTTAAACAAAGTGCAGATGGGTAATTATTAAAAAAAACAAATATTATATAATTTAACCATGTGGAAGAGTTTTCCAAAAATATGCATGAAAAATCTTAATTATTATTATAAATTTATTAATTAAATTTCGTTAAAAAGTTACATTATTTTATTAGTTACAATCCAAATGTTATGGAAGATCCAAAAAAGCAAGTACCTTTTGAGAAGGAACAGGAATATTTTAGTCAAAGTAAACCAACAGATATAGAATTGCCAATAATGGGTGATTTTTATACTTCAAATAATAATGTAGATATAAGTAAGTTTAGTAAATTAATATTATTAAAAATCTACACCCATACTCTACTATTTTTACTTATAATTAAAAAATAATTAAATTTAAATTTCGAACTAAACGAAAATTAACTTGATATAGATAATTTGGAATTACCTTTTGAGTCGAAGAATTCTGAAACGCAAAGAACTTACACATCATACGAAAACTTGAGAGATAGAAATCGAAGCGAACACTATGATAAATACAGGTATGTTTTTTTATTCACATTCTAAGTGCAATTTTACTTGTAAGTACAAAATTAAATACAGGACTTGAGATAATTAATAACTTTTTAAAATTAATTGAACAATCTGCATTAGGTTTATATTAATTTATAAATATTGGGTGCTTTTTATAGTTTATTAACTTATTTTTATAACGTAGAATGCAGCGACCTAATCAGGAAGCAAAACCAAACTATAATAATCCTCATCAGCCTGGACATCCAGGAAGTCAGACCATTTATCTTCCTTTTGCAAACCTTGGAGACTTGAATCAAAATCCTAGGAATGTTCCACAGAAATCCGAATATAGTGAACAGTCAATGAGATAAAAGTTTTTTTCATAACAACAAGATGTGTACGGTTATGATTAATAGTACTATTCTTTAATATATAGACGTTTTATGTATTCTGTTTATTATAAACTTAATAATAAGTTTAAGGAAATAAAAATTATTTCCCATAGTTATAATACATAAAAAGAAAATATATTTAATTCTTAATTTCCCGTCGTTTTCAATTTTGCAATTCTGACTTTAAATACACACAATACAAATTATTAAAACTCCAAATTTAAACTAATTATTAAGACACCTATAAAAAACCATTTCAGAAGCGAAAACAATCAACGAAAGTGAATATCCAAAAAGAAGCAGCATGATCATTACATTTAAGGACTTGAAAATCAAGGACCTATCCTGCTTAAACAGATCGATTTGATTTTTACGAATTGAATTTTTTCTTGAGAACGCCTCATCCCACTTATTACTGATACCTGCTTCCATTAGAGATAACGTTATTTCCTCAATTCGAGATTTTAACGGAGATCCACCTGAGAGATACATACCACTTGCATACACTCCTTGGATATCTTTTAATATTTTCATGCCTTCTGAATTATTCGCTTTTCTTTGTTCTTCAAGCCTTATTTGAGCAGCATCTTCTCTTCCATGACAAGCAATATTTTTATTAATCATTAGTGAAATTGTACAATCTTCGAATGATTCATCTGAACCTTTCAATTTCTTCATTAACTTCAAATAAGAATCTTCTGGTTCGTTTACTTTATGCCAATTCACATTTTGAGTTCCAACAACAGTTATATTAGCAGCAAGTACATCATCGAATGTTTCTATTTTCTTAGAATATTCCTTTTGTATTTGAAAATTTGAAATTACAGTATAGAGATAAGACGATTCTAGAAAGTAAAAAATCAGAATAGATAGAAACACTAGTCTTTCTTTATTTTCTTTAGGGTCTCTCGGTGATGAAAATCCAAAAGCAATTTGAAGAGTGTACATAAATTTCCAGTAATGTGGATCAAATTTGAGAAACTTGGCAATCATCCATGGTATGAAAAGAATACAAAATACGATCAGCATTTCATGTAAATTACGTTCAGTTAATAATAATACAGCTTCACTTGGCAATATTGGTACTACATACATAAAAGTGAAGGATCTTGTACCTCGAGTGATGAGGGCGAAATTGTTTAAACAAGTACCAAATATAGCGGTTTGAGGAAGCATCACTTGTATCTCGTTATAAATAACGTTTTTCCAATACCCAACATTCTTTTCTTTGTCGCAACGTCCAGCAATCCAGTTAGTGTCGTTGTAAATTATCTTTTGCAAGGTGAAGTTTAAAACATCAGACAATCCTATTGCCAAGCTTACTTCAGGACCTTTAATACTGACAACATGCTTTGTGCTATTCCGTTTAATGTAGATATAAGGGGGGTAATGAAACATACCCACATTTATCTTGTATCCGTTCAGATTACGAAGCTTGTTCGGAAAGAGAATGCTGTTCTCTGAGAATGATGTTTTAGTACATTTTTTAGTGAATGGATTATAATAATGTTGCTTGACAATTTGTACATCTGAATATTTTGATATTATCTCATTTTCTTTACGCTGCTGAATCTCAAGTACCGTGACGTCTAGAAACTGTTTTGGCCACAACAATTTGAAGAAGTCGCGATAATTGTTGGTTGTTGTAACTTGAAAAGCTATCAGAAGTTTTGGAATTGAAAGTGGTTCAGTTATTTTAGCTAGAGAATCAAGTATATTTAGTACTTCTGTTATATTTCGGTCTTTATTTCTTGAAGGAACGATGACGACAATTGTTGACTCTAGTAAAATTGAAGTTAGCTTCAAACTATGGCTGTTCCCGTTCGTAAAGTTCTTGAAATCAATAAGTCGTGTTGGTATCTTTCTTGGAATATTCTGTACCATTTGGTGTATGAGACAATTGTTAGAATTATCACTGTATAACAAAAGTACTTGATTCATTTTTGTAGACCGATTTAAAATTGTGGTCAATTCGCTTGGCCATATAGAAGATGCTTTACCCGTGATTTCTCGGGTGGTAAAATTAAAGCATACAAATGCTATTAGAGTTTGAATAGTGAACTTCATAATGTTCATTATAACACTTAAACAATATTATATTATTTTTAATTGTATTGTCTTATATGATTTCATTAGTTTTAAAAGAATTACCAACTATTCTGAACTTCTGTCTTTAATTTGCTGAAGAATCTAACAACCATATATTTGTTAATTGTCTTAATTCTTAAGGTTTCAATACAACTTTCCCATATAAAAGTTATTGCAGTAAGTGATTTATTTAATTTTCACTATCTGATTGGTATATCTAACTTATTTTTAAAGTTTTATCATTTAGGACTTATATTTTAAATTTAAACTTGTTTCATTCTGTTGCTCTGAACACAACAAAACACAAAACTACAATAGAAGAAAAAATATCATCGAAATGGTTGAAATGTCGAGAACAATATACAATGTCAATATTTCCCTTTAAAAGGAAAAGTATGCGACATGCAATTTGCAACATGAATAAGTATTGTAATTTACGTGGAGTTTTTTCGCGATACCACGAATAAAACATTAGTTCAAAAATGTCAAATTGTTTTGAACTTTTCAGGTAGCCTAAGCAGTATATGTATCCCTTCTCTTATTTTTCCATTTCTGACTAAGGCCTTTCGGATTTGTCCCAGAAGTAAACACATTACAAATTATTAAAACACAAAATTTAAACTAATTATTAAAATACTTATAGAAAACTATTTCATAAGCAAAAACAATCAGCGAAAGTAAATATCCAAAAATAAGCAACATGACCATTAAATTTAAGGCCTTGAAAATCAAGGACTTATTCTGCTTAAATAAATCGACTTGATTTCGACGAATTGAATTTTTTTTTGAGAAAGCCCTATCCCACTTATTACTGATACCTGCTTCCATTAGAGATAATGTTATTTTCTCAATTCGATATTTTAATGGAGATCCACCTGACAGAAACATACCACTTATATGCACTCCTTGGATATCTTTCAAAATTTTCATGTATTCTGAATTGTTCGCTTTTCTATGTTCTTGAATAATCATTTGAGCAGCATCTTCTCTTCCTTGACAAGAAATATTTTTATGATCCATTAATGAAAGTGTACAATCGGCGAATGATGTTTCTGAATATATTGAATTTTTCATTAACTTCAAAAAAGCATCATCAGGTTCCATTACTTTAAACTGATCGACATTTGAATGTGAAATAACAGTTAAATTCGCAGCAAGTACATCGTCAAATGTTTCCATTTTTACTGAAGATTCTTTTTGCAGTTGGAAATTTGAAAATACAGTATAGATATAAGACGATTGTAAAAAATAAAAACTCAGAACTGCTAAAAATATTAGTCTTTCTTTATTTTCTTTAGGGTTTCTTGGTGATGGAAATCCAAAAGCAATTTGAAGAGTGTACATAAATTTCCAGTAACGTCGATCAAAATTGAAGAACTTGGCCATTAACCAGGGTATCAAAAATATACAAAATACGATCATCATTTGACGTAAATTACTTTCAGTTTTTAAAAATACAGCTTCATTTGGCAAAATTGGTACTACGAAAATAAGAGGTAAGAATCTTGTACCTCGAGTGATAAGGGCAAAATTATTAAAACAAGTATCAAATATAATGGTTTGTGGAAGGAGCACTTGTATCTCGTTATAAATAATGTTTCTCAAAAACCCAACATTATTTTCTTTGACGCAACGTACAGCAAGCCAGTTTGTGTTGTTGTAAATTATCTTTTGTAAGGTGAAGTTTAAAACATCAGACAATGCTATTGCCAAGTTTATTTCTGGCCCATTAGCACTTACCACATGCCCTGTAGTGTTCCGTTTAATGTAGACATAAGGTGGATAATGAAACATACCCACCTTCATCTTGTATCCGTTGAGATTACGAATCTTGCTCGGAAAGAGAATACTGTTCTCTGAGAATGATGTTTTAGTACATTTTTTAGTGAATGGATTATAATAATGTTGCTTAACAATTTGTGCATCTGAAAATTTTGATATCATCTCATTTTCTTCACGCTGCTGAATCTCAAGTATCGTGACGTCCAGAAAATGTTTTGACCACAACAATTTAAAGAAATCTCGATAACTTTTGGATGATGTTACTTGAATGTGAATGAGAATTTTTGGAAATATAAATGGTTCAGTCATTTTAGCTAGAGAATCAAGTATATTTAGTATTTTTGTTAAATTTCGGTCTATATTCCTAGAAGGAATGATGATGACAATTGTTGACTCCAGTAAATTTGCAGGTAGTTTCAAACTATGGCTGTTCCCGTTTGTAAAGTTCTTGAAATCAATAAGTCGTGTTGGTATCTTTCTTGGAATATTCTTTGCCATTTGATGCATGAGACAATTGTTAGAATTATCACTGTATAAAAAAAGTACTTGATTAATTTTCGTAGACCGATTTAAAATTGTGGTCAATTCGCTTGGCCATATAGAAGATGCTTTACCCGTTATTTCTTGGGTGGTAAAATTTAAGCATACTGATGCTATAAGAAGATTTTGAATAGTGGACTTCATAATGTTCCTTATAATAACATTTAAGTCCAATTTTTTTAAAGACAATGTCATATATGTTATATTTGATAATTTTGTCTAATTCCATAAAGTTATTTAATAGAATTCCATATGAAAACCATTTTAGTAAATGATTAATTTAATTTTCACTTTCTGCTTGATATCTAACTTATTGTTAATGTTTTACCATTTAGGACTTATATTTAAAATTTTTTCTTGTTTCTTTCTTTTGATCAGAACAGAGCGAAACTGTACACCAGAAGTAAAATATATTCATAATACTATTTGTTTCTTTTGTTAAATTATAACTAATGAGTTAATATTTTATTTTATCTTACTTATGTAAGAGACTTTATATTTATTTTCTATGTTTAAACTGAAAACAAAACAAGCATCGAAACACGTGAAAGATATTGAGTATTAGCCAATGTCAATTTAATATATATGTATAAAATGCTACATAAATGTTGTTTTTGTAGAAAAATAAAAAATGCAAAAGAAATAATATAGTAGAAAAATTTTGCTCAACGGTACATTTATTTTAGTACTGGGAAGTGAATTTTATGAAGTTAAATATTAAACCAATAATTTGTCTCTCTAGCTTACTATTTAAGCATATTGTTGTCATGTTCTCGTGACGAATAATTTTCTTTTATTGAAATGTTTAAAATTAAGGTAAATAATTGAATTTTATAGCCAAATAGCACAATATTAGAGCTCAATGTTATGGAAATATTGTCATCCCACACGGCATCGAAACTTTTCTAAAGGTTGAAAAAAGCTTGACATAGGAATCTTTAGTAACGAAGCTCATTAAAGCTGAAGTATTTTTTTAAATTACGACTGTTTTTCAATGTTTGACGCGAAAGCTGACTGGACATTGCAAGAATAATAACTACGTTTTATTTTATTTTTGCACACTTTTATTAAAACCGTGAAGAAAAATATTAATTTCTTGTATTTTAAAACATTTTAATATACGGTTCTCTTTGATATACAAGAAGAATTGTTTTCATGGAGTAAGATATTATGATGAAGATGAAGCATCAGTATCCACAAAATCAAAAAGATCGAAGTGTTCCACCGGACCATCGAACACTGGCATTTCTTTTGCACATTTATATGTAACATCACCATTTAAACTAATTATTTCATCGACGCAGTAATCTGTAAAAGATATGGAAAGATATGTTCGTGAATATACAGTAGAACGGATTTGGATTTTATTAAAGTCTTAATTCTTAGATTGCAACAAAATTATTTTATTATATAAAACATAACTCAGTAGTTAGATATAGATGCACATGAACCTATGCACATACATACCAAAGAATAATATAATAATATGTAATAATAATAAAAATACACAAGAATCTTGAATGGGATATCCAATATATGTGTTCTTACATAGGAATTTTCAACAGGGTATTACATATTTGATCCCATGTAAGATTCTTGTGTTTTCTTATGCGTATGTAATCAATTTTTGGCACTTACCAAATCCATTCTGCATCCTATTCTTAATTGGTGAAATATAGTATCCGGTGCACCAATAGTACCCAGGTAAAGCATCATTATCCTTTGTACACTGCACTGTACAGATTTTTAAAAACGATTATTTTTTTCATAATTTCACATATGGAGGGATTTCCGTAAATTTTCCGGAAGCTACATATTCTGTCCCACGTGAAAAAATTCCCGGGAATTAGACTAAGAAACATTATTTATAATTGAAGTATATAAGTTTCATCTGGTACTTACTAACTGCTTCCTCTTTACTTTCGTAAATTACATCTAACCGACTAGCGCAAAAGAAAAAGAAACTTGTGAATAAATAAAGACAATAATGAAAATACATGATTCAATTAAATTCCAAAAATAGCGGTAAAACACAACTTTTCTATAAGAAGAAAAGAAAATAGAATGTACTTTTTTAAAAAGAAATTCTTGCATTGATGATAGAAAAAATTATCACAAAATTTTATGTTCAAACTCTTGAAGATAAAGTAAAAAATTAATGTTTTCTATAAATTATCTCAGTTGCAAACTTTCATGATTTTCAAATAAAAATGCACATGTTGTTAATAAATTTGTTGAAAAAATAATTTTTATTGAAAACAATTAAATCTGTTATAGATTCACCTGCTATTTTCGTGACTATAAAATACATATATTTTTGTAAAACATAAAGTTATGCAATACCACTAAATGATAACGAATTTTATAATTATATTTCCTTTTGTACTGAGTACCTATAATATATACTTAAAATATTTCCTTTTTGTTGATACAAATTTAAGTACAATATAATATTTTCATATTATATATTGTTAATATATTATATTTATTTATATTTATATATATATAAATTATACGATATAATATAAAATATATTATCTTATCTTCACTGGTTGGATATTCCATAATGATCCAACCTTAACTGGTTGGCTGAAATTTTTTTTAAAATATATCCGCAATTTTGTATTTTTTAAAATAAAAAATGATTACTCAGAAGTATACTTATTTTGAAAAAAAAGAATATTGTTTATTTTTAATTTAATATACTTACATTTAGTTAAACATAAATTGAGCGTATTTTGATTATAAAAATCTGTTTACTGGATGTAATTCTAAAACACTTTAAACATTAAAAAAACCTCATGAGGTAAAAGTGTGCTATTGACTGTTGAAACAAATTTTGTTCTTTTTCGCTTATTGTCCATAAGTTGAAGTATTCGTTACCTTTACTTATACTTTACAATTTCTTTAATTTACATATGTAGTTTAAAATTCCGTTTTTGCTAATAATGGGTATTTCAGAAATTTTAATTTACTCGTTAACAGCTTGCAAAACTCTAAGGTATGATAAGGAGGTGTACAATACCTGAAATATTAAAATTTTTACACTCTATACCCTCCTGGTTTAAAATTCCTGACCAAGTTCAGATAACTTTTGATAAGCATGCGGTTACATAAATTATAAACATGAAGTTCTCCATTTTTGAATATTTATAATTTATAAATAATTATAGTAAGAATAAAAAAATTTTTTTTTATGAAACTGTTCTTCTTTTACCTTAGAGAAACTTGTCAATGTCAAATTATAAAACTTTGCAGCTGTAATTTTACTTGGATTATTAATTCTCATCATTACTATTTGTAATTCTTTAGCAGAAGAGCAACCAGCCCAGTCAGAACTATAAACACCATCTCTAACAGCAATGCTCTAAATTTATTGTGAATTATTAGCTGACTAAATAATAATCATAAAAACAAAATTAATTTTAGAAATCATTTTTTTTCGTCAAGATAATTTTTTACGGCAACCTTCAGAAAAAGTGAAGTAAAAGTGCATTGGAAAATATTTTTGATTAAATCGCTTTTTCCTTTGGTATTTAAAATCAGTTTAGATAGTTAAACTGACTCTAGTTCTAAAACAATTTTATATCTACGACTTAGTTCGAACCCTGTCTGTTTGGTAAATAGTTTCTTGAATTTATAAATGATAACTAAAGGCTAAAATTTAGAAAAAAGCTTTTTGAGCCAACGATCCGTAAATTATAAAATCTGATGAGACTATCTAAAAACAAACCTCCTCCATTAACTGATCACCACTGTAGCTGAAGAGGAACAATTCGAATATTGCACTTTGAAGAAAAGTACCATATTTCATTAATTTTTGACGATCTGATGCATTCTAGAATTCATGCACACTTGACTTTTTAATTCAACTTTATTATTTTATCTAAAGTTTAAAAACTTTAGACAAATATTTACCGATGTTAATTGAAATCCGGAAAAACATATTAAGCTGGTGCTGACTATAATGTGTCCTAATGCCAAGGGACTTATTACCTTTTCCAACTGATCAGCATATCTTAAAAATAGTAAATTACATATTTAAACAAAATAAATAAAAATAAATAAAATTTCTTGTATAATAATAGTAATTATTGGATTCTGCATATAAGAAAATATCACCTAATGCATGCTTGATGTTGTACAATGCATTCTTTAACAATTTTTTTACTACGAACATTATAAATTTTTAAATTTCTGAATTTATCCTGTAAAACAGAAAATTTTGCAGCGCCGTGAATAACAGAAATAATAGTAAAACCAGTCGCAGAGGTAATTGTACAACTTCCAAAGAAAGCTGAAAAAATATTAAAAACAAGAGCACATTCAAAGATTGGTGATGTCGTGTGATTAAAATAATAATATCCTCGAAGCGGTAATTTTTCACGATCTCCATCTTGGAAGTAAAACTGAAATTTATTTTGTATTAGTTTATCTATTAATATTGAATTAAAAATAATGTATTTATATACTCAATAAATTACCATGCGAATTGGTAATAAACATAAGCAACTCAGTGCTAATAGAACACTGATAATAAAAATAGTAACAATCTTATAGCTGAATTTGCATTTATTTTTAAAAATATTTGCAACTTCTGGTGTAGCTTGACACCAATCATTTCGCATATTTTCCACAATAAAAAATACTTCTTTGTCGTGAGTGTAAAAAATTATAATGCGCAATGTTGCTAAATAGAAAGCACAACCAAATAATCCACATTCTATAACTTCATCGAAATTATGTCTATTACGAAAACCATCCGCTGTTATACCAATTGACATTGTCAGCAATAGAGTTGACCCAATAATTCGATGAATAGTTCGAAATTTTTTTTCCATTGATACACTTTCTTTTGACAATGGCCAGAAACATGCCATTTTACTGACCATCATCAAAGGTTTAATCATTTTATCAAAATTATAATCATCTTCATAGTTCAAATTCATAGTTTGAATAATATTGTCTATACTAAAGAAAATAGTATAATGTAATTTTTTTAGATCATTCCTAACACTGTCTCTAGTTGAATTTTTAAACCATCAAAAGTAATAATAAAATAGAAATAAATTGTGAACATTGAATCTGCATATACTTTAGAGTACAATTTGCACTAAAAGTAATGTAATATTTTATGATATTGAAATACTCTTTAGAATCAAAAAGACCTTTGAAAAGACAAAGAAAAAAGTCTTACTAAATTCTCCAAATATAAAATTATCCCTTAGGGAGTAAATGATACGTGTCACGATCGAAACTTAGTTGTAGGAGGGTAGAAATTTTGCGATATATGTAGTTAAGAAATAACTACCTCAATTGAATATTTTAATGAGTGTGAAAATACATTAAATAACCAGATGTACCAGGAAAAAAGTTACTTTTTCTGTGACGTGACACCTTCTTCACTATTATATAGTGCTCTTTTTACAAATACCTATCAATTTGTAACGATTTTCGCCAATTATTCTACATGACAATTTTATAAATTGCTAGATATTCTGGAAACCACTTACAAAGTAGAATATCAATTTTTTATGCTTCCTATTATATTCTGAAAAGAACATAAATCACATATTGTCAAAGACAATTGAATAAAAGTTTAGTAATTTTTCGTTTATGATATTTTTATAAGCTTACGCAGTTATTAGATGGTCGATGGTATATCTAACAAATTTTATGAACAAATGATCGAAATAATTTGACAAAAAGAATTTAAATTAATTGCATAGAATTTAATTGGAAATAAAATTTTGGTAAGTAGTCAGGGATGCCACAGGTCAGAGAAATCAGGGAATTCAGGGAAAAGTCAGGGAAAGTGAAATTGGTCAGGGAAGTCAGGGAGAAGTCAGGGATTTTTATTTAATTAACTGGAAAAAATTGAATTTTGGAGAAGTTACAAATAATTGCAGAAATTCAATTATTTTCAAAAGTATAATAAAATTCTTCGCAAAAATTCAATTATGTTCAAAAATTAAAAAAAATTCTCATAAAAATTCAATTATCTTTAAAAATAATAAAATTCTTCTCCAAATTTCAATTATTTTCCAAAAAATTTAATAAAATTCTTTTCAAAATTTCAATTATTTTCAACAAATTTTTCTCAATTCAATGATTTTCAATATCTACAGTTTTAATTAAATTTTTCAAAAGAATTCAATTATTTAAAAAAAAAATGTTGATCAAAATTCTAAGCAAACTTTGCAATAATTCAATTATTTTCATAAATAATAACATTTTTTACAAAAATTCAATTATTTTCATGAATAATAAAATTCATCATAGAATTTCAATTATTTTTAATACAATTTTAATTAAATTCCTCGAAAAATTTAATTATTCTTAAAAATTTTATTAAAATTTCTCGAAAAAATTCAAATTTGTTGATAAAGTTCTTTATGATAATTTAGTTTCGAAAAACATTCATTTATTCAATAAATTATTAATTTTTTTATTTAAATAATTTAATTCTTGTAGAATTTTCCAATAAAAATTGATTTGAAAATGAATATTAGTTAAAATTTTAGATCATAATTGAATATTAAAAGCATTATAGCATGAATTTTAAAAAATACATAATTGAATTCTTTCGAAGAATTTTATCAAAATTTTTGAAAATAGTGACATTTTTCGAAGAATTTACTTAAAATTTTATTAAAAATAATTGAAATTTTGTGAAGAATTTTATTAATTTATAAAACTAATTGAATTCTTGCAATGAATTTTTTCAAATGTTTTTTAAATAATTGAAATAATGTAAAGAATCTGTTTTTTGAATTTTTTTTTTTGAAAGAATCCTTATTATTTATGAAAATAATTAATTCCTGCATCGAATTTTATTACATTTTTTCAAATAATTGAATTCTTTTGAGAAGTTTTATTAAAAAAGTAGATTGTGAAAATATTTGAATTTCAACGAAGAATTTCATTATATTCGTGAAATGTAATTAAATTCCTACAAAAAGATTAAGAGAATAATTCCATTTTTCTAGGAATTTATTTTAAATTGTATTATAAATAATTGAAATCCTCAGAAAAATTTTATAATTTATGAAAATAATGGAATTCTTACAACGAATTTTATCAATTTTTTTTAAATAATTGAATTCGTGTGAAAAATTTTATTACTTGTAAAAATAATTGAATTTATGCAACGAATTTTATTACATTTTATTTAAATAATTATATTCTTTTGAAAACTTGTACCTATTAAAAATGTAAATTTTGAAAATTTTTGAATTTCAGCGAAGAATTTCATTATTTCTGAAATGTACCTAATTTAATTCTTGCAAAAAATTTTTGAAGATAATTATTTTTCGAGAAATTTATTTAAAATTGTATTAAAAATAATTGAAAAATTTTATGGAAATTAAAATTTTTATAAAACATGAAGATATCAATCACTCCGAGTCTTTCGACTCGGAGTAATTGATATCTTCATGTTTTATAATAATATTCTTATAAGTTGTTGAATTTTAAAAATGTTTGAATTTGAATGTTTTGAAGAATTTTAATTCCTATGGAAAAATAATAATTAAATACTTATTTAAAAATTTAGTTATTGATGTTTGCAAATAATTTTACAATTTAAGAAATTCGTAAGTGAATGTAATAGAATTTTTTTTTTTGAGTATTTAATAATTTTTAGAGTGAATCAGAATATTCTTTAGGGTCCGCATATTCTTTAATTTTTTTCTTTAAAAAATATTAAATATATAGTAATAATATATAGAAAAAATTGAATTTTTTGTATTGATAATTTTATTTTAAAAAGTAAGTGAGAAGTCAGCTAGTAGTAAATTAAAAATAAAAAATTCCATATTATAAAAAATTTAATGAATGTTCTTGGGAGTAAAGATAGTATGTATTTAAAAATTGTACAAACGTACAATTTTACAAAACGTATTTTTATAATTGAATTTCAAAAACATGTTGATTATTTTATTAATTTATTTTTTATTCATAAAATACATATATACATGAATTAATTTTTATAGTTAACATGAAATTTTATTTTATTTATAATCATGTCAACTCCGACAGATACATTTCATCTAAGATATAATAGAACCATCTTAAAAAATTAATCTACAGAATCGAGGCTTCCGTAACGCGTCATTCTTTGCACTGCGGCTGTACATGGTCCATCGAAAAATGGAATTTTCGTTGCACAGAAGTAATGAGGTACATCATCTATTCTAATTTCATCAACGCAAAAAACTGCACGGAATGAAAAAAATTTGTTAAAACTTTTATTTAAAAAATTAAAAATTTAAACATTATATTTTAAGAAGCAGGAAAAGAATATAAAGAAAAATCTCTTTATATTCTTTACGTGCTCCTTAAATTATAGCAAAATTCAAGATTCGTGTTTAGCACTTACTTTTTCCATCTTCTATTCTATTGCTAAATATTGAACAGTCATGTTTAGTGCAGATAAACCAGCCAGGGAGTTCTGGATCTTCTCTTGTACAAACCACTACAAAAAATTTTGATTTAATTATTTTTAACAAAAAAATAAATAAAATTAAAAAAAAATTATTTTCTAATTTTCAATATGTTTCAAAAAAACAAAATTAATTATTCTTGTTTATTAGTTTCAAAAATTTTAATAAAAATTCTTCGCAAGAATTCAATTATTTTCAGAAATAATAACATTCTTAGTAAGAATTTAATTATTTCCAGAAATAATAACATTCTTCGTAAGAATTCAATTATTTTTATAAATATATAGTAACATTTTTTGCAAGAATTCAATTATTTCTAAACAAACTATTAATATAAAATATCACGAACGAATACAATTAGCTTCTAAAATTTTAATAAATCCTTCGAAACAATTCAATTATTTTTTTAAATAGTAAAATCTTTGCAAAAATTCAATTATTTTCAAGAAAATTTCACGAAAGAATTCAATTTTTTTAATTCGTTATGAAATATTTCAAAAAAATTCAATTATTTTCAAAAATTTTAATAAACCTTGGAAACAATTCAATTTTATTTATAAATAGTAAAATTCTTTGCAAAAATTCAATTAATTTCAAAAAAATTCAATTATTTTGAATATACTCAATTTTAATAAAATTCTTTAAAGAAATTCAATTATGTTTTTTCGAAACAACTTTAATTGAATTTCTCGAAAAAATTTCATTATTATCAAATATTTCTATAAAATTCTTCATAACAATTTAATTATTTCTTAAAATTTTAATAAATTCTTCGAAACATTTCAACTATTTTTATAAATAGTAAAATTCTTCGCAAGAATTCAATTTTTTTTTTTAATTCAATTATTTTCAATTTTATTTTAATAAAATTCTTCATTATAAAATTTAATTGCTTTTAAAATTTTCAATTAAATTTATTAAAAAAACTCCATTAGTTTAAAAAAATTCAAAGAAATTCTTCAAAAGAATTTAATTAGAATTTTCAAAAATTTAATAAAATTCTTTGAGAGAATTCAGTTATTTTCCTAAATAATAAAATTTTTTGAAGGAATTCTATTATTATCAAATTTTTTGTTAAAATTCTTTACAACAGTTCGATGATTTTCAATACATTTATTTTAAAATTGAAAATATTTGAAAAGAAAAATTATAAAAAAGTTAAGAAACAAAAAAGCAAATGTACTTTATTATTATTAATTAATAAATATAGATTATTGAATAAATTTAAATTAAAACTAATATTTGAAAAATAATTTTCCTTACTTGCAGCTCGTTCTTCAGAACGATGTAAGTCGGTGGTACGACTTTCACAAAATGCGTAAAAAATAAAACAAATGAATAGAGAAATTAGAAAACGCATTTTTATTTTTATTAGGTAATAACGAAGAAAAATTAAGTTTTAAAGTTTATATAAAAATTTTCCACAAGTAAAGTAAAAATGTTGTCGCAGTTATTATATATATACACACATATTGTATTATTTACATACAATTATCTTAAATAATACAATCTATTCAAATCACGGTACAAACTGAATTTCATAATAATTAAAAACACCTGTTCATAAATTTTTAACAATCGATTTATTAGAATTTTTTTAAAAATTAATCTAGTTCTATTTTACACCTATTTAAATAGAATTTGTATTGTATAATATAATCATTCTACTTTTTAAGCTCAAGATTTTCCGTTCAATTTTTATGTTAATAAAATATCTTGATTTTTTAATTTATAACTCGATACAAATTTTAATTTATAAAATATATTAACCACATTGTACTATTAATATAATAATTAAATTTTTAATATATTAATAATTATATTAACCATATTGTCACTTTATTGAAAATAAAAAATTAGTTGGCTTTTTTTAGTTTCTATCCAATGTAAAAAAAAACAAAGTTTTATTTTATAGAATAAAGGGAAGAAATGATGACAAATATCGTTTTTTATTGTGTAAAAAAGAGATTTAATTATATATACACGTGATGACTAACAATTGCGTAGAAAATAATTTAAAATATATTTTAATAATTACGATGATTAAAATTTCAATGGAAATTGAAATAATATTACAAAATAGTAACATGAATTATGCACTTAATTCCATTTTTTTTTTTTTTGCATTTAAATATTCGACAATTGTAATTAAATATATACGATTTATAGTAAAATATAATATTACCTAACTATTTAAAGCAAATGACTAATAATTCCTCAACAGGAATTTTAACTAAATATCAATAGGTTCATTAAATAATATCACTTAATTAAAATAATAATTGAACCGCCGGCGACCAAAAAAGGGCTTACGCGTGACTTTCGTTGGCCCCTCGGCGGTTCAATTATTTAATATTATTTAATGTTAAATATAAGTAATTTTTATAATTAATTACACTGGTTAATTACTATTCACATTATTAAAAAAAATTAATAAAACATTAATATAATTAACAATATTATAAATTTTAAAAATAATCTGAGGTATAATTTGCAATGTCTCTAAAATTAAAGAAACACTCATCTACACATACAGAAATCTGAATAAATTTGAATTTTAAAAAAATATAGAATTCTGGTTTTAGAATCAAGATATGTTTCCCTTTTTTTTAAATCTCATCTGAAGAGTAAATTTCATAAATAGTGGATGTAATACTTGGAGAGGTCACCCATATTTTTTTTCAATTTTTTTTTAAACACAAACTCGAATTCTTCAAAAGTTTTCCGAGGCTTCTCTGAAAGTAGAAACAATTATTTAAAAAATAGGATTATAAAAATAAATTTATAAAACACAGGCATCACAGTAACTTATTTCCTCAAAAAAAAAGGTGAAAAGGGGAATTTTTTTCCTCAAAAAGGAGACAAAAATTTATTTATTTATAAAACTTTCATATATAATTCAAATATTTTCTTAGCGCTTCTAAAAAATTTTTTAAAAATGATACGATTTTAATTAGAGTTGCCACAAAAATTTAATTTTGTTTTTCCCTGATTTCAAGACAAAATTTTGACTTTTTTCCTGACCTTAATAAATATTCTGATTCACTTTAAAAATAATTAGATACTCAAGAAAATGTTGTATTACATTTATTTACGAATTTCTTTAATTGTAAAATTATTCGAAAACAGCAATAACTTCTTTTTTAAAAAAATATTTAATCATTATTATTTTTCCATAGGAATTAAGATTTTCAAAACATTCAAATTTAAATCTTTTTGAAATTCAACAATTTATAATAATTAAAGATGACCGAATGAAAAGATCATTATTTTGTACTATAAGAAATATTTTTACTGTAACTTCTTCAAAATTATTTACATCATTTCAATTCAATTATTATTTTCTAGAATTTCTAACTTAAATTCTCCTATAAATCAATTATTTATAATAATTTAATAAAAAAATTCTGAGAATTTTTAAAAATGTATCTGTTTACAATTCAATTTTACGAAATTTCGATTATTCGGAAATTCTTCAATTAAATAAATATTAGAAAGTAAAAACTTTGAATGATTTCAATTAAAATTTTTGAAAAAAATTTACTAGTTAAAAATATGAAAAATTCAGATTATCAAAGATTTCAATTCAAAACTTTTTCAAAATTCAATCATTTCTAAAAATTCACGCTATAATGCTTTTAATATTCAATTATTATTTCAAATTTTAACTGAAACTCATTTTTAAATCAATTTTTATTAGACAATTCTACGAGAATGCAATTATTTAAATACAAAAATAAATAATTTATATTAAATAATTGACTATTTTTTAAAATTAAATTCTCATTAAAATTCTCATTTTATTAACAAATTTTTAAATAATTGAATTCTTTCGACGAATTTTAATAAAAATTTTAAGAATAATTGCATTTTTGTGAAATCCAATTAAAATTGTATTATAAATAATTAAAATTCTGCAATGAGATATTTATCATTTATGAAAATAATTGAATTCTTGCGAAGAAATTTATAAAAAATTTATAAATAATTGAATCCCCGTGAAATTTTTACCATTTTATAAAAATAATTAAAGGTTTGCGTAGAATTTTATTAAATTTTGTTTAAATAATTGAATTTTTTGGAAAATTTTAATAAAATAGTAAATAATAAAAATCATTGAATTTGGGAAAAATTTTGCCGAGAATTTTATTAAAATTTTTGAAAATAATTGAATTTTGAAGACTTTTATTATTTATAAAGAGAATTTAAATTTTGACGAGAATTTCTTAAAATTTTTTAATATAATTGAATTTTTGCGAAGAATTTTATTACTTTCGAAAATAATTGAATTATTGCCAAGAAATTTATAAAAAATTTGTAAATAATAAAATTTTTGTGAAATTATTTTATTATTTATGAAAATAATGAAACGTTTGCGTAGAATTTTAATAAATTTTTTTTTTTTTTGAAATAATTGAATTCTTTTGGACAATCTGATTAAAATAGTAGATATTGAAAATCATTGAATTTAGGAAAATTTTTGCAAATAATTGAAATTTTGCCTAGAATTTTATCAAAATTTTTGAAAATAATTGAAATTTTACCATGAATTTTATCAAAATTTTTGAAAATAATTGAATTTCGGAGAATAATTTAATTTTTTCGAAACATAATTGAAATTTTGACAAAAATTTCTTAAAATTTTTTAATACAATTTTTGAATAATAAAATTTCTGTGAAATTATTTTATTATTTATGAAAATAGTTGAACGTTTGCGTAGAATTTCAATAAATTTTTTTTTGTTTAAATAATTGAATTCTTTTGGAAAATTTTATTAAAATAGATATTGAAAATCATTGAATTTAGGACAATTTTGGCAAATAATTGAAATTTTACCGAGAATTTTATTAAAATTTTTGAAAATAATTGAATTTTGAAGAAGAATAAAATTTTATTATTTATAAAGAAAATTGAAATTTTGACAAGAATTTCTTAAAATTTTTTAATATAATTGAATTTCTGCGAAGAATTTTATTACTTTTGAAAATAATTGAATTTTTGCAATCATTTGAAACTTCTCTAAAATTGAAATTTTTTTTAGTGTTTCTAACTAAAATTTCTCGATAAATTCATTATTTTTAATAACTAATTTCAGGATAATTTAAATTTTGAAAATTTTTGCAAAAATTTAAGTTCTTTAGAATTTCTAATAAAATTCATTCAAAATTGAAGTTTTATAAAATTTGAAATTAAAATCTTTTGAAGTTCATCTATTTATGAAAATAATAAATAATTGTAAACGCAACTCTTTTAAAATTCAATTATTTTTGAAATGTATAAATAAAATTTTATTTATCATTAAATAATTTCTAAGTAATAATTTTATGATAGTTCTTCAAGAATTAAGTTATTTAAAAAGAAATTATTGTCAGAATTATGGAAAAAATTGAAGGTTTTGTATTAGAATTTTTGTTTTTCTAGAAAAATTATTAATATTAATATTTTAATTGTTTGAATGTTAATTAATTATTTTTATAGAGGTCTGTATTTTGTTTAATGAACCACCTTATAATTATAAAATTCTTTACGTTATCTATATTATTTAAATTATTAACATAAAAAACATATTTATATTATGTTGTTGTATTAATAATCTAAATCAAAAATAAAACGCACTGAATTCTATAACATTGAGTCTAAAGTAAATTTTATGATTACACTTTGAAAAAGGTTTCAAAAAAAGAAAAACTTGTTTATTTTTGATTAGAAAAAGGTGAAAAAGGGGAAAAACTGGCAAATCGACAAAAAAAAGGTGAAAAAGGGACCAACTGTGATGCCCAAAAATAGTTAAATAGAAAGAAACCCTCACCATTATGCGATTGAAGTTTACATCAAGAAAAAGAAAATTAACTGATGTCCTGACTCTGTGAACTCGTCGCAGCTTCAATCAACTTCTGTCGCTCTCTATACATTGAGACTTTCATATTTTCCAATTGATGATAACGCAGTAATTTTAAAACAGCAAACACTGAGAGGCCAACCCAAATTGAAAGACTGCTCCATGCGCCAAATTGTGCGGCCCCCAATTCTATATGAAAACCGGAAGTATTAATTCCATCAGCTTTATCGATATCGTTACCAGCAGCGAGTTCGCACGATGGAAATCTTTTGGTCATACATTGACACCATGTCATAAATCCAAGTGTTATTAAAATTGCCGCTAACAATGTAATAGCAGTGAGGAAAATTGATGAGACAACATCAATGAATGCCGACAGAAATGAACTGTCTTCACCTCGTTTCATAAACATTGAAAGTCGATAGATTTGAATGGCCGATGCAACAAGTAGAATGAAACCAACAAAAACTGTGTAATTGCAATAAAGTTGTGATGCCCATTGGGCAACAAATTGTCCATCTGTCTCCTGCCATACTCCCGTTGAAAATAATAAACAGTGTCCTCTGAAAAAAATATTTAATTACTCAGATAAAAAAGACATATTATATATTATATACATATATATATATACATATAAGAATATTGTTACTGTATCTTCATAAACATTATTTTCATTTCAATTCAATTATTTTCTAAAATTTTTAACTAAAATTCTTCTTTAAATTAATTATTTTTAATAATTTTTGAAAAATTTCTTTGAAAATTTTCAAATCCTTTTGTTTACAAATTACAATTCAATTTTACGAAATTTCATCGATTATTAGAAAATTCTTCAATAAAATATATATTAGAAAATAAAAACTTCAAATAATTTCAAAAAAGTTCCATTAAACTTTTTTAAAAAATGTAAATCTACACAATTTTCAGTTAAAAGTATGAAAAATTCAAACTTTGAAAAATTATAATTTGAAACCTTCTCAAAATTCAATTATTTCTAAAAATTCACGCTATAATACTTTCTCTCTAAATTTGAATTAGTAAAAATGTTTACAAATTGGAATGACTTTTTGCTTTTGAATTAGTAAATTTTACCATTAAATTAATAGAAACGACTATTTATTGGTTTTGTATTTAAATAATTGAATTCTAGTAGAATTTTTGTAATAAAAATTGTTTTAAAAATTAATTTCAGTTATAATTTTAGATAATAATTGAATATTAAAAGCATTATTGCGTGAATTTTTAGAAATAAGAAGAATTTTAGTTAAAAATTGTTAAATTATCTTTAATTATTATAAAACATGAAGAAATCGATCACTCCGAGTCGAAGACAGTTATCGATATCTTCATGTTTTATAGTTATGAAAAATTTCATTTATAGTAATTGGTCCGTAATTTTTCATTTTTGGTCCATAAAGTGCGTATTTTTAAATACTTTCACTGGTTCGAGCCCTGCTATTATTATAAAATTTTGTAAATCTTCAAAATGGAGAGAAGTGATGGTGCTTTTGAAAAAAAATGTCTCATATTTATATAATTAAAAGTATATAAATTTCAAAAAACAAAACATCAAAATACACATAATTATTAAAGAAATAAAGTACAAATAAGATAAAATTGTATGCGCAAAATGTTTATTTGTGATAATAGGTAAGTTATTACACAGAAGAGGAAACATCGATAAATATTCAAAATAGAAAACAAAACTCACCTAAATTCACTCTGGTGTAAACTCATAGGCACAATGATGCATAATGATAAAATAAGTGCAACAACATAGCCCGCAATTTGGCTCAATAATAAAATATTTGTAAGAGCCATAACAACTTTTTAGGTTATGTCACCTTCATCAATATTTAAAAAAAAAATAACACCTGCGTAAAATATACACTCAAACCGAACAATGATCTATTCAATCAATCACAAAGAACTCTCCGACTTCCTTCTAATTAGTAATTCAATTCAAATTTAATATTCAACAAATCAATTTTCTTTCTCTTTCTCTTTTAATATTAATATTTCTCGCACTTGTTACGCTTGTCATTCTTTTTCGCCATCATTGCAACAACAAAAGGAAAAATGTCAGAAATATTCAATGACGTATAAATATTTTTCCATCACCCCCAAAAATTTACAAGTGAGAAAATTTTACCAATTTTTGAAAAAATTGAAAAGAAAAAGAAAATATTTTAAATATAATTATACAAAAGATTATTTTTCCACTTTGATGTTATTTTGAAAGAAAAATAAACTTATTTTTTTTAATTTTACCCCCCGAGTTCGATAAATTAATGTTACGCACCTGTCACTTAGACAAGGATAAAAGACACACGAACTCTGCTGCGACATCAGCTGATTTCAATCAATGAATAAAGTACGTACAGCCTGATCCCTGATGACGTTTCCCCTGTGTCAGGAGAGGGTATTTTGTTTAGAAGAGAGCAGAATATTTCGAAGAAGGAAAAAACAAATAACATTGTCCTCGTGAAATTTACTTCTCCATTCGTTTGCTATTTCTCCTAATTTTAAAATTCTTTTTTTCTTCTCATCAACAACGTATTATGTTTCTTGTGATTAAATCCGGGTACAGAACACGTGCAACACAAGTGATGAGAGTCGATGTTTGAAAATAAAAATCTCGACGCATTTTTCACCATCGATGAAGTGCATATGAAAACCTAACCTAACATTTTTTTTTTTTGTTATATCGCGCGAGTTTGTGTTCCTGATGGTTGTGAAGAAACGCGAATTTTAAGACAAATGTCAACAAAAATCTAAATGTGGTGTTTAATGTGAACGTGAAAAGTTTGTTTTTTTTTCTTCTCGAGCGGGGGACGAAAAGAAAAAAAAGAAAAAGAAAATGTCGTGGTTAAAACCATTGGGTCGCTTTCAATGGACCGAGGGTATCAAGAATACGGCCTGCAGGTATCTTTTGCAGCGTTACCTGGGCCAATTTCTTGAAGAGAAACTCACCCTCGATCAACTTACTGTTAATCTATGCAATGGCACTGGTTCTGTGACAAATGTCAAACTCGACGTTCAGGTATTTAAAAAATTTTCTTTGTTTCATTGCATGTACAAATTAGTATTATTATTGTTATTATTGTAATTGTTTTCATTATTATTGTTACTATTATTGATAATGATAGTATTAATGGTGGTAATATCAATATTATTATTCTTATTAATATTAATATTATTTTTTTTAATATTATTATTATTATTATTATTATTATTATTATTATTATTATTATTATTATTAATATTATTTTTATTATATATTACCATTAGTGTAGTAATAATGCGTCAGAATAATTATTCTTTATTTATTTAATTACGCATTTTTTCACTTTTTTACTTTTTGAAAATAAGAATTTTTAAAATTTAAATAAATTTAAAATAAAATATTTTAAATTTATATATATTTTTTTTTGCAAAAATTTAGAATTTTTCTTTCTTCCATCTTATAGGTATATTTTTTTCACTTGCTTTGAAGGGTCCTCTTCATTAATTGGAGTGTATTTCTAAACAAAACAAAATTAAAATTAGGTCAACACCGTATAGAAAAAAGGAATAACATATTGTTATTTTTTTAAAAATATTTTTATCATTTACATAATAATTTTTTTGACTAATAATTAATTAAATTTGATATGATAATTAATTATTACACCGAATTCATTTAATTAATTATTATATCCGATGTAATTAATGATAAATTAATATTAATTATTATAAGATTTATTTATTTTATTTATTTAAACAAAATAAATAATAAATACTTTATATTTAAATGAACAATTATTAATATTATAATATTAATATTATTAATAAATATAATAATATAACGTATAATAATAAAATAAAATATTAACTAAAAAAATAAATAGAAACTCTTAAAATGGATATTTTATTAATTATTAATAGTAATGAGAAATTTACATATTTTCAAATCATGTTTGTTTATTATTCAAGTGCGCCTACAGAATGTATTCGCGCATAAATTCTGTTTCTTTGTTTTACAGATTAGTTAAAAATAAAAAATTTCTACCACATTTTCGATAAACTCATATGTACTTGAAACTATCGTACACTACATGTATATTTACTTTGCAGAATTACACTAGAAATTTATTTTTTTTTCGCAGCGATTAATATCAGCCAATTAATCCTTTTATTTCTTCATCAACAACGCGTATTATCACATATACTATAGATATATATGCATATTATCCATAATTTTTTTTTACTCCACAATATGTGATTTATTACTACAATTAGATACACTGGCAAATTAATCAATTTATTATTTAATGAATCAATTAATTAATCGTTAAAATTAAATTAAATTGTTTTATATTAATAAAAAAACAAGTTTTGATCATTGTTCTTAGAAAAAAGTTATTTTTCTAATTAATTAATTTCGTTATACTATTTTTTTTTTGCATTGTTATTGTTATTTATTATTTTTAATATTGTTACAGGGTTGCCACAGGAAGTCAGGGAAATAATTCAAATTCTTCTGAAATTAGTTACATTCAATTATTAAAAATAGAATTTGCATAAAGTTTTTCGAAAAAATCAGTTATTTAAAAAATTTTCATCCTAATTCTTCTTCTTAGGGATTCAATTATTTTTATTAATAATAAAACTCATCGCAGAACTTTAATTATTTTTAATACAATTCTATTTGAATTTCTTGAAAAATGCAATTATTCTTACAAATTTTATTAAAATTCGTCGAAGGAATTCGTTTATTAAAAAATTTGTTGACAAAATTCTTTATAAGAAGTCAATTTTACAAAACATTCAATTATTCAATAAATTTTTTATTTTTGTATTTAAATAATTGAGTTCCCGCAGAATTTTCTAATAAAAATTGTTTTAAAAATGAATTTCATTTAAAATTTGAAATAATAATTGAATATTAAGAACATTATAGCTTCAATTTTTAGAAATAATTGAATTTTGAAAAGGTTTCAAATTAAAAACTTTGAAAATCTGAATTTTTATACTTTTTATCAACAATTCTGTAAAATTAATTATTTTGACAATTTTCAATTTCAATTCTGTTGCGATTAGTTGACTTATAAAAATTGTATTTAATTATTTCAAAAGTTTTCAACTCAATGCTTTGATTGAATTCAATTACCCATAAATATCAAAATACTTGCCAAAAATACAATTATTTTTAGGATATTTTAAAAAAATTCAATTATTTTCATAAATATCAATATTCATCTCATCAAAAGAATTCAATCATTTTCAAAAGTATTTATATTCCTTGCAGAAATTCAATTATTTTCAAAAAATTTAAGAATATTCTGAGAAAAAGTTTGTATAATTTTCAAAAAATTTTCAAAAATCAATGATTTTCAATATCTACTATTTTAATGAAATTTCCCAAAAGAATCCAAGTATTTAAAATATATGTTTAATTAGGTAATTATTAAAAATAATATATTTAGAGAAGAAGTTTAGTTAAAAACTTTTTATGAAAATTTAATTTTTGAGAAGTTACAAATACTAGCTTAATTTTTAGAAATAATTGAATTTTGAAGAGGTTTCAATTTAAAATCTTTGAAAATATGAATTTTTAATATTTGTAACTAACAATTTTTATAGTAAATCAGAATATTCCTTAAAGTCAGGGAAAAATTCAAAATTTTGTTTGAAAATCAGAGGAAAAGAAAATAAAATTTTTGTGGCAATCCTGTTATAAATAATTACTTCTTTTATTAATCAATGAAAAAGGTGAAATTAAAAGAAAAATATTGACTTTTTTCAGGCTCTAAATGAGATGGGCAAACAGCAGCAATTACCGTTTCAATTTATTGACGGTTCAGTTGACGAAATGTCAATAAGCATCCCGTGGCTGTCGTTGCTAACTGAGCCGAGTTACATTGAAATAAAAGGACTTAGATTGACGATACAGCCGAGAAAACGTGAAGACACGGGAACTTCTATGTTTGAATCAATGTTGAGCTCAATGAGTTCAAGTATTCAACTCGCTCAAGAATGTCTTCAAGAAGACGCTAAAGACGCTGGAAATTCACAGCCACTCGAGAGTGTTGAACTTTTTGCACAAACAATTGATTCAAGTAATATAAATTATTTACTGCAAATAATTTTTTAAAAAAACGTAACAGGGAATAAGCCAGGAATTTTAATGCCAAACCGGAAATTTTTTTTAACAAATTAAAAAAAGTTTTATTATTTTAATTTGTTTTTAAAAAATCGCTTTTTATTTCAATTTTTATTGATATTTATACTGTTCTCTAAATTTGAATTAGTTAAAAAAATTAATTAAATATATTTAATATAAGTTTTTTTTGTAAATTCTGAAAATTCTTTTAAATTTATTTCAGTTCTCTGCAAAATAAAAGTAAGATTTTTGAACACTGTGATTCGAATGGAACACATGCCATTGGGATCGAGGACGGGAGTAGCCTTAGAGATAAGAATAAGAAATTTAGAATATTCCGACGAAGCAGGTTCGGATCCAAGCAATGTGAATTTAGATCCAAATCTCCAATCAAAGGGCTACGTAATTCAGGCATTCATGACGAAGAAATTTTATTTAGAAGGCGTGACAATTTTTACTGATGAATTTCCATCAACTGCAAGAACTTCATCGCGTAGTCGTTGTTCAACGCCCGATTCAAAGGTAAAATTAATTAATTAGAATGCCACGAGAAAGTATTTATACTTTTTTTTTTTGTTTAATTTCAGAATTCCGATGCACAATATTCGTCACCGCAAATGTCGCCAAATCAAAGTCCAGATGCAAGTGGCGTTGATAATAGTGACGTAAATAATTCACCGACTGGTGTTAAAAGTCCAATAATAGTTGCTAAAATTTCCGGACGACAGGAATTGAGATTGAAAGTAAAACAGGGTGAGGTGCCGGGACCTAAAGTTGAATTGGAAATGATATTGGGTTCGTTCACAACATTTTTGAGTCCAAGACAAATGCATGTTTTAATTGAACTTGCACATGGACTTGCAACACCTGATTTGGAGGATGTTAGTAATGTGCCATTGAGAAATTGCACGGAAAAACCAATGATGAACAGTGATTTTAATCGCGTTGAGCGAGAACTGCTTCAGAAGATTCAACCACTTCAAGGTTTACGCTCCATGGTAAGAAAAAAAACTTTATTTTATTTTAAATAATCACCTTTAGATAAACTTCAATTGGTTTTCAATTATTTTCAAGAATTTTAATAAAAGTCTTTGTAAAATTCAATTATTTTCAGGGATTTTAATCAAATTCAATTATTTTCAGGAATTTTTATAAAATTCTTTGCAAAATTCAATTATTTTCTTGTTAAATAACCAATATTTTTCGAAAAAAAAACAATTCTTTACAAATTTTTTAGGGATTCAATTATTTTTTGAAAATAATAATACTCATCTCAGAATTTCAATTATTTCTCAAAAAATGTAATTATTCTGAACAATTTTATTAAAATTCGTCGAAAGAATTTAATTATTTAAAAATTTGTTGATAAAATTATTTATGAAAATTTAAATTTAAAAAATATTCAATTATTCAAAAAAGTATGTATTTATTTTTGTTTTTATATAATTGAATTCTCGTAAAATTTTCTAATAACAATCGATTTAAAAATGACTTTTAGTTAAAATTTTAGATAATAATTGAATATTAAAAGAATTATTGCGTGAATTTTTAGAAATAATTGAAGTTTCAAAAGGTTACAATTAAAAATTCTTCCTCGAAATTCTATTACTTTCTGGAATTTTAGAAAAATTCTTTCCAAAATTCAATTATTTTCATAAATAACAATATTCATCACATGAAAAATTCACAATTAAAAATTCTTCTTCGAAATTCTATTACTTTCTGGAATTTTAAAAAAATTCTTTGCAAAATTCAATTATTTTCATAAATAACAATATTTATCACATGAATTCAATTATTTTCAAAAGTATTAAAATTCTTTGCAAAATTCAATTGTTTTCAAAAGTAATAAAATTCTTCGCAAAAATTCAATTATGTTCAAAAATTAAAAAAAATTCTCATAAAAATTCAATTATCTTTAAAAATAATAAAATTCTTCTCCAAATTTCAATTATTTTCCAAAAATTTAATAACATTTTTTTGCAAAATTTCAATTATTTTCAAAAAAATTTTTCTCAATTCAATGATTTTCAATATCTACAGTTTTAATAAAATTTTTCAAAAGAATTCAATTATTTAAAAAAAAATTTTGATAAAATTCTAAGCAAACTCCGCAATAATTCAATTATTTTCATAAATAATAACATTTTTACAAAAATTCAATTATTTTCATGAATAATAAAATTCATCATAGAATTTCAATTATTTTTAATACAATTTTAATTGAATTCCTCGAAAAATTTAATTATTCTTAAAAATTTTATTAAAATTTCTCGAAAAAATTCAAATTTGTTGATAAAATTCTTTATAATAATTTAGTTTCGAAAAACATTCATTCATTCAATAAATTATTTATTTTTGTATTTAAATAATTAAATTCTTGTAGAATTTTCCAATAAAAATTGATTTGAAAATGAATATTAGTTAAAATTTTAGATCATAATTGAATATTAAAAGCATTATAAGCATGAATTTTTAACAAAGTTTTTGAAAATAGTGACATTTTTCGAAGAATTTACTTAAAATTGTATTAAAAATAATTGAAATCCTGTGAAGAATTTTATTAATTTATAAAACTAATTGAATTCTTGCAATGAATTTTTTCAAATTTTTTTTAAATAATTGAAATAATAAAAAGTATCTTTTTTTTGAATTTTTTTTTAAAGAATCTTATTATTTATGAAAATAATTGAATTTCTGCATCGAATTTTATTACATTTTTTTAAATAATTGAATATTTTTAAGAACTTTTATTAAAAAAGTAGATTGTTAAAATATTTGAATTTCAACGAAGAATTTCATTATATTCGTGAAATGTAATTAAATTCTTACAAAAAAATTAAGAGAATAATTCCATTTTTCTAGGAATTTACTTTAAATTGTATTATAAATAATTGAAATTCTCAGAAAAATTTTATAATTTATGAAAATAATGGAATTCTTACAACGAATTTTATCAATTTTTTTTAAATAATTGAATTCGTGTGAAAAATTTTATTACTTTGTAAAAATAATTGAATTTATGCAACGAATTTTATTACATTTTATTTAAATAATTATATTTTTTTTGAAAACTTGTATTAAAAATGTAAATTTAAAAAATTTTTGAATTTCAGCGAACAATTTCATTATTTGTGAAATGTACCTAATTTAATTCTTGCAAAAAATTTTTGAAGATAATTTTATTTTTCGAGAAATTTATTTAAAATTGTATTAAAACTAATTGAAAGCATGTGAAGAATTTTATTATTTATAAAAATAATTGAACTCTTGCAACGAATTTTATTATAATTTTTGTAAATAATTTAATATTTTTGAGAAATTTTATGGAAATTAAAATTTTTATAAAACATGAAGATATCAATCACTCCGAGTCTTTCGACTCGGAGTAATTGATATCTTCATGTTTTATAATAATATTTTTATAAGTTGTTGAATTTTAAAAATGTTTGAATTTGAATGTTTTGAAGAATTTTAATTCCTATGGAAAAATAATAATTAAATACTTGTTTAAAAATTTAGTTATTGATGTTTGCGAATAATTTTACAATTTAAGAAATTCGTAAGTAAATGTAATAGAATGTTTTTTTTTGAGTATCTAATAATTTTTAGGGTGAATCAGAATATTCTTTATGGTCAGGGAAAAAGTGAAAATTTTGTCTGGAAATCAGGGAAAAGTCAGGGAAAAATAAAATTAAATATTTGTGGCAACCCTGAAGGATAAATACCGAAATTATTTTCAGGACCTAAGGCACACACAGGGTTGGTCATCAACAACAGTAGAATCAGACAACGAAGATGAATTCCTGCCAATGCGTGCGCCAGGTGCTAATTCAATGTGCGACTCTCTCACCAGTAACAATACCAGTATGGACGGAAGTATAACAACATCTAGTATCAGTTCAAAAAGTTCAATGAACAATCAACCCAAACATCAAAAATATCGTCAAAGTATAGACACCGATTCGTCAGCGGAAACATCGCAATTTCACGTGAGAGTTTCCTCAATTGCAATGGTTCTTCTGCATGAAGATATTCTAACTCTGTGCACTGAGGGTGTCGGTCTCACTAGAGCAAGTACCCGAGAAATGGAGGCAATGGCCGAGGAGTTCTTTAAAAAAATGGATTTCTTCATATCGGCTGGCTATGGAAATAAAGACTTTGAAAAGGCATCGAAAATGTTTATCGACGCCTGTCAACTTAGTCATATAAGAATTCTCGCTGCTCCATTAGTGATTGAGGCTAGTGAGAAAAAAACTGCTCAATATTCATTAATTTCCGGTAGTTTAAGTCTTGCAAGTTTAGAAATTGTCGAATCATTAGTCAATGCAAATACAAATTCCACGTGTCAAAGTCCACCTCTTACGGAATTTATTGAACTTCTCTCATTTTTTAAGGACACAAATAATTTTGGTTTCTCAAATACAACGGATTTTCGAATGTGTTTTAAGCATACGGAAAAGGCAATTAGACATGGACAGAGCACAAAATTTGCACATCCAAGAACGGAAATTGAGTAAGTTAAAAATTTTTGTTTCAGACAATTTTTAGCATTTTAAGTGTTGTTGTAGCACTTTTTGGTAAATTCAGGAAAAATTCGAGGAACTTTATTATAAGTATTGAAAAAAATTAAATTTTTAGAATTAAAAATTCTAGAAAATAATAATTGAATTAAAATGATTAAAATAATTTTGAAAAATTTACAGTAACAATATTCTTGTAAGTTATTGAATTTCAAAAGATTTGAATTAAAATTTTTTAATTATTTAGAACATTTTTTCGAGCATCTAATTATTTTTAAAGTGAATCAGAATATTTTTTAGTTTCATGGAAAGAAAAAAATTAATTTTTTCTTGTAACCCTGAAATTGTTTCCTCTTTTTTTATAATAATTTGGATTATTTTTGAATATTTTTCTTTAGCATTAATTTGGGACCAATTAGGAGTGAAATTGATGTTACGATTGTCGATCGAATTTCCGCTGTTTTAAATCCACAACCAATTTGCACATGTAATTCAAGTTCATCAACGAGGGATACTTTGGTATGTTTCTACTTTTATTCTTATAATTATTGCATGTTATTTTCATTTTAAGTCATTAAATGACACATTTGTGCCTTTTTTCGGTAATTTAAATATAAAATCCCCATTAATTTTGTCCTAGAATCAGCAATCTCTTTTTGAGAGTCCACATTCACCGGATTCAAGAACGGATATTAAAATTTCATCACCTCATTGTGTCATAAAACTCAGGTAAATAATTTATTTTTATTTAAATTCTCTTCTAATTTGCAACTAACAATTTTCACGAAATTTTCAATTTTTTATAAGTTTAAAAATTCTAAAAAAAAACATTTAAGCAATTTCACGTGAAACGATTAAGTAAAAAATTTAATTTTCTGGGAATGGCTAAATATTCGGATTTTTGAAAAAACAGGGGTTAAATAATTTTTTTCCGAAAAAATAGAATTTTGGAATTGAAAAGTACACAAAAAATTCTTTAAAATTCACTATGTAAAATTTAAATCGCTTAATTTTTCAAGAAGTTGCAGGGCTCGAACAAGGTTTGTAAGGACGAAGAATTCTTAAATTATACGATATAATTTGGGGAATTTTAGAGAAATTACAAATGATTGCGGAAATTCAAATAAAAAATTTTAATAAAATTCTTGGCAAAATTTCAATTTTTAAAAATTTTCCTCAAGTCAATGATTTTTAATATCTATTTTAATAAAATTCTACGAAAACATTTAATTATTTTTATGAAATAATAAAAATTTTACAACAATTTAATTATTTACAAACTTTTATAAATTTCTTCGTAAAAATTCAATTATTTTCATAAATAATAAAACTCATTTCAGAATTTCAATTATTTTTAATACAATTTTAACCAAATTCTTCGAAAAATGTAATTATTCTTAAAAATTTAATTAAAATTCGTCAAAAGAGTTCAATTATTTACAAATATTTGGATCAAATTCTTCACAAGAATTCAATTTTTATAAACATTCAATTATTTGATAAATTATTTTTTTTGTATTTAAATAATTGTATTCCAGTAGAATTTTCTAAAAAAAAATTGATTTAAAAATAAATTTCAGTTAAAATTTTAGATAATAATTGAATATTAAAAGCATTATAGCGTGAATTTTTAGAAATAATTGAAGTTTCAAAAGGTTCCAAATTAAAACATTTGAAAATCTTAATTTTTCATATTTATAATTAACAATTCTCCAGAAATAATTTGTTTTCAAAATTTTAATTCCAATTCTGTTGAAATTAATTGATTTATTAAAATTATACTTAATTATTTCAATTTTTTCATTAATTTTTCAATTTAATAATTTTCAATATTTAATAAATATTTTCACAAACTTTACAAAAATAATTTTAATTAAAATAAATTTTATCAAAATTCATCAAAAGAATTCAATCTCAGAAAATATTGTGTTATTCAATAAATTATTTGTTTTTGTATTTAAATAATTGAATTCTTGTAGAATTTTCTAATAAAAATTGATTTAAAAATGAATTTTAGATTATTGTTGAATATTAAAAATATTAAAAGCATTATAAAGCAAATTTTTTAAAATAATTGAATTTGGCAAAGAAAAATGTAATTATTCTTAAAAATTTAATAAAATTCGTCAAAAGAATTCAATTATTAAAAAATTAGTTGATTAAATTCTTTATGAGAATTTAATTTTAACAGGGTTCCTACAGAATCTGAAAATCATTCAAATCATGGAAATGGTATTGAATTTTTAAAAGGCTTCTGGAAATCATGGAGAAGGCCTGGAATTTTTAAAAGTTTCTAAATTTTTTCTGTTTTCCATTTTTTGTCTTGAATAGAAATTCAAATAATAATAAAGCTAAATGCCATAAAAGAGAAAAAAAAAGTTCAATTTTAAGAAATACGATTTTTCGGATTCTTGACAATTTTTAATAATTTTTTATTTTTTACCAAAGTGTGGAGACTATTAAAAAAGTAAAGTATTTTCAAAGAGCCAAAAATAATAAAGCTAAATCCCATAAAAAAAAGGAAAAAATGTTGAATTTTAAGAAATTCGGTTTTTTGAATTTTTGATAATTTTCGATAATTTTAGATTTTTTACCAAAGAGTCGAGACAATTAAATAAGTAAAGTATTTTCCAAGAGCACAAAAATAATGAAGCTAAATGGCATATAAAAGAGAAGAAATAATGTTGAATTTTAAGAAATTCGGATTTTTGATAATTTTAGATTTTTCACCAAAGAGTCGAGACTATTTAATAATTAAAGTATTTTCCAAAAGCACAAAAATAATGAAGCTTAATCCCATAAAAGAGAGGAAAAAATGTTGAATTTTAAGAAATTCGGAATTTTGAATTTTTGATAATTTCCGATAATTTTAGATTTTTTACCAAAGAGTCGAGACAATTAAATAAGTAAAGTATTTTCCAAGAGCACAAAAATAATGAAGCTAAATGGCATAAAAGAGAAGAAATAATGTTGAATTTTAAGAAATTCGGATTTTTGATAATTTTAGATTTTTCACCAAAGAGTCGAGACTATTTAATAAGTAAAGTATTTTCCAAAAGCACAAAAATAATGAAGCTTAATCCCATAAAAGAGAGGAAAAAATGTTGAATTTTAAGAAATTCGGAATTTTGAATTTTTGATAATTTCCGATAATTTTAGATTTTTTACCAAAGAGTCGAGACAATTAAATAAGTAAAGTATTTTCCAAGAGCACAAAAATAATGAAGCTAAATGGCATAAAAGAGAAGAAATAATGTTGAATTTTAAGAAATTCGGAATTTTGAATTTTTGATAATTTCCGATAAATTTAGATTTTTTACCAAAGAGTCGAGACTATTAAATAAGTAATGTGTTTGTGAAGAGCCAAAAAATAATGAAGCTAAATCCCATAAAAGAGAGGAAAAAATGTTGAATTTTAAAAAAATCTGTTTTTTGAATTTTTTTAAACGAATTTAATCAGAAATGGTAAGAACTTAGATTTTAGAAAAATTTTAATAATTCAAATTCTTATTAAATTTTTTAATGTATATTTAATAAATTATTAAAAATAATTGAATTAGAGAAGAGTCTTAGTTAAAAACTCTAAAAAAATAATTAAAAATTGGAGAAGTTACTAATTTTTTTGAAACATTTTAATTTCAATTCTGTTTAAATTAGTTGAATTTTTTATTATTGAATATTAGTTCAAAAATTTTAACGCAATTCATCGTGAAAATTCAATTATCTTTATAAACAATGACAAAATTACTTTAAGGAATTTTAAAAATTAATAAAATTCTTATTAGAAATTCAATTAGTTTCAGGAATTTAAAAATAATTGCTTTAGAGAAGATGTTAAAAACTTTTTATAAAAATTTAATTTTTGAGAAGTTACAAATACTAGCTTAATTTTTAGAAATAATTGAATTTTGAAAAGGTTTCAAATTAAAATCTTTGAAAATTAGAATTTTTTATAATGAAAAATTTACGAATAATTGAAATTTCGTAAAATTGAATATTGTAAACAAATGGACTGCTTATATTTTTGTCAGTAATTGGTCCGTAATTTTTCATTTTTGTTCCGTAAAATCCGTAAAATATTTTTAAATACTTTCACTGGTTAGAGCCCTGAAGTTGTGTTAATTTGAATAATTTGATGTAAAATGTAAACAATGGCCCTTAAAATCTAATTATTTTTGATTGTATAAAAATTGTTGATATTTTTGTTTTTGTTTCCGTTCGAAATAGATTTCCAATTCCGGACATGAGACCATTACATGACATGAATCGAGTACCTTGGTGGAAGCGTTCGGTGAGAGGTGACTATGTGACATTCAATTTAATCGATACAAAAATACATTCATCAATGGAGAGTCGTTCGCGTTATTTATCGCGACATGAAATTCAATGTCGACGATTGCTGATGACTTATACTGAAGCCGATTCCGATGTACCGGTGGAAATTGGAAAAGCTTCGGCTGATGAAAAATCCGATGGCTCACTTCAAACTGACAATACTGAAGGTTTCGGTTGGCCTAGAATTGTTATTACAATTTATCCGAAACATTTGGGTGGTCCTTTAGAGGATAGTTCAGAGGGTGAAGCCGAATCGAGTTTGGATGATACTCTGGAAAATTTGGAGAATGCTTCGAGACACGCACCATCGCCATTTAGTTCGAAGCGAATTGTTCATGAATCGGATACTCCTCATTCGAGAACGCAAGCACAGGGCGAACGAAGCGAAAGTGATAACAGGTTTGTTGGTTTTTTTCTTCAATTATAAATTGAATATAAATTGAATAAAATTTATAAAATTTATAAAATTCAATATAGATTTACAAATTGGAGTTTTTCTTTTTAAAAATAATATTTTAGTAGTTTGTAATATTTCTGTAAATTAAAATAAATTTTTTTTGTATTTAAAATTCTGCAGAGACGGAGAGGAATTGATTATACCCGGAAGTAGGCAAGAGATGCTCGAATTCATTGAGGAAGGTACTCGTGGATCGAGAATTCAACTTGAAATCGGCCTACCATCAACTTCGATTCAAATTCCATCCAAACATCTTTATGAACTGTTGTACAATCGTTTTAATTCTGATCTATTATTGTGGGAACCGTCAGCGCCAAGGCCAGTCTATACATCACCGGACACGCACATTGGTCTCGATTTTTCGCCAAATCTCTTGCAGGAATCAATCTATCCCAAGTAAGAATTATTATTTTGTTACGAGGAAAGGTTTGGTATAATTTTAATTTTACGCCTAATTTTGTTTAATATGATAACGAGCGAATTATTAGATACTTAAAACAAAATTCCATTGTTCGGAAATTCTTCAATTAAATATATTTTAGAAAATAAAAGCATTAAATAATTTCAAAAGAATTGAAATAAAAAATTGAAAAAAAAAGTTTTACAGAATTGTTAATTAAAAGTATTAAGAATTCAAATTTTCAAAGATTTTAATTTGTAACCAGTTGAAGATTCAATTATTTCTAAAAATTCAAGCTATAACGCTTTTAGTATTCAATTATTTATTATCTAAAATATGAATAAATTAACTGAAATTCACTTATAAATCAATTTTTATTAAAAAATTCTACGAGAATTCAATTATTAAAACACAAAAATAAATCCTACATCATTTTTTGAATAATTGAATATTTCTTAAAATTGAATTCATGTAAAGAATTTTATAAACAAATTTGTAAATAATTGAATTCTTTCGACGAATTTTAATAAAATTTTTAAGAATAATTATATTTTCCGTGGAATTTAATTAAAATTGTATTAAGAATAATTGAAATTCTGCGATGAGTTTTATTATTTATGAAAAATAATTTAATTCCTTAAAAAATTTTTAAAGAATTGACTTTTTTCGAAAAAATGTATGCCAATTAATTTTTAAATTAGTTAAATTCCTATGAAATTATTATTATTTATGAAAATAATTGAAATTGTTATTTATTAAAATAATTGAATTTTGCAAAGAATTTTTTTTTAAATTCCTGAAAGTAATTGAATTTCTGTGAAGAATTTTATTAATTTTAAAAATAATTAAATTCTTGTGATAAATATTGTTATTTATTAAAATAATTGAATTTTGTAATGAACTTTATTAGAATTCCTGAATATAATTGAATTTTGGCGAAGAATTTTGCTATTTATAAAGATAGTTAAAATGTTGACAAGAATTTTTTTTTAATTTTTGAAAATAATTAAATTTTTGGAAAGAATTTTATTTAAAAATTTTGAAAATAATTGAATTTTGGCAAAGAATTTTAATACTTTTTGAAAATCATTGAATTCTTTCGATGAGTATTGTTATTTATGAAAATAATTAAATTTTGAAAAGAATTTTTTTTTAAATTCATAAAAATAATTGAATTTTCCGAAAGAATTTTGTTATTTATGAAGATGATTGAATTTTTCCGAAGAATTGCGTTAAAACTTTTGAAATAATTAAATATAATTTTAATAAATCATTTAATTTTAACAGAATTGGAATTAAAATTTTTTCAAACAAATTAGTTCTACAGAATTGTTAATTAAAAGTATGAAAAATTCTGATTTTCAAAGATTTTAATTTGAAATCATTTAAAAATTCAATGATTTCTAAAAATTGCAATCATTTACAAATGATTGCAATTTTATTGCAATTGTAACTTCTCAAAAATTTAATTATTTTTCTTTAGAGTTTACAACTAAAACGAAACTAAAACTAACAACAAATTTTTTTTAGATTTAGCATGTGTAAGAGTGGAATCCAATACGATTCGGAATCGGACTCAGAGGACGAGGGAATATTTTACTCGACGGCTGAGAAAAGTATGAAAACAAAGCAAATTCGAGTGTCGAAAAATGGTCAGTCGAAAATTGCACTAACATTGAATATTAATCACGGTCTCTTGAGTATGTACACACCAGTGAGAGATTCAATGAGAAATGTCATACCTGGACAGCAGGGTGAATTAATTTTAAGAGTTGAGGATGCGACACTATTTTTTATTACATCATATAAAGGCGACATTAATTTGGGTTATATTTGTGCAATGTCGAAAAATATTTCACTAAATCATTGTGGATTGACGACAACGCCATCGCAAACTCCACCATTGAGATCGATTAATTCCATTATTCCAAGGCATTGTCTACAAACAATATACAGAAGTGAATCGGGAACAAATGTCACGTTAAAATCAACTGATAAAGATATGCTCGCTGTTGCTATTCGTGTACAGGCTGCGCATCAGACACACAAAATTAAGGTGATTTTTTAATTAATACATTTAATGAATTTAATTTTATTTAATTATATTTAATTATACTTAATTATATTTCATTATATTTCAGTAAACTTTATTAATTATTATGGTTTTAATAAAATTTGTTTGAGTATTTATAATTTGTTTAAAAGTAGAATATTTTTTTCTCTTGAATTATTTTGAACTAAAAAAAACTAACTAAAAAAATTATTTGAATTATTTGAATCCATTTTTTTGCAGACTTTTAGAGTTGCGGTTGGAATAAGAAATGCGACACTTAGGCATCGAATGAGTGCGACGCAATCTTCATGGTTTTCGCAATTAACCGACTGTCTGGACGTCACTGATCATCCAATTGCGGGTTATTCACCTCCAGGTGTACTGACAGAATTGCATCTTCATCTTTGGGATTGTGCAGTTGCTTACAGGTTATTTTTTTTATTTCCTATTTAAACTTCCAAAAAAAAAAAGAAAAATTGCTAATTGAAAAGGAGCTGATGCTTTGCTTCCTTCCATGCATTGCCAGTCTCATTAATTTTGTCCCTCAATTTTTTTCAGTACATTTTAGAGAATAAAATTGAGATTTCAAGAAGATACTAAAATCACTCTTTTCAGGGTTGTTACAAAAATTTGATTTTATTTTTCCCTGATTTCCAGATTGAACTTTGACTTTTTCCCTGACTCTAAAGAATATTCTGATTTACTCAAAAAATGATTAGATACAGAAATTGTTAGTTAAAAATATGAAAAGTTCAGATTTTCAAAGATTTTAAATAGAAACCTTTTCAAAATTCAATTATTTATAAAAACTAAACTTGTATTTGTAACTTCTCAAAAATTAAATTTTTATAAAAAGTTTTTAACATCTTCTCTAAATCAATTATTTTTAATAATTAATTAAACCTATTTTTTAAATACTTGAATTCTTGTGGGGAATTTCATAAAAATAGTAGATATTGAAAATCATTGATTTTTGAAAAAATTTTGAAAATTATACAAACTTTTTCTCAGAATATTCTTAAAATTTTTGAAAATAATTAAATTTCGACAAAGAATTTTAATACTTTTGAAAATAATTTAATTCTTGTAATGAATATTTGTTATTTATGAAAATAATATTGAATTTTGGCAAAGAATTGTAATATTTTTGAAAATAATTTTATTCTTGTGATGAAAATAATTGAATTTTGCAAAGAATTTTTTTAAATTCCTGAAAGTAATTGAACTTCTGGGAAGAATTTTGTCATTTATGAAGATAATTGAATTTTACGATGAATTGCGTTAAAATTTTTGAACTAATATTCAATAATAAAAAATTCGTTAAAATTCAAATTTCCTAAAATTTCTAATTGAAATCTTTTGAAATTTACAAGAATTTTATTCAAATTTTGAAAAATAATTGAATTTCTGCGAAGAATTTTAATACTTTTGAAAATAATTGAATTCTTGTGACGAATATTGTTATTTATGAAATTAATTGAATATTAAAAAGAATTTTTTTTAAATTTCTAAAAATATGTAATTGAATTTCTAGGAACAATTCAAAGATTTTAATTTGAAACCTTTTAAAAATTCACACTATAATGCTTTTAATGTTCAATTATAATCTAAAATTTTAAGTGAAATTTATTTTTAAACCAATTTCTATTGGAAAATTCTATGAGAATTCAATTATTTAAATAGAAAACTAAATAATTTTTGGAATAATTTGCCAAATTCAATTATTTCAAAAAATTCACACTATAATGCTTTTAATATTTTTAATATTCAACGATAATCTAAATCTATCTATCTATCTATCTATCTTTTTATTACTAAAATTCATTTTTAAATCAATTTTTATTAGAAAATTCTACGAGAATTCAATTATTTAAATACAAAAATAAATAATTTATTGAATAACACAATATTTTCTAAGATTGAATTCTTTTGATGAATTTTCATAAAATTTATTTTAATTATTGAATTTTTTTTTGTAAAGTTTGTGAAAATATTTATTAGATATTGAAAATTGTTAAATTGGAAAATTATTGAAAACAATTGAAATTTTAACCAGAATTTTATTCAAATTTTTGAAAGTAATTGAATTTCTGCAAAGAATTTTAATAGTTTTGAAAATAATTGAATACTTGTGTTGAATATTGTTATTTATGAAATTAATTGAATTTTAAAAAGAAATTTTTTTTTTAAATTCCTAAAAATAATTGAATTTATAGAAAGAATTCTAAGATTTTAATTTGAAACCTTTTCAAAATTCAAGTTATAATGCTTTTAATATTCAATTATTTTCAAAAATCTTAACTATAATTCATTTTTAAATCTATTAGAAAATTCTACGAGAATTTAATTATTTAAATACAAAAGTAATTAATTTATTGAATAATTAAATGTTTCTCAAAATTGAGTTTTCCTAAAGAATTTTATCAAAAAATTTGTAAATAATTGAATTGTTTCGACGAATTTTAATAAAATTTTTAAGAATAATCGAATTTTTCGAGGAATTCAATTAAAATTGTATTTAAAATAATTGAAATTGATGAGTTTTATTATTTATAAAAATAACTGAATGTTTTCGATGAAATTTATAAAAAAATTTGTATACAATTGAATTCCCGTGAAATTTTTTTTATTTATGAAAATAATTAAATGTTTGAGTAGAATTTTATCAACAATTTTTTTAATACTTATAATTACATTCTTTTGAAAAATTTTATTAAAACAGTAAATATTGAAAATCATTGAAATGAGAAAAATTTTTGAAAATAATTGAAATTTTGCTTTGAATTTTATTAAAGTTCTTGAAAATATTTGAATTTTGGAGAACAATTTTATTATTTATAAAGATAATTGAAATTTTGACGAGAATTAAAAAAAATTTTTAAATTTAATTAAATTTCTGCGAAGGATTTTATTAATTTTGAAAATTGAATTTCTTCAATCATTTGTAACTTTTCCAAAATTCAATTTGTTGAGTGTTTTTTAACTAAAATTTTTCTGTAAATCCATTATTTTTAATAATTAATTAAATATATATTCGAAAATTTAACTGATTTGAGAAGAATTTGAATCATTAAAATTTTTCAAAAATCTAAGTTCTTTAAAATTTCTAATTAAATTCATTCAAAATTGAATTTTTCAAAAATTTTAAATTATATTCTTTTGAAATTCATCTATTTGTGCAAATTATTATCGCAACTTTTTTAAAATTCAATATTAATTTTGAAACATTTAAGTAGAATTATTCATTAAATAATTTATAAGTAATAATTTTATGATAGGTAGTTATTCAAGAATTAAGTTATTTAAAAATAAATTGTCAGAAATAGGAAAGATTAAAGGTTTTGTATTAGAATTCGTGGTAATTTTATAGTTTGAGTCAAACAAAAAAGACACAAAAATTCAAAATTTTCTTATGAATTTTAAGAATTTAATTTTTTACATTATTTTTTAATAAAAATCCCTGACTTTTCCCTGAATTTCCCAAACCTTTGGCAACCCTGTCACTATCATAAGAATAAACATGAACAACAATGACTAACGAATTTTTTTTGTTCCTCTTTTATAGACCTCTTCATCTTCCAATAAGATCAGTGGTAACGCTAGGAAGTTTCAGTATCTCCAGTAATATTGCAGCGCAAACAAATACATCGACTCTTCGATTTATCGCTGAAGACTTAGCTCTATTCATTTCCGATAAACTTGGAAATCACGTGGATTTGAGAAGAGATTTCGTTTGTGTTATGGACCTCGGTCTCTTTGAACTATCATTGAGACTCAATGAGAAAATGTGCGGTGGTGCACCGAGAGTTGATTTAAGAGCGAGTAACAATTGTTTACATGTGAGAACTTGCGCTGATTCTGGTAGTGCTTTAATGCAACTTTTAACATATTTCGCGAGTGACGGTGATATCGCTTCAAATCTTGATACAAGCGACACGATCTCCGTACCTGGTTCTGGCGATGAGGAAACTTTACTCGGTGATGAGAGTGTCAATAATCTGAGTAAGAGTCAAGTCGAGAGGGTCAATAGTCTTATGGAAGAGGCAATGGAGGATACTGTTAAAGGTATTTTTAATTAATACCTTGTTAAAGGTATTTTATTAAAAAAACAAAAGGAGAGTCCCTTCTTTTGTTTTTTTAATAAAAAAATTTTTTAAAAAATAAGTAAATCGATTTAATAAGCCTACTTACTTACTTAAATCACTTAAAGGTCCTTCAATTTGCTTAAAATCAGTAAAAGTCATTTTTTTTTTTTTTTTGAAAAAAGGTCCGTAAAGTCCGTAATTTTATTGAGAAAATACGAAAAGTTCGTAAATTGTACAATATTGTTTGGAGAATTTTAGAGAAATTACAAATGATTGCAGAAATTTAATTATTTTCAAAAGTAATAAAATTCTTAGCCGAAATTCAATTATTGAAAAAATTCAAAAATTTTTTAAAATTCTTTTCAAAATTTCAATTATCTTTATAAATAATTAAATTCTTCTCCGAAATTCAATTATTTTCAAAAATTTTGATAGAATTCATGTCAAAATTTCAATTATTTTAAAAAATTTTGATAAAATTCTTGGCAAAAATTAAATTATTTTCAAAAATGTTCCTCAATTCAATGATTTTTAATATATATACTATTTTAATAAAATTTCCCAAAAGAATTCAATTATTTAAAAAAAATTTAATAAAATTCTACGCAAACCTTGAATTATTTTCATAAAATAATAAATATTTCACTGGAATTCAATTATTTACACAAAAATTTTTTATCTTTGCAATCATTCAATTACTTTCATGAATAATAAAACTTTTACATGGATTCAATTATTTTCGTAAATAATAAAATTCTTTTCAGGAATTCAATTATTTTTGTAAATAATAAAACTCATCGCAGAATTTCAATTATTTATAATACAATTTTAATAAAATTTCTCAAAAATTTAATTATTTTGAAATATTTTATCAAAATTCGTCAAAAAAATTGAATTATTTAAAAATCTCTGAAAATCTGAATTTTTCATACTTTTAACTGAGGGGCTGATAGTAAAAATGGTTTAAAAAAACATTGGGAGCAAAAGTGGGATAAGTGACTTGGGAGCAAAAGCGAGTTAAAATGATTTTGTAATTTATGGATAAATTAATTGTAATTCACGGTCAAAAAATATTTAAAATTAAAGAAAAACTTATTTTATTATAATTAATATTTTGCAAAGCAATATTATAATAAACTTATCGATAAATACATAAATCATTTTATCCCGTTTTTGCTCCCAAGTCACTTTTCTCATTTTTACTCCCAATGTTATACTCGTAGATTTTTCTAATAGAAATTGATTTAAAAGTGAACTTCAATAAAAAATTTTAGATAATAATTGAATATTAAAGGCAATATGGCGTGAATTTTTAGAAATAATTGAATTTTGAAATAATTCTTTTGAAAAAGTTTAATTGAATTTTTTTTTATTATTTGAAGTTTTTATTTTCTAATATATATTTAATTTAAGAATTTACGAATAATTGAAATTTTGTAGAATTGAATATTGTAAAAAAATGGACTTGAAAATTGTCAAAGAAGTTTTTCGAAAATTATTAAAAATAATTGATTTAAAGAAGTATTTTAGTTAAAACTTATTGAGAACCCATTTTTTTTTGTTTCAAGGAGCGGCTGTGAAATCTTGTAAAAAATCACCGGAAATTGAAAAACAGGTGAAAGTCTTCTTTTTCCCTGGCGAATCAAATCCTCTATTACAAAATGAAATGTCGCACACGGAAAGAAAAATTGTTTCTCCACAAGAAACACATATGGAGGAGGAGGAAGATCCCGATGAGGATTTTTGTATTCTCGGCGAAGAGGCGGGTGTTGGAATTCTGCCGCGACATGGAGTTCCAGAAATTCGTTGGCTTTGTCCTGAATCATTGCGCGTTATCGACAATCATTTCTCAATTCCATTGGGAAAAGCTGACGTTCTTAAGGCACCAAAACATTTTCCCCTTCCCGTTTTAAGGTACACACTGTGCGAAATGAACCTCATATGGCATATGTACGGTGGAAAGGATTTCGGAAATCCTCAACCTCCTCCCAAGAAACATGTCACAATTGACGAGGTGGGTCAACGGTACAATGCAATGAATCAAGGACGGTAAGAGAATCATATTTTATACTCCAGGGTTGCCACAAATCAGGGAAGAAATAATATTTATAAATAGATTAACATAAAAAGATTTCAATTTAAAATTTTTGAAAATTTCAATTTTGAATGAATTTAATTAGAAATTTTAAAGAACTTAGATTTTTGAAAAATGTTAATAATTCAAAGTCCTCTGAAATCAGTTAAATTTTCTAATATATATTTAATTAATTATTAAAAATAATGGATTTACAGAAGAATTTTAGTTAAAAAACACTCAAAAAATTGAATTTTGTAAAAGTTACAAATGATTGAAGAAATTCAATTATTTTCAAAATTAATAAAATCCTTCGCAAAAATTTAATAACGTTTAAAAATTTTTTTAAATGCTCGTTAAAATTTCAATTATCTTTATAAATAATAAAATTGATCTCCAAAATTCCAATATTTTCAAAAACTTTAATAAAATTCAAAATAAAATTTCAATTATTTTCAAAAATTTTTCTCAATTCAATGATTTTCAATATTTACTGTTTTAATAAAATTTCTTAAAAGAATTTAATTATAAGTATTAAAAAAAAATTTTTTGATAAAATTCTACTTAAACATTTAATTATTTTCATAAATAATAAAAATTTCACGGGAATTTAATTGTATGCAAATTTTTTTTTATACATTTTTTCGAAAACATTCAGTTATTTTTATAAATAATAAAACTCATCAATTTCAATTATTTTAAATACAATTTTAATTGAATTTCTCGAAAAATTCGATTATTCTTAAAAATTTTATTAAAATTCGTCGAAAAAATTCAATTATTTACAAATTTTTTGATATAATGCTTTAGGAAAACTAAATTTTGAGAAACATTTAATTATTCAATAAATTAATTAATTGTATTTAAATAATTGAATTCTCGTAGAAATTTTCAAATTGATATAAAAAGAAATTTTAGTCAAAATAGTAGAAAATAATTGAATATTAAAAACATTACAGCTAAAATTTTGAAAAGGTTTCAAAATAAAATCTTTGAATTCTTTCTATAAATTCAATTATTTTTAGGAATTTCAAAAAAAATTCTTTCTAAAATTCAATTAATTTCATAAATAACAATATTCAACACAAGAATTCAATTATTTTCAAAACTATTAAAATTCTTCGCCGAAATTCAATTACTTTCAAAAATTTAAATAAAATTCTTGTTAAATTTTCAATTTTTTTCAACAATTTTTCAATTTAATAATTTTCAATATCTAATAAACAATATTTTCACAAACTTTACAAAAATTTTTAAAAATTCTTGTAAAAATTTCAATTATCTTTATAAATAATAAAATTTTTTTCCGAAATTCAATTATTTTCGTAAATTTTAATAATCTTCATGGCAACATTCAATTATTTTCAAAAACTTTCCTCAAATCAATGATTTTCCATATCTACTATTTTAATAATTTCAATTATTTTTGATACAATTTGAGAACTGAATTCCTTGAAAAATTCAATAATTCTAAAAAATTATTTTAAAATTCGTGAAAAGAATTCGATTTTGATAAACATTCAGTTATTCAAAAAATTATTTATTATTGTACTTAAAGATTTGAATTCAGGTAGAAAATTTCTTATAAAAATTGATTTAAAAATTAATTTTAATTAAAAATTAAGATACTATTTGCAATATTAAAAGAATTATAGCGTGAATTTTAACAAATAATTGAATTTTCAAAAGGTTACAATTTACAAATTAAAATTCTTACCAGATTTTCAATTATTTTTAGGAGTTTTGAGAAATATCTTTTGAAAATTTAATTATTTTTATTAGTAACAATATTCATCACAAGAATACAATTAATTTTTCAAATATTAAAATTGTTCGCAGACATTCAATTATTTTTAAAAATTTTAATAAAATTCTTGTCAAAATTTCAATTTTTTTCAAAATATTTCTCATTTCAATCATTTTCAATTTCACAAAAAAAAATTTTCACAAAAATTACCAAAAAAATTCAATAATTTAAAATAAACTTTTCTAAAATTCTACGCAAACATTCAATTGTATTTAAAAATAATAAAAATTTCACAGGAATTCAATTATTATTTTAAATTGAATTTCATAAAATTTCTGGAACAAAATTAGTTATTTAAAAAATTTGTATATAATTCTTTTTAGAGATTCAATTATTTTTATCTATAATAAAACTCATCTCAGAATTTCAATTATTTTTAATACAATTTTAATAAAATTTCTCAAAAATATAATTATTTTGAAATATTTTATCAAAATTCGTCAAAAAACTTGAATGATTTAAAAATTTGTTAATAAAATTTTTTATGTGAATCCCTGAAAATCTGAATTTTTCATACTTTTAACTAACGATGCTGTAAAATTAATTATATTGACAATTTTTAATTTCAATTCTGTTGAAATAAGTTGAATTTTTTAAATTATGTTTAATTATTTTAAAAGTTTTAACGCAATTCTTCCAATGAATTCAATTACCTTTATAAATAACAAAATTCTTTCCAGAAATTCAATTATTTTTAGGAATTAAAAAGAAAATTCTATTCAAAATTCAATTATTTTCATAAATAATAATATCCATCACTAGAATTCAATTATTTTTAAAAATTTATATTAAATTCTTGTTAAAATTTCAATTTTTTTCTTAGGGATTCAATTATTTTTATAAATAATAAAATACATCTCAGAATTTGAATTATTTTTAATACAATTTTTTGTTGACTGAGAATTCAATTTCGGGAAACATTAAATTATTATTCAACAAATTTTTACTATTTTTGTATTTAAATAATTGAATTCTAGTAGAATTTTCTAATAAAAATTTATTTAAAATTGAATTTCAGTTATAATTTTTAGAAATAATTGAATTTTGAAAAGATTTCAAAATTAAAATCTTTGAATATCTGAAATTTTCATACTTTTAACTGACAATTTTGTAGAATTAATTTTTTTTTTGATAAAGTTTAATTGAATTGTTCTCGAAGTTATTTTATAGTTATTTATTAATTGAAGAATTTTCGAATAATCGAAATTTTTGAAAATTGACTAATTGTAAACAAATGGATTTGAATATTCTCAAAGAACTTTGTCGATAAATTATTAAAAATAATTGATATAAAGAAGTATTTTTTGTTAAAAATTCTAGAAAATAATAATAATTGAATTGAAATGACTTATAATATTCTTATAAGTTGTTGAATTTAAATTTTTTGAAAATCTTTATTATAGCGTGAATTTTTAGTAATCATTGAATTTGGAAAGGTTTGAAATTAAAATCTTTGAAAATTTAAATTTTGCATACATGTAATTAACAGTTCTAGAACTAATTTTGTTAAAAATTTTTAATTTCAATTCTGTTGAATTAAGTTGAATTTTTTAAATTAGGTATGTTTAGTTATTTTAAAAGTTTTAACGCAATTCTTCGAATGAATTAATTTTTCTTTAGGGAAATTAAATTAAATTTTGTTTAGGGAAAGGAAAGAATTAAATTTTTTTTTGGCAACCCTGTATTCGTTTTCAAAATATTCTACTTTGTCCTCAAATTTTCTTTTTCTTCTCCATTTTTGAACAGAAGTCGTTCAGTGATTGGTGGCGTTGGATACAAGAAGAATTCAGCAAATGAAGTTCGCTTTGGTAGTGTTCCAAATTCACCTCGAGCAAGAGCTCGTGAATCGCCAGCGGAATGGTGGAGTCTCGGCGGTCCTGGAAGAGACGAGAAACTCCTCATGGAACTTCAATTGCACAAAGTTCGTTTTCAACATGAAGTTTATCCCGAGGAGACGACACAAGCCTCACGGCAAATTTTGCTCATCAACGAAATTGAAATTCGCGATCGACTCGATTCATCGAATATAAATAAATTCCTCTATCAGTATAGCAGTGAGGATAAACCGAGACAATCGCACGCGAATATGTTTGAAATGAAGGCAGTTCACATACGTCCCGATCCAAAACTCAGTACCCAGGAGTGTTGCCTAAAACTGAGTATTCTACCACTTCAGCTGAACATCGATCAGGATAGTTTACATTTTCTCATTGATTTTTTCACCGAATTGAGCGGAGGACCAAGTCAGGATAATGCGAATGTGAATAGTAATACACAATCTTCGCCGGGATCGAAGCAAGGAACACCAACTCACCATCCACCGGTGATGAGTGTCAATGACACTAATGCAAATACAAGAAGTATGAATTCATCGCAGGAAAGCGATACGGTCGTCGATCAGAATTTAATGATTCTACTGGAGGATGAATTGACAATTAAGGAGAATAAGCAGAATACGAAAATTATATCCGAATCTCAGGATGACAGTCAACCCACCTACTTCAGGTAATATTTTACTTTTCTTTCAATTTCCTTTTTTTTTTAATTTCAATATTTTAAATTACTTCTATTTCAGACTCTTCGCACTCGATAATTAATTTTAAAAAAGTAACAAAAAGTAGCTTTCAAGCTAAAAAAAAGTAGCTATCGAAAAATTAAACTTGAAGACCAAAAAAAAACTCGTTTTAGAAAAAATTAAATTTATGATTGATAATATTTTAACGTCCGTGTCTTTAATTTGTTGATTGAGGATGATGAGGATGCTAAAGGCATCGAAACGTTGTCCAAATAAATAAACAACATAATACCGTCTAAAAGCCTTGTAAAATCTACTCAATGAACAAGATTAAATTTAATTAAAATAATTAATTTACATAAATTAAATTTAAATTCTAATTTTTCACAAAACTGACAAAAAATTAATTTTATATTTTATTTTCCTGACGTTTTTCTAATTTCCATGAAAAATATTTACTTCTTTCTTATTCTGTTAATAAATTCAATTCCTACAATGAATTTTATTAATCATAAAAGAATTTAAATATATTTACAAAAATAATTTAATTCTTGAGAAGAATTTTATACAAAATTTTAAATAATTAATTTCTTTCGACTAATTTGATGAAAATTCTAAATTAAATAATTGAATTCCTCAGAAATTCTTATTATTCATGAAAGGAATTGAATTCTAACGAAGATTTTTTAGAAAAATTTTTTAAATAATTGAATTCTGTTTGTAAATTTTATGAAAATAGTAGTAAATCATTGAATAGCGAAAATTTTTTTAAAATAATTAAAGTTTACAAAGAATTCTATTAAAATTTTTGACAATAATTGAATGTCTGTGTGATATTTTATTAAATTTTTTTTTAAATAATTGAATTCCTAAATAGCGTTTTATTATTTATGAAAATAATTGAATTCCTGCGAACGATTTTATTAGAATTTTTTTAAATAATTGAATTTCCAAGAAGAATTTTATTACTTTTTAAAAATAATTGAATTCTTGTGATGAATATTGTTATTTATGAAAATAATTGAATTTTGAATAGAATTTTTCTTTAAATTCCTAAAAATAATTGAATTTTCGGGAAGAATTTTGTAATTTATAAAGGTAATTGAATTCATTGGAAGAATTGCGTTAAAACTTTTTAAAATAATTAAACATAATTTAAAAAATTCAACTTATTTCAACAGAATTGAAATTAAAAATTGTGAAAATAATTCAGATTTTCAGAGATTTTTAAATAATTCAATTTTTTTGACAAATTTTGATAAAATATTTCAAAATAATTATATTTTTGAGAAATTTTTTAAAAATTGTATTAAAAATAATTAAAATTCTGAGATAAAAATAATTAGATAAAAATAATTGAATCCCTAAAAAGAATTATATAAAAAATTTTTAAATAACTAATTTTCTTCGAGAAATTTGATGGAATTTCTATTTTAAATAATAATTGAATTCATGTGAAATTTTTATTATTTATAAATATAACTGAATGTTTGCGTAGAATTTTAGAAAAATTTATTTTAAATAATTGAATTTTTTTGGTAATTTTTGTGAAATTTTTTTTTGGGAAATTACAAATCGTTGAATTGAGAAAAATTTTGACAAGAATTTTATTAAAGTTTTTTAAAATAATTGAATATCTGCGAAAAATTTAAATATTTTCAAAATTAATTGTATTCTTGTGATGAATATTGCTATTTATGAAAATAATTGAATTTTGTAAAGAATTTTATTAAAATGCCTCAAAATAATTGAATTTTTGGTAATAGTTTTGTTATTTATCTTTAATAATTGAATTCTTTCGAAGAACTATTTATGTAAATAAATAAATTCTTGGGAAGAATTTTATTCAAATCCAAAAGAATAATTGAATTATATCAAAAAATTTTAATTTATAATTGTATTGATTTTTTTCGAGAAATGGAAATAAAATTTTTAAGAATAATTACAGTTTTTGAGAAATTGCTGTAAAATTGTATTAAAAATAATTAAATTCCAGATATGAATTTTGTTATTTATGAAAATAATTGAATAGTTGCTAAGAATTTTATTAAAATTTTCAAAAATAATTGAATTCCTGAGAAGAATTTTATTGTTTCTGAGAATAATTGAATTATTGCGAAAATTTTATTAAAATGTTTAAAAACAATTGAATTTCTTTGAAAAATTTTTTTGTTATTTTTGAGAATAATTAAATTCTTCATAAGAATTTTATAAACATTGTTTTAAATAATAAATTTTTTTTCCAAATATTATAAATATAATGAAAATTTTATTTTAAATAATTAAATTCTTGTGGAAAAATTTATTTGTGAAAATAATTGAATTTTTAGATTAATTAATTTAAAAAAGTATTAAAATTAATTGAATTATTGTGGTAATTTTATTATTTATGAAAATAATTGAATTTTGGATAAATTTTATAAATATTTTCTTAAATAATTGAATTCTGTTTGCAAAATTTTATGAAAATACTTGATATTAAAAGTAATTGAATTTCAGTTATTTTTGGAAAATAATTGAATTGTTTTAAAGAATTTGATTATAATTTTTGATAATAGTTTTCTTTATTTCTAGTATTAGCGAATTTAAAGTAGTGGAAATTCTAATAAAAACCAGAAATAGTAGCTTTTAGTGGCTGAAATCTAAAAAAAATTACCCGAATAGTAGCATAACGTAAAAAAGTAGTAAATACTAGATTTTAGTAGATAAGTGCGAAGCCTGATATTTATTAAATAATTAATAATTGGTATTTTAAAAAAATTTCAGGAGTGTCGTATTTGGACCTTCAGTGAACATAAAAGTGGATTATCAAGCTAAACGAGTGGATTTGAGTCGTGGACCGCTGGTTGGCATTTTAATGGGACTGACACATTTGAACAAGTCGGAATTAAGACTGAAGGAGTTGTCGAATCGTCACGGATTACTTGGTTTCGATAAATTAATTACATACTTGCTGCAGGAGTGGATTCAGGACATTAAAGATCATCAACTAAAGGGTCTTTTGGTCGGCGTGGGACCAATGCACTCCTTAGTTCAACTATGTAAGTTTTTTCGTTGCTTTTTTATTGAAAATTATAGACCGAGTGATAAAATCATTATTTTATATTATAAGAATATTAATACTCCAACTTCTTCAAAAATTATTTTCATCATTTCAATTCAATTATTATTTTCCAGAATTTTTAACTAAAATTCTTCTTGAAATCAATTATTTTGAATAATTAGTTATATTTTTTTTTAAATTGAAATTATTTTTGAAGAATTTGAATTATTAAAATTTTTCCAAACATTAAAGTTCTTTAAAATTTCTAATTAAATTCATACAAAATTGAAATTTTCCAAAATTTTAAATTGAAACCTTTTGAAGTTCATTTATTTATGAAAATTGTAAACGCAACTCTTATAAAATTAAATTAATTTTGAAATATTTAAGTAAAATTATTTATTAAATATTTTCTTAGTAATTATTTTATGATTGTTCTTCAAGAATTAAATTGTTTAAAAAGAAATTATTGTCAGGAATAGAAAAAAGTTAAGGCTTTGTATTTGAATTCGTGGTAATTTCATAGTTTATGAGACAAAAATTCAGAATTCAAAGAGTATAAAAAATTAAATTAAATTAAATTAAATCTTTACTATACCGAATTTCTTAGATAAAATTTATAAATTTGAACATCTATTTAAATAATGTATGTTATCGAATTTTGATAAAAGAAAATTAGCTTGATTGTTTAATAAATTGTTTTTGTGAAGTTCAAGGAATTCGCGACTTGTTCTGGATGCCAATCGAGCAATATCAGAAGGATGGAAGAATTGTACGAGGTTTGCAGAGGGGTGCAAATAGTTTCACGACTTCAACAGCAATGGCTGCTTTAGAATTGACATCGCGATTGGTCTACGCAATTCAGAGTACCGCCGAGACGGCCTATGACATGGTCAGTCCTGGACCAAGTGTAAGGAGAAAAACACGCGGTCAAAAAGGACGCAGAAAAAGATACAATCAACCCTCGGATATTCGTGAGGGAATGACGAATGCCTATATGCTAGTTAAAGAGGTATTTTTCTCTACTTTTAATTTCAATTTAATTCAAATTCAATTTCAATTTAATTTCAATTTAATTTTAATTTAATTTTAATTTAATTTTAATTTAATTTTAATTTAATTTCAATTTAATTTCAATTTAATCTTGAACTTTATTTATTTTCAATTGCACTTTTATAATCAGAGTTGTGCCACGCTTTTGCTCTTTTCAAATTCCCTGACTTTTCCAAGTTTTCCAGATAATAAAACGGAATTTTTCCAGCTTTTTAAAACGAAAATTATTCGAAAACATCAATAACTATTTTTAGATAAATATTTAATCATTTTTTTTAAAGAAATTAAGATATTCAAAAATTTGAAATTCAATAACATATAATGAATATTATTATTATAAAAAATGAAGATATCGATAACTCCGAGTCTTCAACTCGGAGTGATCGATTTCTTCATTATTTATAATAATTAAAGATGAGTAAGTGATAAAATTATTATTTTATATTATAACAAATATTGTTACTCTAACTTCTTCAAAATTATTTTCGTCATTTTAATTCAATTAATATTTTCTAGAATTTTTAACAAAAATACTTCTTTATATCAATTATTTTTAATAATTTATCGACAAAGTTCTTTAAGAATATTCAAATCTATTTGTTTACAATTAATCAATTTTGCAAAATTTCGATTATTCGAAAATTCTTCAATTAATAAATAACTATAAAATAACTTCGAGAACAATTCAATTAAACTTTATCAAAAATTAATTCTACAGAATTCTTAGTCAAAAGTATGACAAATTCAGATATTCAAAGATTTTAATTTTGAAATTTTTTTAAAATTCAATTATTTCTAAAAATTTTAACTAAAATTCATTTTTAAATAAATTTTTATTAGAAAATTCTACTAGAATTCAATTATTTAAATACAAAAATAGTAAAAATCTATTGAATAATAATTGAATGTTTCCCAAAATCGAATTCTCATAAAGAATTTTATCAACAAATCTTTAAATAATTGAATTCTTTCTACGAATTATAATAAAATTTGTAAGAATAATTGCATTTTTCGAGGAATTCAACAAAAAATTTTATTAAAAATAATGAAGATTCTGCGATTTGTTTTATTATTTATAAAAATAATTGAATCCCTAAGAAAAAAATTGAAATTTTAACAAGAATTTAATTTATTTTTTTGAAAATAATTGAATTCTTGTGATGAATATTGTTATTTATGAAAATAATTGAATTTTGAATAGAATTTTTTTTTAATTCCTAAAAATAATTTAATTTCTGGAAAGAATTTTGTTATTTATAAAGGTAATTGGATTTATTGGAATAATTGCGTTAAAACTTTTAAAATAATTTAACATACTTTAAAAAATTCAACTTATTTCAACAGAATTGAAATTAAAAATTGTCAAAATAATTAATTTTACAGAATTGTTAGTTAAAAGTATGAAAAATTCAGATTTTCAGAAATTCAAATAAAAAATTTTAGTAACAAATTTTTAAATAATTCAATTTTTCTGACGAATTTTGATAAAATATTTCAAAATAATTATATTTTTGAGAAATTTTATTAAAATTGTATTATAAATAATTGAAATTCTGAGATGATGTTATTGTAGATAAAAATAATTGAATCCCTAAAAAGAATTATAAAGAAATTTTTTAAATAACTAACTTTCTTCGAGAAATTTTATGGAAATTCTATTTTAAATAACAATTGAATTTATGTGAAATTTTCATTATTTATAAATATAACTGAATGTTTGCGTATAATTTTATAAAAATTTATTTTAAATGATTAAATTTTGTTTTTTGTGAAATTGAAAATCATTAAATTGAGAAAATTTTTGAAAAAATTTGAAATTTTGACAAGAATTTTATTAAAATTTTTTTAAATAATTGAATGTCTGCGAAAAATTTTAATATTTTAAAAATTAATTGTATTTTTGTGATGAATATTGTTATTGATAAAAATAATTAATAATTAATTATTAATTTTCAAGAATAATTATTGCATTTTTCGAGAAATTTGATGAAAATTGTATTAAAAATAATTGAAATTCTGCCAAGAATTTTATTAAAATTTTTGAAAATAATTGAATTTCGGAGAAAAATTTTATTATTTATAAAGATAATGAAAATTTTGACGAGAATTTTTGTAATTTTTTAAATATCATTGGATTTCTGCGAAGAAAAGAAAATTAAAGAAATTTAATTAAAAATGTATCGAAAATAATACTTAAATATTCTAATAAATAAATTTTAGCAAAGGTTTTTAAGATAATTGAATTTCTTTGATAAATTTTAATAAAATTTTTAAGAATAATAACTTTTTCCAAGGAATTCAATTAAAATTGTATTAAAAATAATTGAAATTCAGGATTGAGTTTTATTATTTATGAAAATAATTGAATCCCTGTTAGAAATGATATTAACTATGAAAATAATTTGTAAATAATTGAATTCCTGTGAAATTTTTATTATTTATGAAAATAATGAAATATTTGCGTAGAATTTTAATAAAATTTATCTTAACTAATTCAATTCTTTTAGAAATTTTTAATTTTTATTAAAGTAGTAGATATTAAAAATCATTGAATTGAGGAAAGTTTTCGAAAATAATTAAAATTTTGCCAAGAATTTTATTAAAATTTCCGTCCAAACTTTAAATAAATAAATAAATAAAATTTTAGAAAATAATGGAATTTCTGAGAAAAATTTCACTACTTTTGAAAATAATTGAATTTCTGCAATTATTTGTAATTGCTTCAAAATTCAATTTGTTTTAGTGTTTTTAACTAAAATTCTTCATTATTTTTAATGAAACTAGTTAAAAATACATTAAAAAATTTAATTAATTTCAGAAGAATTATAGTTTTTATAATTTTCTTTATATAAGTTTTTTAATATTTTTAATTAAATTCATTTAAAATTGAAATTTTACCAAATTTTAAATCAAAATCTTTTGAAGTTTATCTACTTATGAAAATTGTAAACGCAAATCTTTTAAAATTGAATTAATTTTGAATTATTTAAGTGAAATTAAATTTCAAGAATAATCTTTAGAAAACAACAATTTTCTAGGATTTCGATCAAAATTCCCTAACTTTTTCAGGTTTTTTCAAAGTTTATAAAATTCCCTGACATTTCCAAGTTTTCCAGGTTTTTAGATTGCGTAGCAACCCTGTTATAAACAATTTCTCTAGATATTTACTAAAATGAAAAAATCAAATCAATTAATTCTGAATTAAATTAAAAAATTGATGAAAGGAAAAAATCTTTTATTTCTAATTTGAAAAAATTAATAATTAAATTATTTTCTTCTCTTATTTCCATTCTTTCATTTTGTGTTATTTTTGCAGGGCTTGGGCGAGACGGCGAATCAATTAGTGCGAGTTGCGAGTGAGGAACATGAGCACAAAGGAGTTTCCGGTGCGGTTGGAGGAGTTTTGAGACAAATTCCGCCGACAGTCGTGAAACCAATAATCCTCGCGACAGAGGCGACAAGCAACGTTTTAGGTGGAATACAATCGCAATTGGTGCCAGACGCAAGGAGAGAAGCTGTTCAAAAATGGCGACAAGATTCATCAGACGTTAACTGAGAAAAAAAATATATATATAATATACATAAAACAAAAATAATTTTCAGAAAAATAATAATTGAGACACAGTCAGAGAAAAGAAAAAGAAAAAAAACTCGCTAATATTTTTATTTTAAAAGAAGATTTTTTTTTTTTGAGAATGCGAGAAAAATTTTATAAAAGATTTACAATACTGTGTAAAAAAAATTTTTTCGGAGATTTTTTTCATAATTTGCAAGTGGTGCAAAGACTTAAATAAAAATTATATTATATATAATTACATATATAATTTTATGAATTTTATATATATATATTATTGTGTATGTATCTATGTTATATATATTATATATAGCACCTATATATATATAATATAATAATATAAATAATACATATAATTTATAATCTTCCGTTCCAATTATAGAAACAAAGAAGAAAAAAAATTGTGTATAAAAAAAAGAAGAATGTTAAAAAGATTTAGAGTTTAAAAATGAAAAAAAAAATTGTGATTATAATTATAATGAGAAATAATTATATATATATTCATGCATATATAATTAAAGCTCTATATAAATATTATGCCTGATTATTAAATCGCTTGTATGTATTTTTGTTCTAACGTTGTGTAATAATGTTTTGTACCCAAGATGATAAAAAAAACTTTATTAATAAAATCGTGGATTAATTGAATTTTTTATTTCTTCCAAGTAAAAATTATTTTTTTACTGTTTTTGTCAAGTTTTGAAATTTTTTTTTTATTATTTATTTACCGTTTTTGTTAATTTTATTTATTTTTTGTACAATTTTGATCATTTTTATTGTCTTTGATCATTTTTTGTTAATTGTAATTAACAAATTAAAATTTTTTAGTTTCATTTTAAGTCAATTTGAATTTTTATTTAAAGTTTTGGTTACATAATTGTCTTTTCTTGAGATTAATTTAAAACTTGTTTATTTTTATTTTATTTAAATTTATTAATTATTAATTACATAAATGAAATTTTTATTTAATAAATGAAGTCACTTGGATTGTTTGATTTAATTTCTTTTATTTAATTCGATAACATTTTTTGTTCTGCTTATTAATTTTATTAACAGTTTCAAAAAAAATTTTATTTTGAATTTTCAGAAATATTTTTTTTCAGTAGGTTTCACTGTTTTCGATATTTTTCTGTAATTTCCTTTTTTATCCGAATTGACGTTCGTGTCACTAACAATTAAATTTTTAACTGTTCCAAATTTTTATTTTTAATAAATTTCTTGTTTTTTATGCATTGTTATTAAAATTTCAGTTTTGTAAATTTTTATCTTGCAAAATGTTAAGTTTGTTCCTTTTAATAATTTTTATTAATCTTGTCAATTTTTTCTTAATTTATTTATTCAAATTTTTATTTTATTTAGAAAAAAAATTTGTTTATTGTTTATTAACTTTGAAAATTATTCAAACATTTTAAATAATTTAAAATTTATTTCAACATTTAAAATAATTTTAAATTTATTTTATTTTTAATTATAATTATTATTAAATAATTAAGCAAATTTTTTGTTAAAATAATTTTTTTTATTTTTCTTATTGATAACTTTTCGTATTTTTTAAATCGTAATTTTTTTATTTTGATTTATTTAATTACATAATGAACATAAATTTTAACAGTTAATTTTATTTCGATTTATTAATTTTTAATTGTAAAAAAAATTTTGATTAATAATATTAGTTAATAAATAATAATATTAGGTTGTTTTGTAGGTTCGAATTAAATAAATAAATTAATAATTACTATTATTAATTTAAAAAATGAATATAATTAATATGAATTACTTAATAATTATATAATTAACAATTATTTAAATTTTCAAGAAAAGTTAAATTTCGCTTTCATGTAAATTTGAATTCAAATCATTTTTGCGCCAATTTTGGAAATTTGCAATTCCCTCCAGTTTTCTACAAATTCTTCCAAGAAATCCAAGAAATAAACATTTATTCTATTTATTTCGAATGAATAGTTTATTTTTATTAAATTTTTAGAAAAAAGGAAAACAAAATTAGAAATTTAAGAAAAAACTGCTTGGGGACTTTTGATAGTTACCAAATATCAATACATACTTACCATCAGTGTTACCAACTCAAGATGTCACCACTTGTGATTTCCATTTTTGCTCTGTTAATAATGAATAATTATTATTTATTTCCAAACTAACAATAATTATCACTTTGGAAAACAAGTAATTGAATTCCTAAAGTTTATTTTAATCAACTTTAATAGTAATTTGTTGAGAAGTTAATTTATGGTATTTTTTAAAAATTAGTTTTCGAAAGTAGCGCGTGGTGGCGCCACACAACATAAAGAAACATCTGGAACATCTCAATCTCTCCGCGTCGCCTTGGCAACAGAATTTTGTTAAAAATATCATTCAAATATCAAGTAAGTCACGCAATTTTATACGAAAATTTTCTTTTTTCAATCGTAAATCAATTATACATACTTTAAATTAAACAAAATTGTTGAAATGAAAAAATTTTTCCAAACTTCCGTTTTGGGTTAAAATCGCCACCTCTCCCCATTTCTACGATTTCTACAAAGAAAAAACGGTTATTTTTCCTTGTTAAAAAACGCAATCGAGAGACAAATTCGAATAGCAAAAAATATATCTACATTTTTTTGAGTTTAAGAGAAACAAAAATTGAAATCGAAAATTTTTGTGGTTAGGTTATAAAAAAGGGACAAAGGGGAAGCGTAAAAAATTTCGGCGAGGAAGCGAAAATTATGTCAGAGACGAGTAAATCGTTTTCTCGTGATTATTGTGATGAAATAATTGAAAGCATCAAATTCGAGGAAGGACATTGTGTTGATGATGCTTATAATGATGATGATGATGATCGTGGTGAGAGTAGTGATAAAATCGATTATGAAATGAAGGAGAAAGAACAGGTGGATTTGAAACCAGTCAAGATCACCGGGGAGACCTTGAAACGAATTCGCCAACAACTTTGTTTGATAAAACTCGGCTCGACGAAAGTAGAGCTCGATCATGAATCTTGTTCCTATTTCAAACTTGTACCTAAAAGTTATTCGCAAAATAGTGAAAAAGAAAAAGTTTTACTTTGGTACGCTGAAAATTTCCGTCAACAATTCCAATATATTTATGGTGTTAAACGAAAGCCCTTGTTAATGGTGTGCGACAATGAATTTGGAATTCAGGTATGTATAACTATAAATAATAAAATAATCATTATAAATAATAAACTAATTATTATAAATAGTAAAATAATTTTTAATTCTTAAAAAAAGTAATTTTATTTTAGCATTCAATGTTTTTCTATAATAATAATGACCCACATTGAAAATCGTTAACAGTAAATCCAGAGTTGCCACAGGTCAGGGAAATCAGGGAATTCAGGGAAAAGTCAGGGATTTTTATTTAAGTAACTGGAAAAAATTGAATTTTGTAGAAGTCACAAATGATTGCAGAAATTCAATTATTTTCGAAAGTAATAAAATTCTTCGCACAAATTCAATTATGTTCAAAAAATAAAAAAAATTCAATTATCTTTAAAAATAATAAAATTCTTCTCCAAATTTCAATTATTTTCCAAAAATTTAATAAAATTCTTTGCAAAATTTCAATTATTTTCAAAAAATTTTTCTCAATTCAATGATTTTCAATATCTACAGTTTCAATAAAATTTTCCAAAAGAATTCAATTATTTAAAAAAAAATTTTGATAAAATTCTAAGCTAACTTCGCAATAATTCAATTATTTTCATAAATAATAACATTTTTTACAAAAATTCAATTATTTTCATGAATAATAAAATTCATCATAGAATTTCAATTATTTTTAATACAATTTTAATTGAATTCCTCGAAAAATTTAATTATTCTTGAAAATTTTGTTAAAATTTCTCGAAAAAATTCAAATTTGTTGATAAAATTCTTTATGATAATTTAGTTTCGATAAACATTCATTTATTCAATAAATTATTTTTTTGTATTTAAATAATTGAATTCTTGTAGAATTTTCCAATAAAAATTGATTGGTTAAAATTTTAGATCATAATTGAATATTAAAAGCATTATAGCATGAATTTTTAAAAATACATAATTGAATTCTTTCGAAGAATTTTAACAAAATTTTTGAAAATATAGTGACATTTTTCGAAGAATTTACTTAAAATTGTATTAAAAATAATTGAAATTCTGTGAAGAATTTTATTAATTTATGAAAGTAATTGAATTCTTGCAATGAATTTTTTCAAATTCAGAAAATTCAGGAAATCAGAGAAAAGTCATCAGGGAAAAATAAAATTAAATATTTGTGGCAATCCTGAAATCGTAAACTTGACATGAGAGGGAGAAAAGGGCAGAAATTTCTTTTATATAACGAATAAAATGACAAATGCAAAAAATCCAAAATGACGGCTCTAAAATATTAATCAAAAATTAAATAATAAATCAGATTCGATCGAATTTTCATTGCGGATTTAAAATATCGAATGGAAATTAAAAATCAATTAAATTTGCTCGAAACTTGTTACTTAGGGGTTTGTGGGGTCGCTGATTACGGATATGAAGTCAGATGTTAAAAATTCAAAATGGTGGATCCAATATGGCGGACAAAAATTAAAAATAGTTTGAATTTGCTTTAAACTTGTTACTCAGGGGTTTTCGTGGTCGCTGATTACGAATATAAAGTCAGATGTTAAAAATTCAAAATGGCGGATCCAATATGGTGGACAAAAATTAAAAATCGTTTGAATTTGCTCGAAACTTGTTACTTGGGGGTTTTTGGGGTCGCTGATTACGAATGTAAGGTCAGTTTTTAAAAATTCAAAAAGGTGGAAGCAAAATGGCGGAAATAATTTAAAAATCAATTAAATTCGGTTAGAACTTGTTACTCAAGGTTTTTTTTAGTTCGCTGATTATAAATCTGAGATTATTTTTTTTTTTAAAGAATTAATACATATTATAATTATAAATAATAATTATAATAAATTTTATTTATATACTATTAATATTGATAATAATATTATATTATTATTATTATTATTATTATTATTTATAATAATATGTAATAATAATAATAAAAAATAATAATTATTATTGTTCTATTACTTCATTAATATTATTATTGAGTTTGTAAGCTCATAAAATCAGTTGAACGACTATATAAGGTCACGGTCATTGGCGCGTCTGTGAATTGTACGTTATATTCAAAAGAATTTCCTCGCTCCATTCATGTCTCTCCTTTTGCTTTCTATGATCTTGAAAGTCATTCCATCTTTTCATAAATTTTCTACAGCTATTTAAAATCTTAAAGCGATAGATAGTAGAAGGCCGCTTCTGTATTATTTCAAATAAAAAAAAAACAGAAAACGAAAAAAAATCAAAACAGACAAATTAAGATGTCAAAATTTTTCTCTCATCACAATAATTATATATATCCTCAAATTTTATGCTTCATTAAATTTTTGTCTAAACAATTTTAGAAAAAATTTTCTATATACAGTTTTTGCTTTAAAAAAATGTCATTTTACTCTATTCAGTGTTTTTTTTTACTTTCTTAAATGCATATTTTTAACAGATTTTATGATTTTATTATAAAAATAAATATTTTTTTTTTATTTTTTTTAAAGGAAATTAAGTTTTTTAAGTAAAAATATTAAATGATATATAATTTTTAGTAACTTATAATAATTTTTATAAAATTAAATGTTGTGAATTAAAAAATTGAATGAATTTGAAAATTTATTATTTAATTTATTTATTAGTGAGTAAAAATAATTTTTATACTTACCTTTTTATTTTGATGGCTTCCTTTCTTTGAATCGAGGCGAAAATTATAATTTGAATATAATTATTTATAATATAACATAGTATAATTTCCAATAAAAAATATTATATATATATATATTTATAATATTAACAACGAAACTTAAGTTCAAAACAAAAAACTTTGTCCAAAACTTCAAGTATAAAAAATAAATCCAAATTTAGAATAATATTAATATTTTTTTATAAGTTTTATAAAATAAGTTAAATAATTAAATTAAATTTAAAGTAAACTATTAAATTAAATAAAAAATATTTTCCTAAAAAAAACAGTGGAAAGGATTTTTAAAAGTGGAATAAAGGAGAGAATAAAATTAAAGACAAATTGATTACGTTTTAATTCTCAGTGTATTCTTCGATAAATACTTTCGATTTTCACATCGTACAAAGGCGTTCTTTTTACATATCAAAAAAAAAAGGGAAAAAAAATGAAAAAAAAATGATTTTTTTAAAAATAATATTATAACCTACAGCATTTTCGTTACTTATCTATATTCGTGCGAGGGTAACAAGAGGAATGTCGTTCGAAATAAATGAGGTTACAAGGTCATTTTGCTTTTATCGATCGTTGCCCTTTTTTTTCCTGTCCCTTTTCCATCTCTTTTTCCGCCATTTATTTCCCACTTCCCCCCACATTCGAAAGTCAATCCTTTAATCTTTATTATTTCAAACTTTCTTTCTTATAATTCGTATCTTTTTATTTATTAAACTTAAATTTTCAATATTTAAACATTTATTGAATAATAAATATATAATTTCCATCAATTAGTGAACACTTTTGTAATTTTCCAAAATGATCACTATTTTTTTTTTTTTTGAAATTTGAAAATAAATTTTCACTTTCCTTTAGATTGAATTTTTCATTTTTAAATTTCTTTTTATAATTTGAATGTTTGAATAAAAATTATATTTTCTAATAAAATATTGAAATAGAAAAAAAAAATTTATTATATACACGTGATAAATAAAGAGAGAAAAAGGGGCGAATGGAAAAAAAAAGTTACCGTTCATGCGAGGAATTGTTTTTATCGGTGTATTGCTTTCTTTTTTCAATCGTCGATTACAATTTTTTTTTTCTAAATAATAAAAATAAACTTCCTATACATTTTTTTCATGTATTCCTCATGCATGCTGTTTTATTTATTTATTTTTTTTTAGTTTATTTTTCTCCAAGATGCACTACGACAAAAACACGTATTACGCACTTTGCGTGCAACTGCACGCTCACAGTCTTATTTACACGTGCTGGCCTCTTTGAACAGCACATTCTTCACTTTGGTTTTTTTCTTTTTTTCTCTTTTCTTTCTTTTTTTTGTATCTTCCTTTTCTTCATAAATACATTTCGCTGTCAACAAGTTGCTTACCTCGCGAGCAGAAAACACCCTTTTTTGGTCATTTGTCGCAAGAAATTTTTTTTTGAAACAAGCGCGAAACATTTTTGTTTTTATTTTGCATAGTGAAGAAGAAAAAAAAAATAAAAACAAATTTAAGACATAAAGGAAATTTTTTTAATAAAAACAATATTCAAATTAACAAAAAAATTTCCAAAGAATATTTTTTCCATTGAATTTTTTTAAATTTATTTGAATATTTTTTAAATATTTAATTATTAGTTTTTATTGAAAATTGTGAAAAAATTTCAATAATCCTGCTCGCGAGTCATACAGTCATTGCGCTACTTTTTTTTTTCTCTCTCTCTCTCTTTTCATTTTTAATTTTCCTTTTCTATTTATATAATAATTTGATAATTTTTAGTTTAATTTTTAATAATTAATTAATTTATTTTTTTCTTTCGGTGAAACCTCTCGGCACTACGACTAACAATATATATCAATAGTGGACTTTTCTAACAACTCAGACATTTATATACACAATACATATAGATATCTAAAGGCGTTAACAATTTACAATATTCGTGGCCGAGAAAGTGAAGGTAACCTTCCTCAAAAAATGTTATTCTCTTTTTTCTTTTTATACACACACACACACAAACATACAAAAGTTTTCATAAATTTTTCATTTTTTGTTTTTTTTTCCCCCTTCTTCTCCTTTTTGAACATAGAGGCACGAATTTTACTAGTAAATATTGAAAATGAAGAAAAATTCGCGAGCAAATTGACTAAATTTGATAATTTTGCAAATAAGAATTTTTTTTTGGAAAAATGGAATATTTTGAAAAATATTTTAATTCATTTTTCGATAATGCAAAAATGAAACAGTAAATTTTCTATTTTTTTTTAAATAAAAATTTAGTTAATTTTTACGTTTTTTTGATACAAAAAATGAATATAATGGTTTTTCAATTTTTTTTCGTTAAATTTGGAAAAATTCACAATTTTTTGCGAAAATTTTCTTTTTCTTTGATAAAATTAAAATCCAAAAAATTTTAATCTTCGTTTCTATTATTTTTGTCTTATTTCCATTTTTTATCCTTATTTCTACATTTTAATTTTCTTTCCAATTGTATTTTTAATTAATTTGCATAAATTTAAATAAAATAAATAAAAAAAAAATTTAATATTTATTACAAATTTTTTTCTCTTTTTTTGAAATATGATTCAATAATAAATGAAAATAAAAATTAAAAAGACCGTGAAACTTTTAAAGAATTACAAAAAAAGAAATTTATTTTTTTTTTGTTGCAAAAAAACAGAAATTAATTTTCATTGATCTTTTTTTTTTTTTTGCAAAAAAAAACAGAAATTCGTATCAACGACAATCAGACGAAGTACCTTGCCATATCCAGAATTATCAACTTGGCTGGGATGCGCAAAATTCGTGACCGATTACGTGACATACGAGGCACCAAAATCGCCCCTCGAATTGGTAAGTAAACTCTGCGAATTTTTCCTCTTATTTTCATCGAATTTTCCTCTATTTCAACAATAGAATTTATAAAATTTATAAAATTTACAAATAATTATTATAAATTATAAATTAGAATTTATAAGTTTTTTTTTCAAATAGATTTAAATATAATTCGGATAAGTGTAAAAAAAACAAAAAACGAAAAAATTAAGAGAGAGAGAGAGAGATAAACATAAGTTTTCTCTAATCGTCACATCGATATGGCCATTGTCGACTGTTGCTTCAGATACAAATCACAACTCGGTTTTTTTTTTTCTTTTCTTTCTGTCTTCTCTCCCCCCCACCCCTTCTTTTTTTATCATCGAGAGTATAGACGTAAAACCGGTCAGGCGAGGGACGAAGTGATCGATCAGCAATTCTTGAAATTCGTTTTCGAAGCGAAACACATCCGGAATTCCAAACGCGTCGATCAAGAGAGAAAGAGAGAGAGATAGAAGAGAGACGAAAAAAAAATCTAAAACTACTTCGTCTTCAGATATGTATTAACGTTAAAAAAAAAATAAATAAAAAAAATAACCACCCCGGACTAGTTTTCTTAAAGATCTCGAGAATCTTGTCTCTCGCTACACTTCCTGAAAGTTTTGCGATGATTTAAATCCGGTTGTTCCTTAAAATTAAATATTATATCTCTATAAAGGAGAATTTTTTTTCTCTCTTTTTTTTAAAAGAAAAAAATGTATCTTTTTTTTCTTTTTTTTAAAAAAAAATGTATATTTTCTCTCCCTCTCTCTTCCTCTCTCTTTGTCCATTTCTCCCATACATATATATATACACGCAATAGTCTTAAATTCGCTAATGAATCAAATTGCAATGATAACGATAAATCTCTACGGTTTACAATATTTAATAATAATAATAATATTAATAATAATATTACTACTACTAATAATAATAATATTAATAATATTACTAATAATAATAATAATATTAGTAAAAGTATTACTAATAATAATATTAATAAAAATATTAATAATAATAATATAATATAATAATAATAAAACCTTAATTTTACACAACTTTCTTAATCGATTTTAAGAATTTGGTATATTCTCTTATTTACAAAGTGCGAAGAATATCGTACGACCTATATTTTGATTCGGCCCAATAATATTTATAGTTTTGTTTTCTTTTCTTTTTTCTCTTCTTTTCTTTACAATTCTTATTTTTATTCCCTTTTTATTCCGTCAAGAGGTAACTAATTTTTTTTTTTTTTTTCATTTCTCACGCGGCGATTATTAGAGACGTATGTATATATATATATGTATATATTGTTTCTATTTTATTCGAATATTAAAAAAAGAAACATTTTTTTTACCTAATAAAATTGTTGACATTTTTCTTTCTTTTCGAATTCGTAGCGTTTAAAATTTTCAAATTTCTCAACTTTTTACTCAATTCACATATTATTATTTAATTTGTAGGTAATTGTATAAGGATACAATTCGTTGTTTTCCTTTAATTTTTCAAATTGATTTTGAAAATTTATTTATAATTTAATTAAAAATTATATTTAATAAAAAAAAAATTGTTAATTAAAAATTATAGAAAAATTATATAAGAATTATATAAAAATTCAATAAAATTTAAATAAAAAATAAAAATTAATGAAAATTATATAATTTTATCATTATATAATTATAATTATATAATTATAATTTTAAGGAATCATTATAATTAAATAATAATTATTATTTAAAAATATTTGCAATAAATAAAATTATTATTTATTGCAAAAATAATTATTCCTTTGTTAACAACTTTGTGTGTTATAATAAGTTTTTCTCTATACAAATTAAATAATAATACGTGAGAATATATAATATATTCTTTTTTTCTAACTTTAAACATTTTTTTATAATATTGTAATTTTTTTTTGTTTTTTTTTCAAAAAAGATAAAAAGCTCTCACATATTTAAACGCTTTGAATTTGAAACATTCACACACTGATAATAATTTATAATATTTCGGTCAATTTATGATGAAAAAATGTTTGTTGTTTTTTAACCAGTAGTAATTAGTAGTAGTAACAGGAATAGTAGTATAGCAGTAATAGTAGTAGTCAATATTATTTGGAGAAACATTGATTCTCAAATGTAGTGAAAAATCCTCGCTCAAACGATTTCTTATTTATATAATAATAATAATATTAATTATAGACTTTAGCGATCGTGTGTTTAGGTTCAAAGACTAGCTTTTCATTCTCGGTGACAAAAATAAAGGGAAAAATTGTCAAGAAAAAAGATGTAGAAAAAGAGAGAGAGAGAGAGAGAAAGAGATAAATAAACGAAAAACTAATAATGGAAATAGAAAGAAATTTTTTTTTTCAAATAAATAAGCGAATATTAATAATGAGAATAATATTCAATGTGAACTCAATGAGCAGAGTGTTTTAAATTCAAAATAATCGAAAATTTCGTCAATCAATGAAATAAAGACAAAAAAATAAACCTTTTCGAAATCATTTCAATGAGATTTAAAGGTCGTACACAATCAAATTGAAAATAAATTTTTGCAAAGAAAAAACTTTTTTGCCTTTTCTTATAAATTTATTTTTTGAAAAAAATAATTATTGCAGAGGATTGAAAATTAAAATGGAAAGTGAACAAAAATTATTGCAATTAACAATTATTGAAAACTTATTGGATAAGATAAAAAAAATTATAAATAACGATTAGTTAATTACTAGTTTTTTAAAAATTATATTCTATAATTTATTTAAATATAGTAAATATTATATTTCATTAATAATATTAATAATTATTATTAATATTGATTATTAATAAAAATATTAATAATTATTATCAATATTGATTATTAATGAAAATATTAATTACTTTAATTATCAATTTTCATTAATTAACTTGATTCATAATTAACGTTAAATAACAATTATTTAATTTTTAATAAAATATATTTAAAAATTCGAATTTATAATTTTCAACCGAATGCAAAATTAATTGGTTAATTATTTTTTCTCATATTCAAATTGTTAATTTCTTTTTAAAATAATTAAGAAACGTTAACTTTTTATTAAATAATTAACTATTTAATCATTTTCTATATAATTAACTATTTATTTCTTTTTTAACTAATTAAGTATTTAATTATTTCGTAAGCAATTAATTACTTAAATATTTTTAAAAAATTAACTTTTTTGATTATTTTTTACATATTTAGTAGTAAATTATTCTGAAAATAATTAACTATTTAATTATTTCGTAATTAATTAATTACTAAAATATTTTTAAAAAATTAACTTTTTTACTATTTTTTACATAATTTAGTATTAAAATTTTTTGCAAATTATGTAGTTAACTTTCTTTTTAAAATAATTCCTTCATTAATTATTTTTCAATTAATTAATTAGTTAACTAATTTTCATGTAGTTAATTAACAACTTTTGAATAATTAAGAAATTATTTATTCTTTTATTTTTTTTAAATTAGTTAACTTCTTTTTCTATATAATTAAATAGTCAAATACTTTTTAAAATTTCGTTAATTTTTTAGATAATTAAATTGTTAACTACTTTTTAAAATAATTATTAAGTCAACTACCTCTTTACATGATTAAATAGTTTACTGTTTGATTTAATTAATTAGTTAATTTTTTACTAATGAAATTGGTAACTACTTTTTAAAATAATTAGTCAACCATTTTTGAAATAATTAGTCAACTATTTTTGAAATAATTAGTCAACTATTTTTGAAATAATTAATCAATCACTTTTGAAATAAATAATTAGTTCTTACCTATTTTTTTATTAATTAGGTAGTTAATTTTTATTAATTATTCTTTAAGTAGTTAATTACTTTTGAAAATAATTAACAAAATTTGTGACCAATTTTAGTTTCATATTAATATAATATCAATAATTGTTTACTACCGCGAATTATTGTGAATTTTATTTCACGAACAAGTTAATTAATATGAATAATTTTGCAATATCACTCGGTGGTTTGAAATTTCACAACTAATAATTAATTAATCATTATTGTTAATAAAAATGGAAATTTTATAATAAAAGAAAATATTAATATTGATTTATAAATAATAGCATTGAATTATTATTAATATTCGCATTGTGAATTTTATTCCTGAATTTAGCGTCGACGCTATTTTTTTTAATCAAATTTATGTTCAGGGCACTTTTTTTTCACCTGACAATTAAGAAAAAATTTTCAATTTTTGTGAAAAAAGCGTATTTTTTTGACGTTAAATTCAGGGATGAAATAACTTCGCGGTGATCTTTGGGGACAAAAACATTAGGTTCGTACAGAATCTAATGTTTGTCCCCTAAGGTCCCTGTCATTACTAAGCGAATAAAAAATAAAAAAGTTTGTAAAGAAGAGAATTATTAGTTTTTCGTTCGTGTTATTTTTTTTTGGTGTGAATCATTTGAGCGGGTTTTGTGCGCATCCCTTTTTTTTAATAATAATAATAATAATAATAATTAAAAACGCGAAATCTAAATAACTTATGGACTATATATTTATATATATATACAAACTACATATGTACTTAACGATCACAGCACCCTTTTACAGGGGGGGTATCTTTTGTTTCTTTTTGTTGTTGTTGTCTTTACTTTCTGCTTTGCTTGAGACTCGGTGAGGCCCTCTTCTTCTTGCAGTCCTTGAGTTTGTCCAGCATCATTCGAAATTGGAAAACTTGAACACGAGTAACAGCTGGATCGGAGCACTTGTCAAGCCACTTGAAGAATTTTTCCCCATGCTCAATTGCCTCCTCAGTTGAATGTGGCGCATCCACATTTGCCTCCAATTCGTCATCGAAATTAAATAATTTCTTCACTGTTGATGATTCATTGTTATTGTTACACAATACACTGTCGAGCATTGCTTTTGCTTTTGATGGCGATCGTCTTGGTAGGGTGTTTGTTTGTGGTACTGGTGTTGGACCACGTGTAACTGGTGTTACAACTGGGGCGGTTGGGGTTGTTGTTGTTGTGGTTGTATTTGGTGAAATTGACTGTAATGTTGGGGGCATGACACCGTAGTGTTGGTACCATTTCCAGAACCAGGAACCCTCTTGACTCGCGGGATTGAATGGGGTTGATTGTTGACCGATTATTTGTTGTTGTTGGGTTAGCCAGAGCCAGAGGGCTTCGTCCATTTTTTTTGCGTTGATGTCGTTGTTGTTGTTCTTCTTTTCGGTGTTGTTGACAATCTTTGGTAGTTGATTGTTCATTTGAGTGGAGAGTTGGTTGAGTAGTTGATTGGAGAGTTGGGTGGACATGGAGTTGGCGAGTTGGGTGGTCATTGAGTTGGTTAGTTGGTTGGTCATGGGATTGGAGAGTTGATTGACCATTGAGTTTGATAATTGGGGAGTGATTGTGGTGGAGAGTTGATTGGACATTGGAATTTGACTTAGATGAACGTTGGACATTTGGACGTTTGGTGAGGCTGGTACGTGGGTGGTTGGGGCTTCGGCCGCGGGCGGGAGGCTCTTACGCGATACCGATTTCACCATTGAGTCCATTTGGGTTGGCGCGATGGCGCATATTGAGTGCCTTTTGTTGTTGGTGGTGGGTGTGATGCCACTTTTGGTGTATTGAAGGCCGTTCTCGACTAGGCCGACAGTACAGCTTGGCGCTAGGGCCGAGGACATCATGTAGTTTTTGGCACTCTGGGACATCATTCCGAGATGCTGGAGGAGAAGGGCACTGCTGTCGGAGCGCATACCGGCCGCTGCCATGGACATTAGACCGAGATAGTCGAACTTTTTGCTGTCCATTTTTGACGCGTTGAGATCGACGTTGTCCGTTGGGTCCTGATGGTGGTCGGACTTCATTCGCTTTTGAATTGGACCCTCGTCTTCGCTGGAATGACTCGTGCCGGCTTGGGAATTGTTCGTGACGTTGGCGCCCGATGACGACGCCGGCGAGTGGGCCTCACTGTCGGGCGTTGATGAATTTCGCGCCATGCCGCGTATTTTGTGTTCCGATTTGCACCAACCGCGTAATGTCGATTCGGGCACGCCAATATCCCGGGCCACTGACGCTTTACTCTCGCCATCGTGAACACGCTGAATCGCTTCCATTTTCTCCGCAGCGGACAGTGCCCTGAGGGGCCGTTTGCCCGGTCGCGCTGTTTCGGCCCTCATTCCGCGATTGTCCTTCATATTCTCCTTGAGACGATCCTCGAAACTATGATGCGTCTCCTCAAAGTCGCACAATTTGCGATTTAATTTGAGCGAATCCAGGCCGCCGATCCTACGATCCGCGACTAGATTCGCCGTATTCGCTATTGATAGATCCACTTTTGATAAAATATCCTATCACACTAGAGAGAACACACGTTGGGGAAAAGAGGGGGGAAAAACGAAAACAAGACACTTGTTCGTTCCGCGTATACTTCTCACCAAGACACTCGGCTCACGACAGTAAATATCACCGCAGTTACGGAAGAGTTAGCCCCGTAAACGGGGAGGGGGTTGTAGTACGCTGTAGAATAGCACATGCGCTCACAGAGTAATAAAGAACTTTTTTATGAATGAAACAACTCGCCCCCACCACAATATATATATGTATATATATCTCTTCTCTCCCCCTTGGCCTCTCAAGTAAAACCGTACAGCCAATCCGCAGTGCGCGCGGGAAACAATATTATTGTATCGTAACCACGAGGAAATTAACACTTGTTTACCACAAAAAACTTTTTGTGTTCACAAAAAAATTTACAACTTCGTCCCTGACTTCACAAAACTTTTGAGCCAACTTCGCACTCTCAAGTTCACACAATTCACAAAAACAAATTTTTAGCAGTAAATACTTTTCTTTTTCTTATTTATTATAATAAGAAAGAAGTAAACTTTGATTCTTTGGAGAAATTCAACAGTGAGAATAATTTTCTTATAACTTTATAAATCAGACGACCTTGCAAAAGAGACACAATGTTCTCACGTTGAAGCGCAGCGCTGAACTAAAGCATCAGCAGTGGACGCCGGTTCTTCACGGCAATCGCGCGACGCTGTTTCTATCCCCCCTTCCCTCGCGCTCTCTGTCTCTCTTTTCGCGTCTCCGCGCCCCGAGGGCTCACGGTACTGGTCTCCCTCCCCTCGTCCTTCCACCTCCCCCGCTCTCTCTCTCTCACTGTCGACCAACCCCTCTTATTCGCGAGCTCTGTCTCACTCTACCGCCAAACTGGCCTCTACCCCCCTTTTACTTCGCGCGCGCCAACAACGACGACGACGACGCCGCACGAAACCTCTGAGTTTGGGTTCTTCGTCACTCCCCCTCCTTTTTGGTTTCACCCTTCCCCTTCTTGACCCCCCGCCCCTTCTACTTTTGGTTCCCCAAGTCTATCGGCGCCCCCTTTGCCAAATACTCTCTCTCTCTCTCTCTCACTTCTGTATATACTGAACTCCAACGCTACTCACGTATACACCGCGGCTTCCCTAACGATCGGTGAGGACCTCGGGAATATTTCCCGGAAAGTAATCCGGGGCTGCGAAACTATCGTGACGAGAAACGATGGGACGAGCATTTCAGCCCAAACCCCCCCGAGGAAACACGCGCGAAGGGCGACGCGTGTTTTTGGAGAGAAAGGAGAATATATATATATATATATATATATATATATGGATGAGAGAGAGAGAAAGAGCAGGTTTTCGTGACGAAGCCTGGGGCTTTTCACTATATGTGCGGGATGAGAAGGGGTTGCACAAATGGATGAGAGACGTGGTTCAGAATTATTTTCGAGGGAGAGATTTAAGTTCGATGGAAAGTTTTCTTTTTTTTTCTCCCTCTTTCTCTCTTCTTTGTTTCGGACAAGTATAATGAGAATGTTATTTTTGGGCTCGATTCTCTCTTTCTTTCTTTCTTTTTGGCTCATAGAGAGAATAAAAACAGATATATCTACGCATTTTGAGTTTCCTTTAGTTTATTCATCCTGTATTTTCACTGTAAAAAGAAGGTATCTTATTTTAAGATACTATTGTAGTCACTTCTAAGTTCGAAAAAGTTATCAAAAACATAAAATGTTTTGGTGAAAGTATTTAAAAATACGGACTTTACGGACCAAAAATGAAAAATTAGGGACCATTTACAATTACTGACAAAAATATAACCAGTCCGAGTCAAATAAGAGAACATTTTACTTAAAAACTATAAATTAATTTTTCTCATAACTATAAAACATGAAGATACCGATAACTCCGAGTCTTCGACTCGGAGTGATCGATTTCTTCATGTTTTATAAAAATTAAAGATTTTAACTGAAATTCATTTTTAAATCAATTTTTATTAGAAAATTCAACTAGAATTCAATTATTTAAATACGAAAATAAATAATTTATTGAATAATTGAATGTTTCTTAAAATTCAATACCCCATGAAGAATCGTTATCAACAAATTTTCAAATAATTAAATTCTATCAACGAATTTTAATAAAATTTTTAAGAATAATTACATTTTTCGAGAAATTCGATTAAAATTGTATTAAAAATAATTGAAATTCTGCAATGAGTTTTATTATTTGTGAAAATAAATTGAATCCGTAAAAAGAATTTTATTACTTTTGAAGAATATTTAATTTTTGTGAAGAATATTATTACACTTGAAAATAATTGAATTTTTGAAATAATTTGTAATTTTTACAAAAATTGAATTTATCTTCGTTTTTTTAACTAAAAATCTTCTATAAATCCATTATTTTTAATAATTTTTGAAAATGTTCTTGAAGAATTTTCAAATGCATTTGTTTACAATATTCAATTTTACAAAATTTTAATTATTCGTAAATTCTTCAATTAAATATATATTGGAAAATAAAAACCTCAAATAACTTCGAGAACAATTCAAATAAAATTGTTCAAAAAAATTTATTCCACAGAATTGTTAGTTAAAAATATGAAAAATTCAATTTTTTATAAAGGATTTTATCTATAAATTTTTAAATAATTGAATTCCTTTAAGAAATTTAATTAAAAATGTACTGAAAATAATTGTTAAATTCAAATAAACAAATTATATCAAAATTTAAATCAATAATTGTACCTATAAATTTCAATTTAAAAATAATACAAAAATAAGAATTTATTGAATAATTGCATGTATGTTTCTTAAAATTGAATTCTCATAAAGAATTTTATTTATAAATTTTTAAATAACTGAATTCTTTTCACAAATTTTGATAAAATTTTTTCGATGAATTCGATTAAAAGTATTAAAAATAATTGAATTCCTAAAAGGAATTTTATTATCTACGAAAATAATTGAATCCCCCTAAAAATTTTATTATTTATGCAAAAATGAATGAATGCAAAGAAATTTTTTTAATAATTTGTAAATAATGAAATTCCTGTGAAATTTTTATTATTTCTTGAAAATAATTAAAAGTTTGTGTAGAATTTTATTAAATTTTTTTTTAAATAATTGAATTATTTTGGAAAATTGAGACAAATTTTTGAAATTAATTGAAATTTTGCCTAAAATATTATTAAAATTTTGGAAAATACTTGAATTTCTGCGAAGAAATTTATTACTTTTGAAAATAATTGAATTTTTGGACGAATTTAAAAAGAATTTTTAAGAAGAATCTTTTGAGGAATTAAATTAAAATTGTATTAAAAATAATTGAAATTCTGAGATGAATTTTATTATTTATATGAAAATAATTGAATCCTTATTGTTAAAAAAAATTTATAATTTATGAAAATAATTCGAAATAATTGAAATTCTGCAATGAGTTTTACTATTTAAGAAAATAATTGAATTTCTAAAGAGAATTTTATATTATTTACGAAAATAATTGAATTCGTGTGAAATTTTTATTGTTTTTTGAAAATAATTAAAGGTTTGCGTAGAATTTTATTAAAATTTTCATTGAATAATTGAATTCTTATGGAAAATTTTATTAAAATAAATATTAAAAATCATTGAATTAAGGAAAATTTTTTAAAAATAATTGAAAATTTGTCAAGAATTTTATTAAAAATTTTTTTTAAAATAACTGAATTTCGGAGAGAAATTTAATTATTTCTAAAAATAATTGAAATTTGGACGAGAATTTAAAAAAAATTTGAACATAATTGAATTTTTACGAAGAATTTTATTACTTTTGAATATAATTGAATTTCTTGCAATCATTTGATAATTTTTCTAAAATTATCCAAATTATAATATTAATAATAATAATAATACTAATAATAGTAAAAATATTAACAATATTTTTTTAAAGGGCTTGTCCCGTATACTTGTTAAATAAATAAATATTAATATTAATAATAGTAATCATAGTAATAGTTATAACACAATAAGTATACATAACGCCAAAACTGAGAATAAAGAAAATTATATACCTGAAAATCAATTAATTTTAATAGGATTTTACATCTGCTTATGTCCTTTTAGCGGATATAATAAATAAATTTTCCTAAATGAACAAAACTTCTAAACAAAGTGAATTCATTTTACCCACCAAGTGAACCATCATTACTTAATGAGCCCCTAGCATTCCTCAGGTGCTTTATGACTAAATGCTATAAATTTAAATGTCTGAAAAGGGGTTTCGTGTATTTGCATTCATGGCCATCACACATAGACAAATGACTTTTGGACGCAGACTAAAATGCCCATCTCTTTTCCTAATGAGAAATTAATTGGGAAAAATACACTTACATTATTATATATATATAGTACTGGCAAATTATTTTTGGTATCGGTATACCTGTCATGTCACTTCAACTACCCATTTTCAAGTTTGTCGCATATTCTCACATCTATATAATGACAAAAGTTAACTTATTTCTTTTATAATTTCAAATTTACTATAGTCAATTTGTTTATTAACACTAATTATTCTTTAATAACAATATAATAACAATTATAGCAATAATATATTAATAATTAGAATCATAAATAAGGTATTCTACTCTCTAAATCTGAATAAGTGAATTCAAAATTTTTCATAGGAGAATGTATTAATTTTTTAAACTTTTGTAATTCCGAACTATTTTTTTTTTTTTTTTTTTTTTTTTAAAGTAAACTTTTCTCTACAGAAGTTACGACAATTTCAGCGAATAAAACGCGCGCGCAAAGAAGAGAGTGAGAAATCACATATCCATAAATCAAGTTAGTATTTCCAATAAAGATATTTGGAAGTTTGTAGAAGCGGTAGATAAATTTGAACGAAACCGATTCAACAAGTGGTAGAAATATATATATACAATATATATATGTATACATATATATATATAACCTAATAATAGTCGAAAATTATCTAAATATTCACATAATTGTATAATAATTGTTCATCCCTGCTGCGAATTGTTTGAGAAAGGGATGTGAAATATTGTACACAATATGAAATGAGAAACTTGAAATCTATATATCTTTTAAGTTAAAATGCATATTTCCAATTTTTAATTTTTTAACTTTCAACTTTGGCCTGATAACTTTAACCTATGAATTTAATATAAAATATTTAATCCTTACAAGAAAATATAGTTCATCTTGATCGACACTAGGGGATAAAGTGACTAGTTTCAGTCCCTACTCCCTAAATTTGAATTAGGAAAAATCTATACAAATTTTGAATTAGTGACTGACATTTTGCTTCTGAATTAGTAAATTTCACTAGCAAATAGTAATTTCTGCTAATTTATTATTAAAATTTACTAATTCAAAAATCAAAAGCAAAAAGTCAGTCACTAATTCAAATTAGTAAATATTTTTAAAATTACTTTACTACTAATTCAAATTTAGAGAGTAGATGAAAATTTTCATAAGAAAATTCTGAATTTTTGTGTCTTTTTTGTTTGACTCATAAACTATGAAATTACCACGAATTCTAACACAAAACCATCAATTTTTTCAATTTCTGACAAAAATTTCTTTTTAAATAACTTAAATCTTGAACAACTATCATAAAATAAATAAATTATTTAATGAATAATTTTACTTAAATATTTCAAAATTAATTCAATTTTAAAA